CGTTCTGGAAGGTAGGAGGAGGAGACTCCAACTTTTCAAGCTATAGTTCTTTACTGCCCTTCGGATCGGTCCCCTCACAATGCAATAATGTTCGATTCGTACAAAAGCTGTGGCAAAAAGGCAATGGTTTATTAATCGCCAGGCTTTCACTAAAAGGAACCCAGCTGACTCGTGTAAAAAAGGTTTCCGATTTTGAGCACCCGATCTATTCAAAAACTATAAAGATATTTGAAGAATTGGATGGTTTTGATGAAGTGGCTTTGCCTGGGTTGTATTCATTCCAAAATTTGAATACTATGTGAGTAATCAACGGACCACAGTATTCGAGAAAAAAAAAATTGTTTTTTTTTTCTCTTTTTCTCAGAACTAATTAACTTAATTAAGAGTCAGTAAACAGTAGATGATGCTTGTATAACAAGACGTTTGCATGCATTGCCTCAGTTATCTTCCTTTTTTCTCTGCAGGAAGGAAGAATACATGAGCAAGGTTGGCCTAGCATTGCTTCTGGACCGCGCTGGGGGGAAACTCACCGAGCCTATGCGAGACGCCATCGACAAGGTACAGCTCCGTGGCCCCAACGCAAACAACCTCATCAAAGAGATCCGCAAGATGTGGGACGAGTGGGACGTGAAAGACAAGGTCCAAGGCGACGACCTGCTCCAGTACGATAACTTCTACAACGGTTTCATGGCACCGTACTTTTCCTGCTACCGTTGCTCCGACACCAGACGCGCTCTCCAGGCCGTCGACATGGATGCTGACGGTCAAGTAGATTGGAACGAGTTTCTGGTCTACCTCAAGTGGGCGCTGCACGAGTATCCCCACATCTCTGACACGGAGCAGCTGCTTGATATTGCCTTCCGTAAAGGTCTGATCCCGGCCATGCGAGATGAAATGCTGTATATAGAATAGTTGGTCTCGGTCAATAGAAAGGCATAAGTGCCCACAATCTTGGTCAATAGAAAGGCGTAAGTGCCCGGCATGAATCGACTAGTCCTGTCCCGAATTGAGATTTAGAATTAGCACTAACCTATAGTTTCCATTATATAAAATCTAAATATGCGTTTTAAAATGAGTATGAATTATATTTTGTTTGTAGCGGGTGACGTTTTGTACCTTCCACACTTTCAAAGTGCATGGGAGAAAATAAAATAAGACGGTAGCACGGCTTGAAATAAAGAACTTGCACTACTATATGCTTTCATAATTGTTATATAAATCTAATATTTTGCACACGGTCGTGTCTGAATGGTTTTTAGTGATGGTTTCTTTAGTCGGTGCGCACTTTCGAAGATAAACGATTGAATGAAACCTTTTTTTTTCAAAGCACGAAACGTACACAGTAAAATCATTTATTAAAACGGAACTTCGTTTATTACAAAATGCACTTAAAAGCTCACATCAATATTTCCACTCTGATTGTAGAACTCACGGTGCCAATAAACTCACCAAGCGGTGAAGTGCTCTACATTGACTTTCCTGAAGATATTTTTGTTTTCCAATTTTCCTGCCTATAGGCCCCTGGGGGGGGGGGGGGGGGGGGGAGGGGGGATATTCGGAATGGACTTTTTATCAGGTAATACAATGTTAAAAACTCAAATATGAAAATAGCCTCAATGCACATAATACAGGCCCTTAATATTTGAAATTATAACACCTCACCCACAGATTCTGTGTCTTGATTGGCCGAGAGCGAGTCGCATGTTACTTTCTAATTTTGCTATCTTTCTGTGCACGGCCAAAAGTACTATACCCGTAGCAACCAAGTGCTATACCATTAGCAACCAAAGTACTATTTCCACGGCGCGGTATTTGTGTGCAAATGGATGCTGGTGTGCGCGTTGCGCGTTGCGCGTTGCGCGTATCGCGTTGCGCGTATCGCGCCGCAGACCTGGGTTCAAACATTTCGTGAGGGGGTAGTTTGGAAGAGAGAAATAAATTTTCCACCAACTTTGTATTGAAAGTGAAGTTTATTTCAACTGTGTTCAGATTTGAATAATTTAAAATATTAAAATCAAGCAGAATCTGTGGGTGAAGTGTTATAAAACAAATATTGAATGCTTTATCTCGTGGTGAAGTAAAACTAGCCTCCCTCGGTGATCCATGGACCATTCTATTTTCCCTGGGCTTCGCCTCGGGAAAATAGAATGTCCATGGATCACCTCGGGAGGCTAGTTTTACTACACTATGATATTTATGCATTTTGTCGCTGTTCAACATTATTACACCCCTCAAAATCCAAAGAGAAAATATTAAAAAACCCAACCTGTTGAACGGTTTCAGCTCGGTGGATATTACACTTTTCAAGAAAACAGTGAAAAACCATGCACAATCTTTTGATCACGAGACATGTTTTGCCAACTATTCCAAAAATAATGGGTCAATCGACTGATCGCTGGAAATTGCCTAGGCCTATATTTCTCGATTTCTTCTAAATGACGGCAAGCCAGACAGAATAATTTCACCGGATGTTTAGAACCAGTACGATCTTTAATCCAAAGATTTTGGATGATAATTTGGTAGGTTACTTTTGGGATAATTGCAAAATGCTCCTATTTTATGTCTGTATTGCGCTAAATAATATTAGATATACACGATTTCAATTCGCGGTTTCAAAATACAAACACCGAAATTCATGATGTTATCATTCTGAAAAGATTAACATTAATTTGTTCCTAAAATGAACGATTTAACATTTCATCTTGACAAGATCGTTCGTTATCTTGATGAGACACAGAGTAGTTTGTCATTCTTATTAAAAAAGATACTTTTCACGATATATATATACTTTTCACGATAACGGGTCATTTTCGACACAAATCTTGCCCGACAAAAAATGTTTGAGTTTCAGTGATGGTAAACATAATTTTACAACAATGTACATTTCATTCATGTCTCTTTCAAGAGTGTGAAAGAATGGCTGCATTGCTATGGAATTTCTGTACTGATCAGTTGTAATTTGAGCAAGATGTGCTCATTAGTTTTTGAGTTAGACAAACAAAACATTAAGGGGCGACTTTCTTTCTTGGTTGAGTGTAGCTGGCCACAGGATACCGTATCGGGCCGGCTCCGGTGTCGAACACACGCGGCGAAGCCCCGATATCAGATCGCACGCGCCCACCCTAATGTATTTATCAATTAATTTTACCAGGGTTCGTCCGGGCTGCGATTTTTCCCCAAACGACATCCGCGTGGGGCGTACGTTGTGACGTTCTGAACTGTACTTCTCCTAAAAACAGGAGAACATATTGAATAAACTGAAGAAAAAAGAAGCAGAAATGAATTCAATTGTAAATTGTAATGAAATTCGGACTTGATTTTCCTTTTAAGAAAATCTTCAAAGCCTCAGATTAGAAATTAGAACAGAAAAAAAATCGAATACAAATGTTGATATTTGATCCCATGAAATCACGATCCTATCCAACTGAGCTACCGAACTGCTCGACAAATTCGGAAAATTCATGGAAAAATAAACCTGCGTACGTATCGTAAAAGTATCCTAGAGGGCGCTCAACAATGCATGTGATCCGGACGCTGTTTGGGAAAAATAATACTCAACCGGGCTACATTCTTGTCCGCGGGCATTTTCACTAGCCCGCATGTTTTTCTGTAGAGTGTCTCATAAACAACATGCAAAACGTGTATCCTCCGACAATACTGTCAGTGTTTTTAATAACAGATCTAATAATTTAACCCTGAACAGTTCATTAGAGATAAACTGACACAGGTTTGCTTTCTGAATTTAATGTTTTATTTCTTCGGCTGTCCTTTCATCTTTGCCAAGGCCCAATAATGTTGGACTCGCCTGCCGCATTTTTTGCCGTTGTGCACAGAATGTTGCTCGGAGAATTTTTTTTCTGTTTGAACCGTTTTACCAACTTAGGTATGCCGCGCATGATTCGAAGTTTTGGACTAGCATTAAGTGACCGAAAATCGTCATGGGAATCATTCACTTTCATCAAATCAGTTATCTTACTTTGTGTGTGCGTGGTCTAGCACAAAACATGTAGCTTAATTCAAAGTTTTCCATAATATTGTTTCACATGTAGTGCGAAAGGCAGTGTATAAAACAACATATAAGTGGTTTATTGTCAAACTGTAATCCAAAAAGAAAGGTGGAAGAATGTTTTCGAATCAGAAAAAAGCTTCAAATGAATGGAAGTTTACAGGGGCGGATCCAGCTTTCAGGAAACGCATCAGGAGACCGGGGGTTGGGGGTGGGGGTGTTGATATTTAAATGAAGGCCTGCCCAGGGGGTTCTGGGGGCAGCCCCCTCACAAACAGGAAAACGACATTTTCACGAACGTCATTCTTGAGCACTTTGCCGCTTGGCGAGTTTATTGGCACCGTGAGTTCTTACAATCAGAGTAGAAGTATTTAACAGTTTCTACTGGTAACAGGACCGTTGTGAGCTTTTAAGTGCATTTTGTAAGCAATGATTTTAGTATATAAGTTTCGTTCTTTAAAACAAAAGGATCAATTCAATGTTTTTCTTCGAAAGTGCATGCACATGGATTAAAGTAACAAATAAATGTATGATTCTTGTGTGCAAAATACTATGTGATTGTTAATTTAGTTATGCGGGGTTTTGTTTTCGTGTTTCTCGTTTACAATGCTTTGTAACCAAGTTTTTTTGGACCTAGAAAGTACGAAAGGTAGAAATCACCACGTATATGATTAATATATGTAACATTAACTTACTCACAACATATAAACTTATATTAAGATGCGTTTAATGAGACAGTTTTATCTAACAATAAAAGCCTACAAAAAATAGTGCAAATCCTTCATCGCAAAGCGCGCTACCGTCTAATTCTCTATTTTCCCAATTTGAAAATGTGGAAGGTACACAATATTACGATAAACAAACAATAAATAAATCATATACTCATTCTATAAAAGCATAGATTTTATATGATGGAAACCTATATGATGGTGCAAATAAATCTCAATTCGGGACAGGACTAGTCGATTCATGCCGGGCACTTACGCCTTTCTATTGACCAAGATTGTGGGCACTTATGCCTTTCTATTGACCGAGACCAACTATTTTTTATAGAGCAATTCATCTCGCATGGCCGGGATCAGACCTTTACGGAAGGCAATATCAAGCAGCTGCTCCGTGTCAGCGATGTCGGGATACTCGTGCAGCGCCCACTTGAGGTAGACCAGAAACTCGTTCCAATCTACTTGACCGTCAGCATCCATGTCGACGGCCTGGAGAGCGCGTCTGGTGTCGGAGCAACGGTAGCAGGAAAAGTACGGTGCCATGAAGCCGTTGTAGAAGTTATCGTACTGGAGCAGGTCGTCGCCTTGGACCTTGTCTTTCACGTCCCACTCGTCCCACATCTTGCGGATCTTTTTGATGAGGTTGTTGGCGTTGGGGCCACGGAGCTGTACGTTGTCGATGGCGTCTCGCATAGGCTCGGTGACTTTCCCCCCAGCGCGGTCCAGAAGCAACGCTAGGCCGACCTTGCTCATGTATTCTTCCTTCCTGCAGGATTTTTGTGCGAGAAAAAAGGAAGATAACTGCATGAGGCAATGCATGCAAACTTCTTGTTATACAAGCATCATCTACTGTTTACTGACTCGGCTAGGTTAATTAGTTCTGAGAAAAAGAAAGAAAATACTCAACATTTCGAATCCTGAGGTCCGTTGATTACTCACACTGTTCACATTTCGGAATGAATACAACACAGGCAAAGCCACTTCATCAAAACCATCCAATTCTTCAAATATCTTTATAGTTTTTGAACAGATCGGGTGCTCAAAATCGGAAACCTTTTTTTACACAGTCAGATCGGTTCCTTTTAGTGAAAGCCTGGCGAGTTATAAACCATTGCCTTTTTGCCACAGCTTTTGTACGAATCGAACATTATTGCATTGTGAGGGGACCGATCCGAAGGGCAGTAAAGAACTATAGCTTGAAAAGTTGGAATCTACTCCTCCTACCTTCCAGAACGGAGATCTTCCAAGATCAGCGCCTTCATCTTGCTGGTCAAGTCCAGAGTGAACTGCGGATCGTTCCCGAAGAGCCTGACCAAGCGCTGCTGGATCATCTCCTTGCTGGCCATGGTGGTGATTCGCACGGGAGCCTTCTCCCCGAAGAAGCTGGCCAAGTCGAACTCCTCAGGATTCAGACCGAAGACGAAATCGGTAGCCCGGGGACCGTAGACTGGCTGCCTCCCGTTCGGAGCCGAGCCCGAAGTGATCTTGGTCACGTTGATGGCGGCCTTTCTCAGGTAGGTGCAGTTGTATTTCTCCAGGACTTTCTTGTTGCCGAGTCGGATGAGATTCAGCAGGGTGACGCAGGTGGAGGCGTGGCCCATGGCGGCACCCTCGGCGCAGACGCTGGCCCAGATACCGTCAGCACCGTCCATCAGGACCTGCCAAACAACGGAAGCAAAAAGGTCTTGAGAAATCGCAAGGAAGTAAAAGCATTTAATCATCTGATATTTGTGACAAACGGCGCTATCGTTTTGCTTGATGCACGTTTTGCAGAGAGAAAAATGCTGAAATTTGCAGGTAGCATATTCCTGCTACAATAGGTAAAGCGTATAATTTTATCAAGGCACCCTATACAAACGATTCGGTTTTTCTCCAAAGCAAATATATCGATATAAATAAATGAAGCATTACACTTTTTAACCCCCAAAACTAAGAAATGTATTCTGTATGTAATTAACATAATTTGAAATTTTGTTTCAATAATGGCATATTCCACACTTCACTTTTTGCACTTAGTTAATGGACATAATCGATGTTGAAATCTGTAGTCACTGCCTCGAAATGGCCTCTCCACTTTAAGTTTTAAAGCAATGAAAGATGTATCGAGCACTAAAATTTAGCTTTTTAGAAAACCCTCCGGCTGTCTGAACAGTCACAGACAGTTTAAAACAAATCCTCTTCCCTGCCATGCCTTAATGCAGGCAGGGAGCACTCAACAAATAAAAACAGTCACGGATGTTTGAATTTGAGTTGCACGTAAATGCAATGGAAGTATGAACAAGATGTTTCCACTCGGAATTACGGACCTGCAGAGCTGTGGCATCGCAGTAGCCAAACTTCTCGTGCACGTGGACAAGCAGGTGGCCCTTCCACTTATTCTCGTCCATGGTCTGGCGGATGTACTTGGCCCAGGCCCCGCACTCCTCCGGTAAGGTCTTGCCGCTGGGCTCCTCGAACATCATGCCGAAGGGACGGAGGTCCCCCGGCAGGTTGGCCAGGTAGGCCACGGTCTGGAACACGCGCTCCGGATGGTCGGGCATGGTTTCCGCCAAATCGCGGATATTAAACATGATCTTTAGTGGGGGAAAAGAAGTTATAGTTCAGAAGAATCGAGTTGAGAATGAGTTCGATTAATAATTGCAAATCGACATTTGAGGTTTGACAAATTAAGTTATGTCGAAATAGACTTTACTGTTGAACTTGAATAGTGCATTGAAGAAGAAACTAGTCCCAAAGCTGAGGGTTTACGGATCAAGATTTAGTCCAGGCTATCTTGACCTGAAGAAAATGATAACAATGGATACGAGTAAAAACCATCAGAGAGCAAAGTTCAGCTGCATTTTGGGTTGTTGAAGCTTTTACAAAACACTTTACACACAGATAACGTGAAGGCTTTCATTCAATCAGTGCAAACTGTTTTAACAATAACAGGAAAACAAGTCATTGGGTTTTTATTAAAAGATGGAAAAAATATAAAATGATTTTCCAAGGGACTCGTAATTCAGGATGGACTTTGCTGCACGTTTTATGTGGTTGTAGTGAATTCTAACGATACACACATCATTTCCAGCGCCTTGAGTATTTATTATTGGTAGATACGTGCGCTACATGAGACTCCTTTGTTATTGTTATTATTATGACATATCAGTAAGGGTCACCAACCGCTGGCAAAGCAAGATCACACATTATTCCTATTACTTCAATTATCAAATAGCTCACCTTGGCCTTAGGATGCAGATTCTCGTGGCACCACACCATCCATTTCTTGATCAGTTTCAGCAGCTTCGGCATGGGGAACAACTCGAAGTCGTAGACTCCATCGCTGAGGTCCACCTCGAAGATGACGTTGTACAGGCCGACCTCGCACAACTTGCGGATACCGACGGGGACGGACTCGGTATCGGGGACTTTGCCCTTGGCGCCTGCGTGATTGGAATTCAAATTACGGAATTTCAAACACAACCACCATTTTAAAATTTTGTCCACACGGATCACAAAAAAAGGTGTGCGTTCCTTCAGAAAACGAAAACAATTCACACACGTCCCTATGTGATTTGTTTTCGTTTTCCTGAAAGAACACTGAACTTTTTATCTGTGGACAGAACTTTACAACGGTGGTTGTGTTTCAGATTCCGTAACTTAAAACGCACATGAGTGATTTGAACAATATTCTTGTACTAACAAGCCAAACATGGGCGTCGCTAGGATTTTTTCTAGAGGGGGGCAAAAATTTTTTTTGGCCAAAAATGCTTGCATTTCTCAACATATTCTCGATTTATCAGTTTTAGAGGGGGGCAGGGACATTTTGCCCCCCCCCCCCAACTCATTAAATTTACACCACTTTGTCTTCGCGCCTCTTTTTCTTTTCTTTTTTCTCTTTTTTCTTCTTCTTTTTTTTTTTTTTTTTTTTGCTTTTCCGGGGGGGGGGAGCAAGTGCCCCCCTTGCCCCCTCCTCGCTACGCCCATGAAGCCAAAAGTAGTGATAAAAAACACAAATGCCCCGCAACCATGCCTATTTCCATGACATAACATCACTCTATTAACATCAACTTACCTGGGTCACATGGAACGTTCATTGATATCGCTATTGTTTTCTTAAGGTTATATATGTAATGTATTGATGCCTATGATTCCATAATGAATTTTTATTTTTTGCTTTTCTGTTGGGAAGTCATTGTATGTGATTTAAGCAAACTCACTGGATATTTTCAGTCTTAAGCAAGACATTTCTCAAAGGCAAATTTTTTTAGCATAATCCTTTGAGCATACTTTGAGCATACAAGGCCTACATGGAAATAAGATTTTTTAAATAATCAAAAGAAAATATGGTTATTTGAATAAGCTTGAGTTATCATCATGACATCATTTCTTTGGTTTTTAATAATGAGAACAGTTGGCTTATGGGGTCCGAAAGTGACTCAAAATCCTAAGAACAACCTACGGAGCTGCATGTACATGTACATGTAGGCCCTACATGTACTGCGGTGCAAGTCTCAAGTTTTAGTAATACATGTGCATGTACATGTACATGTGTTTGTTGAAAAACTTTTTCTGTTATTTCAATATGACTGTCCAAGAAAAAAGGGTGGAGAAGTCACATTGGTTATACAAAAAAAACATGTATAAACAGTTCCATTAACACATGTATACTAGTTTGCTAAAAAAAAAAATCCTATTGTTTTAATCCTAATGACATTGGCCTTTGTCTTAAGCCTATGGGGTCCAAACTTATTCATTTTCTTTAAGTTATACTAGCAAACTACCTTCATTGCATCAAGGTTCAAGACATGTACATGGACATACAATCCAGATATCGCTGTGGAACCAAATGCACACGCACCCACCCACGGACAAGGCGGCAACACTGTATGCCCATTCAGCTTCGCCGGTGAGGCAAAAAGCTAATGAATGGGGCTTTCATATCCTATATTTTGAAAGTGCTACATGCAGAACTTCACTAAAACGATGGTCCCGACATTTGGGTTCCGGTTATATTTTTTACTCACCATGTATACGACACAACCCTTAGTACATTACGAAGTGAATTTCAGGGGGGGGGACACCTTGTATGTGACTGTGTATGTGTCTTATACTACGTGAATACAATTTGGAGGATATCGAAAAAAAAACTTTTCTTTGGCTTTTTTTTTGGAAATACAGCCGTGTACACGTAAGCCGTAGTACAGTGCGTTTGTATAATTTTGATCGAATATGCATGTACATTTGTTTGTTATTATTGTTTTTCACCAAGGATTCCTCAAAAAGCGCCCTATAGGCACTGTAGCTCGCAAGCCCATAGAAACCTGTAGGGAGGAGACAGTGAGAAGAATTTACAGTTTAAGAGGTTGGAGGAAAACCCCAGTAGATTAAAATGAGGAAAACCCACGGAATCAGGTAGGGACTGAAAACTTGGCACGGCCGGGTCACAGCCGTGGATGGAAGGCGAGGAAAGTACCGCTACGCCAACCTGACTCCCTTTACTGTAGGTATTTCCCCCCTAAGTAACTTATGGTTTTTTTATACCGTCAGAAGTAAGATTACCTGAAGATGTGGTTTTGCATTTCTTTGCTTTGGGGCTCCCCGACACAGTCAGTGTACCTGCGGTAATCTCTGAGAAAGCCCATAGGCCCTGCCGGTCCTCGCCCCGCTCCGTCAGCTGCTTGATGAAGACGTCGTCCACGCGGGTCATGTGCGAGAAGGAGGCCACGATGGTGTTCTTGAAGCCGCACTTCTTGACCTCATCGTAGATCTGCCACTTGCTTTCCAGGGTGTGGCCCCGTAGCTGCCCCACGGTGCTCTCACGCATCGAGTTGTCTAGCACGAAGACGTCCAAGTCGCGCAGCGCCTGGTACTTCTCCAGCCGCTTGTCGACATCCTTGCGGTAATTCGCTATCTTTTGTTGCTCGGATGAGGAAGACATAATTATTTGCACCTTACACTCTGCAAAATATAGACCAAAAACCACTAGATATATGCTAAAATACAGACTAATGGACGAGTACAGGAAAATGAATGCAGTGACATAAAGTATTAGACACGTGACCTTGTACGCGGGAAGGAAGGGAGAAAACAACAGGAAACGGCGCCAAAAGCTATGGTGAACTCAATCAATCAATTAAACTATATATATATACATGTAAATTCTGTGTGCACTGCAAAACATGACCTTAACCTGGCCGCGTATTCGGCCAGATACTACACCTGAGTGAACTTGGCCTCGTATTCGGCACCACAGCCGTCGGCGTATTCAGCCTTGTATTCAGCCGCGTATTCATAAAGTACGGAGGCCAACAAACAACATTGATGTGATAAATTTTTATATATTTAATGCGGATTTCATCGAGGAGTGTACAAAAAATAATGACGTCAGTATTATGCTTGATGTTCAGTTATTTAGGACTTATGGCTTCCTATAAATTATTTTGGTTTCAGATCTAGGGCAACTATGAATCACGTGATACTCGTCCTGAAAAAAATCGTACTAAAATAGCATTTTGCGGTAATTGTACTTTCATGAAAGCTTATGTTAAACTTCGAGAGAAAGTGTACCAATTAAGCAGTGTTGGAGAAAAAGTCAAATTTCCAATGACATCTTAAAGAGTGGTGTCCCGCCTATATACACTCTATTTTGGTTTCAGGTGTATGGGGTGTATCTGTCACGTGACAATGGCATAACATAATGGCTTTCACCGCCAAATTTACTTTGTTTTATTAAATTTAATGCAAAATGCAATATGTCCGAATTATGTTTGATAGTCAGTTATTGAGGACTAGAGGCTTCCTATAAATTATTTTGGTTTCAGATCTAGGACAGCTATGAATCACGTGATACTCGTCCTGGGAAAAGTCATACTAAAATAGCATTTTGCGGTAAACGTTGTACATTAATAACTTAAGTTAAACTTCGAGGCAAAGTGTACCAAACAGTGTAGAAAGAAAAGTCAAATCGCCGATGTCATATTAAAGAGTGGTGTCCCGCCTACACTTTATTTTGGTTTCAGGTGTGTGGGGTGTATCTGTCACGTGACAATGGCATAACATAATGCGCTTTCACCGCCAAATTTAATTTATTTATATATTTAATGCGGATTTCAGGAAAAAGTGTACCGAAAATGCAACATGTCCGAATTATGTTTGATGGTCAGTTATTGAGGACATCCTATAAATTATTTATAAATTATTTATGACGTATTCTCCTACATTGTTTGGTACACTTTGTCTCGAAGTTTAACTGAAGTTTTAATAATGTACAACCGCAAAATGTTATCTTAGTACGATTTTTCTCAGGACAGGTATCACGTGATTCATAGTTGCCCTAGATCTGAAACCAAAATAATTTATATGCAGCCTCTAGCATGTAATTGCATTTTCGGTACACTTTTTCCTGAAATCCGCATTAAATATATAAATAAAGTAAATTTGGCGGTAAAAGCGCATTATGTTATGCCATTGTCACGTGACAGATACACCCCATACACCTGAAACCAAAATGGAATGTAGGTGGGACACCACTCTTTAAGGTGTCATCGGCGATTTGACTTTTCTTTCTACACTGTTCGGTACACTTTGTCTCGAAGTTTAACTTAAGTTAAATGTACAACGTTACTGCAAAATGCTATTTTAGTACGAATTTTTTCAGGACGAGTATCACGTCCTAGATCTGAAACCAAAATAATTTATAGGAAGCCTCTAGTCCTCAATAACTGACTATCAAACATAATTCGGATATATTGCATTTTGCATTAAATATAAAAAAACAAAGTAAATTTGGCGGTGAAAGCCATTGTGTTATGCCATTGTCACGTGACAGATACACCCCATACACCTGAAACCAAAATAGAGTGTATATAGTCGGGACACCACTCTTTAAGATGTCATTGGCAATTTGACTTTTTCTCCTACACTGCTTAATTGGTACACTTTCTAAGTTTAAGTTTAACATAAGCTTTAATAAAAGTACAATTACCGCAAAATGCTATTTTAGTACGATTTTTTTTCAGGACGAGTATCACGTGATTCATAGTTGCCCTAGATCTGAAACCAAAATAATTTATAGGAAGCCATAAGTCCTAAATAACTGAACATCAAGCATAATGCTGACGTCATTATTTTTTGCACACTCGTCGATGAAATCCGCACTAAATATATAAAAATTTATCACATCAATAATGTTGTTTATTGGCCTCCGTACTTTATGAATACGCGGCTGAATACGCCGGCGGCTGTGGTGCCGAATACAAGGCCAGGTTCACTCAGGTCAAAAACCGGACATTTCAGTACTTTGACAGCCAACTACAATGTGAACTGCGAAGTGCAATATATCAAAGGGCACTACCAACAATTCAACAACAATTGAATGCAAGGTCGTGTGATGTAGCAGCATGTCATGGCCCAGGCTGCGTCGAGAAGCTATACACTCAACCAAAAAAGAAAGTCCCCCTTAATTCCAGTACTTTTTTGTCAAACTCAAAAACTACTGAGCACCTCTCGCTCAAATAACGACTAATCTGTACAGAACTTCCTTAGCATTTCTGCCATACTCTTTATTTGGCCAAAAACAGTGATAATGTGTACAAATTTATGCAATTCATGACAAATGATACCGCATTACGTGCAACTCCCTTTAGCCAAAAACTCTGGATTCTTCTCACCAGTTTCACTGCATGTACTTTGACCCCTACCAGCTCTAGGGTCCTTAGGGTCAGTGACCATTAGCTGTGGTAACTGCCCTATAAATCACAGCATATGCATCGGCCTATCTGGCATGAAAAGTATGAGCAATGGAGGTAGAATTAAAAAAACTTCCGACTATTATTGTTATTATAGGTTTTCCCGGACAATTTCGGAAAATGTGTACACGAATTTGTAAAAAAAGCATTCGTTTTCGTGCGAAATAGAATGAACGTTCCAAATCTCTGTTTCTATTTAACAAATGATAAGTCTTTTTCCGTGAAGGTGCATTCAGTCGTAAAAAATCAGCGAACGATTTCCCGAATGTGCACTGCATTTAGTGTATTGACAATTCATTTTAGCGCGAAATCGAAGGCACATCCGCAATCCTGTTTTCCTTTTAATTTATCATCAATCTTTTTCGCTAAATGTGCAGCCGATTTCCCTCGCAGTGTTAATTTAACGTATGCCTGGTCAAGCATAGGAATTCATTTATGTGTTAAAGTAACATTTGAGGAATGGTTGATTGAATGATTGCATTTTTGAATATTCATGATGATTGAGCTAAAACCTAGTGGTGTAGTCTTTTGAAACAAACCAACTATTGTAATAAATCCTATATAAAAACAAAACTGAAGAAAATCGCTTTTTTTTTCTGCTCAGAATTTGCCACAATCGCATCATATAGCCAAGAGTCTCAGTTCACATAGTCCTTAAATATCCAATAATGGCTGCAAGAGGGAGATACAGACGAATCTCGGACGTTGACCGAAATCGCCTCATCGATGCCTTTGAGGCTGACGACGGTGACTATCTGCAGGTAGCAGATACGCTGGGTATCAAGCACTCAGCGGCCAGATCAATCGTTGGCGTAGGCCTTTATCTCCGGGATGGTCGTCGTAACAAGCTGCCGAAATGAGGACCCATAAACCAGACGGTTGACGACGACATGAGAGATGCCCTTTAAGGATATCTAGATGACACCCCCCTTCTAACTTTGCGTCAACTCTGTACTCAACTGCATGCGAGCTGATCTTCCCAATAAGCCCTTCGTGACCACTAGTACCATCACTAGAACTCTAGATGGTATGCTTATAACTCTTAAACTAGCGGAAGATGTTCCAGAACAGAGGAATGAGCCACGCACATTAGATGCACGAGTCATATTTGGAAATTGGTTTCTTCAGGTTGGTGTCCTTGGCCACACTGTGTACATTGACGAGACCGGGTACAACGTATGGACCCGTTGGTCTTATGGTCGCGCTCCTCGTGGAGAGCCAGCAGGCGTGTCGTCCATGGCCAGAGAGGCAAGCAAGTCAACATCACGTTTGCCATTTTTTTCTGGTGAGGTTGGACTTGTGGCTCACAGAATATCATCAGAGACTGTGACGAGAGCGACTTTTGAGGAGTTCTTAGCGACGACTGTACAAGAATGTGGTATGTTATTCCCGGCAGGCGAACGCATGATCTGATATATGACAACGCTCGTCCTCATATCCGAGCCCAACTACCCCCTGATGCCGGCAATTTCACCATCAAGCTGCTGCCACCATACTCGCCATTCTTAAATCCAACGGAAATGACGCACTCAGCTTTCAAGGCGGGAGTGAAGCGCACGCTGGTGCTTCCTGAATCGCAGGACAGATTTGGAGACCAAGACGCAAGAGTCCAAGCTGGTGTGAACCTGCAAGTCTGGAGATCCCTCCGTCTCCAGGAGGTGGCTGCACTCAACATTGGAGAGGTGACACCTGCGAAATGCACCGCCTGGTACAACCATTCTCAGACATATCTCCCTCGATGTCTTGGTAGACAGGTCATTGAAGGATAGACAATCGAACTGATAAAACGAGAGAGAAGCTTAAGAAATATAGGTTTTCCCGGACAATTTCGGGAAATGTGTACACGAATTTGTAAAAGAAGCATTCGTTTTCGTGCGAAATAGAATGAACGTTCCATATCTCTGTTTCTATTTAACAAATGATAATTCTTTTTCCGTGAAAGTGCATTCAGTCGTAAAAAATCAGCGTACGATTTCCCGAATGTGCACTGCATTTAGTGTATTGACATTTCATTTTAGCGCGAAATCGAAGGCACATCCGCAATCCTGTTTTCCGTTTAATTTATCATCAATCTTTTTCGCTAAATGTGCAGCCGATTTCCCTCGCAGTGTTATTTAACGTATGCCTGGTCAAGCATTGGAATTCATTTATGTGTTAAAGTAACATTTGAGGAATGGTTGATTGAATGATTGAATTTTTGAATATTCAAAAAGTCTCCATGCAGATCCCATGTAACATGACACGTGATGTGTCCCTTTACCGTCTCAATAATATGGCTACAAGATTATTTTGATTGATTTCATATTGGTCATATTAATATCATTTTCCCATTTCATTTGCCTACATTTCACATAGGCCTTTGTGTATATAAGAACAAAGACATTAATGATCAATAAGGCATACATTGATTAATTAATGAATCATTAATTAATGAATCAAAGTTGTATCATGATTTGTATAGGCCTGCATAATTTATTTGAATTGAATGCAGAAAATGCGAATTTAAATTGTAACAAATGAAAAAGAATGTTCAATTTAGCCTGTGTCACAATAGACAATCGAATTTCTGCGAATTGGATTGCACATTCGTAATAATCGGCAACGCATCCGTCAAACCGAAAACCTAATCACGTATTTGTAATCCCTTAAATGAAACGTTATGCACATTCATTCATTTGATTGATGCAAAATGAAATCGAATGCTAGTTATTGCGAAAATTAAACCAGGATGTACGTCGTTCTCAAAATCACCGCCAAATTGAATTTATGTTTTACAAATTCAAACGCACATTTTCCGAAATTGTCCGGGAAAACCTATACATAAAGAAATTAAAATACAATTAAGGTAAAGAACCAACAAAAAGTCCTCATGCAGATCCCATGTAACATGACACGTGATGTGTCCCTTTATCGTTTCAATAATATGGCTACAAGATAATTTTGATTGTTTTCATATTGGTCATATTTATATCATTTTCACATTTCATTTGCCTACATTTCGCATAGGCCTTTGTGTTTATAAGAAAAAATACATTAATGATCAATAAGGCATACCTTGATTAATTAATGAATCAAAGTTTTATCATGATTTGTATAGGCCCGTATAATTTATTTAAATTGAATGCAGAAAATGCGAATTTAAATTGTAACAAATGAAAAAGAATGTTCAATTCAGCCCGTGTCACAATAGACAATCGATTTTTTGCGAATTGGATTGCACATTTGAAATAATCGACAACGCATCCGTCAATCCGAAAACCTAATCACGTATTTGAAATCCCTTAAATGAAACGTTATGCACATTCATTCATTTGATTGATGCAAAATGAAATCGAATGCTAGTTATTGCGAAAATGAAACCAGGATGTACGTCGTTCTCAAACTCAGCGCCAAATTGAATTTATGATTTTCAAATTAAAACGCACATTTTCCGAAATTGTCCGGGAAAACCTATATTATTATTATTATTTATTCGGCCATCAAATGAACAAAAGTACAATGACAAAGCAAATCTTATCCTTGCTAGAGATATGTTCAGTCGATTTTTATGATTCAAAGTTACTTGAACAATAACTTTTGACACTTTTTCCATTACTTTACAGTACAAACAACAACCCAGTAGATTTGTGTAGATATTTTTGGTCTGTAAACTTACAGGCAGTGGCGCCATAAACCACCTGTCCACGCCTCCTAACCCTAACGCCCAAGGCGATGTGCAAAATCCTATTAAAATTGGAAGACTGATGACTGTTAGGGGTAGTACGGTCAGATTTAGAAGTTCGTGTTGAAAACTGACCCGAGTTTAGGCAAACTCGGGTCTGGTTCTAATGGCGGGGCAATTCGCGTAATGGAAAACAGTTGCACTTTTGCATACGTGCAAGTTGTGGTTCACAATCACCTTGCACCTACACAAAAGTGCACGTCTTTTGGGGGTACCATTTCTCATAAATTGCATAACTTTGTACACATTTTCACTGTTTTGGGCCAAACAAAGAGAATGACTGGATTTCCAAGGAATTTCTGTTCTGATCAGTCATAATTTTAGCAAGATGTGCCAGGTAGTTTTTGAGTTCGACAAAACTATAGGGGCGACTTTCTTTTTTGGTTGAGTGTACGTGTATATAGCTGGCCACAGGATTCGCTCGATCTTTTTCACAATTCCGCCATGGGCATGCAGAACCCCGATCTGGCAACTTTACACAATAAATATAGCCGGTTCAGTGATTCCTGTGTCGGGGTTCAGATCACTGAACCGGCTATTTTTATTGTGTAAAGTTGCCAGATTGAGGCTGTGCATGCCCATTGAAAATTATCAAAAATTGAAAATGTATTTATCAATTTACCAGGGTCGATCGTCCGGGCTGCGATTTTTTTCCCCAAACGACACCCGCGAGTGTACGCTGTGACGTTCTGGACTTTACTTCTCTCAAAAACAGGAGAAAATATTAAATAACTTGAAAAAAAAGAAAGAAATGAATTTAAATGTAATGAAATTCGGACTTGATTTCCCTTTTAAAAAATTCTCCAAAGCCTCAGATTAGAAGCTTCGAGTTGAACTTGCTATACTTAAAACTATGGAAGTGTAGATAGGAAATGGTTAAAAATAAATCTAATTCGTACGTACGAATTACTAAACCGTACGTACGAATTACAAACCGTACGTACGAATTACAAACCGTACGTACGAATTACTAAACCGTACGTACGAATTACTAAACCGTACGTACGAATTACTAAACCGTACGTACGAATTACTAAATCGTACGTACGAAATAATTAGTAATTCGTACGTACAGTTTAGTAATTCGTACGTACGATTTAGTCATTCTTACGTACTATTTAGTAATTCGTACGTACGGTTTAGTAATTCGTACGTACGATTTAGTAATTCGTACGTACGGTTTAGTAATTCGTACGTACGAATTAGATTTATTTTTAACCATGTCCTATCTACACTTCCATACTACACTTCCATAATTAACGGTTCCAACTTTTCAGTGAAAGAAATAGTCATTGGAATCATTCACTTTCATCAACTCGGTTATCTTACTTTGTCTGTGCGTGGTCTATAGCACAAAATAGCTTAATTCAAAGTTGACCATAATTATGTTTCACAGGTAGTGCGAAAGGCATTGTATAAAGCAACATAGAAGTATTTTATTGTCACAAATTGTAATTCAAAAAGGAAACGTGGAAGAATTGTTTCGAATCAGAAAAACTTCATATAGATTTAAGTTTACCAGGGGCGGATCTATAGCTTTCAGGAAATGCATTAGGAGACCGGGGGGGGGGGGAATGTTGAAATGAAGGCATGCCCAAGGCATGCCCTTCCCCGTTTTAAGGCAAGGTGGGAACTGTAAAAGTTCATAATCTTGGCCCCATTACATTATATCGTATTTTTTTCAGCGGCTGAACGGGGGGGGGGGGGGGGGAGGAGATTTTTTTTTGGATTATTCATGTTATTTATTATTTGGGGAAGGGGGGTTGCAACCTTTGTGTTATAGTTTCATACGGGAGATTTTAACATGCTTAACTCCTTAAACAACACTCTATGAAAAGGCTCATAAATGGCCCATCCTGGATGCAAGTTCTTGGTGGAAAAACAAGAAAACAACATTATTTTCACGAACGCCATTCTTAAGCACTTTACCGCTAGGCGAGTTTATTGGCACCGTGAGCTCTTACAATCAGAGTAGAAGTATTTAACAGGTTCTACTGGTAACAGGACCGTTGTGAGCTTTTAAGTGCATTTTGTAATCAATGATTTTAGTATATAAGTTTCGTTCTTTAAAACAAAAGGATCAATTTAACCGTAATCTTCGAAAGTGCATGCGCATCGATTAAAGTAACCATTACTAACATGATTCTTGTGTGCAAAATACTTTGCTTGGTAATTTAGTTATTCGTTGTTTTTTCTTTTTCGTATTTTCGTTGACAATGCTTTGTAACTAAGTTTTTTTGGACCTGGAAAGTACGAAAGGTACCAACCACCACGTATTATTATGATTAATATATTTAACTATAACTTACTCATAAATACGTAAACTAATATTGAGATGCATTTAATGAGACAGATTTTATTTAACAATGAAAGCCTACAAAGTATGCAATTACTTCATTGCAAACCGCGCTACTGCCTAACTTTCTGTTTTCCCAATTTGAAAATACAAAATATTACGATAAACCAACAATATATAAATCATATACTCATTTTATAAAAACATAGATTTTTTATATAAAGGAAACATTATGATGGTGCAAATTCTAAGTCTCAATTCGGGACAGGATAGTCGATTCATGCCAGGCACTATATGTCTTTCTATTGACCAAGACCATGGGCACTAATACCTTTCTATTGACCAAGACCATGGACACTAATACCTTTCTATTGACCGAGACTAACTAACATTTCATCTCGCATGGCCGGGATCAGACCTTTACGGAAGGCAATATCAAGCAGCTGCTCCGTGTCAGAGATGTGGGGATACTCGTGCAGCGCCCACTTGAGGTAGACCAGAAACTCGTTCCAATCTACTTGACCGTCAGCATCCATGTCGACGGCCTGGAGAGCGCGTCTGGTGTCGGAGCAACGGTAGCAGGAAAAGTACGGTGCCATGAAGCCGTTGTAGAAGTTATCGTACTGGAGCATGTTGTCACCTTGGACCTTGTCTTTCAAGTCCCACTCGTCCCACATCTTGCGGATCTCTTTGATGAGGTTGTTGGCGTTGGGGGCCCTGATCTCTACCTTGTCGATTGCGTCTCGCATAGGCTCGGTGAGTTTTCCCCCAGCGCGGTCCATGAGCATCGCCAGGCCGATTTTGCTCATGTATTCTTCCTTTCTGCAAGAGGTTTATGCGAGAGAAGAAAATAATCAAAGATTACTATGAAGGAATGCTTGCAAATGTCTTGTTGCAAGGATAATGTTGCAATATGCGCCGCAGCACCTTGTCAACCCTTATATAAGGTGCTACAAAATGGGTCTCATATTTCTCATATACTTTATTTACCTTTCTTAAATAATAGACATATCTCCAGCGCTTGAGTACCTAATAGTTCGTAGATACGTGCGCTATATAAGACTCCGATATTATTATTATTAATCTAATGTTAGTGTGACTCCGATAGATAAAACTTCAATATCATACAGTAGCGTCGTGTACATTTATTTTTAGTGAGTTGACCAGTCCTAAGAAAAAACTTAGAAGAAAAGAAGTCAACTTTTCAAATCCTGTGGTCTGTTGATTATTCATGCAGTCAAAGTTTGGAATGAATGCAAACCAGACAAGCCACTTCATCAACAACATCAAACTCTTCAAATGGCTTGATCTTTTTTTGATAGATGGGAACTCAAAATCTTTAAACAATTTCAACATCATATCCTTTGGTTTTCAAGCAACAACATGGGAAGAACTAAAATCTGAGTTTTTCGCTAGAGCTTTTGTGCGAAAAGGCCATTTTGCACTGCGGGGCGATCGACTCGATAATAGCTTGACCAAGTTGGGCGATACCCTTACCTTCCAGAACGGAGATCTTCCAAGATCAGCGCCTTCATCTTGTTGGTCAAGTCCAGAGTGAACTGCGGATCGTTCCCGTACAGCCTGACCAAGCGCTGCTGGATCATCTCCTTGCTGGCCATGGTGGTGATTCGCACGGGAGCCTTCTCCCCGAAGAAGCTGGCCAAGTCGAACTCCTCAGGCTTCAGATCGAAGACGAAATCGGTAGCTCGGGGACCGAAGACTGGCTGCTTCCTGTGCGGAGCTGAGCCCGTGGTGATCTTGGTCACGTTGATTGCGGCCTTTCTCAGGTAGGTGCAGTTGTATTTCTCCAAGACTTTTTTGTTGCCGAGTCGGATGAGATTCAGCAAGGTGACACAGGAGGAGGCGTTGCCCATGGAGGCACCCTCGGCGCAGACGCTGGCCCAGATACCGTCAGCACCGTCCATGAGGACCTGCCGAACATTAATATGGAGAACAGTCTTGTGAATACGTTAAAAAATTTGAAGCCAACAGGCTTTAATATGACGGAGGGCTGCCGCTAGACTTCTTGAAAATTGGATCAGCTTTAAACAAACCTGCAGAGCTGTGGCATCGCAGTAGCCAAACTTCTCGTGCACGTGGACAAGCAGGTGCCCCTTCCAGTTATTCTCGTCCATGGTCTGGCGGATGTACTTGGCCCAGGCCCCGCACTCCTCCGGTAAGGTCTTGCCTCTGGGCTCCTCGAACATCATGCCGAAGGGACGGAGGTCCCCCGGCAGGTTGGCCAGGTAAGCCACGGTCTGGAACACGCGCTCCGGGTGGTCGGGCATGGTGTCCGGCAAATCGCGGAAACTGAACATGATCTTTAGTGGGGGAAAGTGGTCATATTGGTTAATCACTCACGAACTTTAGACATTTGAGAAATTCAGTTATGTTGAACTAGACTTCACTGTCTGGGGTAATGTGTACTTGAAGTAAAAAATAATAACATTATGTATAGGATTTGAGAAAACTTTGATTCGGGTGTCTTAGTAATAAGGAAAATGACATTCACCGACACAAGTAAGACCATCCATTAGCAAATAGTTGCATCTATAGTACAATGGCAAGCAAATCCAGTAAGGTTATCAATCGGTTATAGCAAAGAACATGTTTAAACTCAATTTTTTTAAGTTAGCCCCCTTTTTTAAAAGTGTTTAATTCGTGAGCCCACCTTAGCTTCTTTGTGGAGATTCTCGTGGCACCACACCGTCCATTTCTTGAGCAGCTCCAGCATCTTCGGCATAGGGAACTTCTCGAAGTCGTAGACTCCATCGCTGAGGTCCACCTCGAAGATGACGTTGTACAGGCCGACCTCGCACAACTTGCGGATACCGACGGGGACGGACTCGGTATCGGGGACTTTGCCCTTGGCGCCTAGTTGGAAATGAAATTAGAATCACTTAAGAATTGTGCATCGGCTAGAGAATGCGAAATTACAAGTCCAAAACTAACATGAAATGTACATTTAGTAACATCATGCACCGAGTTATAAAAGGCCAAGAATCATTGTTAAGAAAGATTTTGCTTTCGTGCAAAAACTGCCCAAATAATCAGCTAGATCAGAACAATATAAACACATGGCACAATCCCTTTAATAGTATAACATCGAGTGTTCAGTGGGAAAATATACGAGTACAAATGGCCTGTATGACTATTCTTTTTGTGTACAAGTGTTGGAGGATATCGAACAAACATTTCTTGTTTTTTTAACACAGAATTTTAATGATAATAACGAGTTTTGGCACATGTAAACCTTGTTTATATTTACCACGTTCTAAATATTTGGTTTTGCTTTTCTTTGCTTTGGGGCTCCCCGTCAGTGTACCTTCTGTAATCTCGGAGAAAGCCCATAGGCCTTGCCGGTCCTCGCCCCGCTCCGTCAGCTGCTTGATGAAGACGTCGTCCACGCGGGTCATGTGCGAGAAGGAGGCCACGATGGTGTTCTTGAAGCCGCACTTCTTGACCTCGTCGTAGATCTGCCACTTGCTCTCCAGGGTGTGGCCCCGTAGCTGCCCCACGGTGCTCTCACGCATCGAGTTGTCCAATACGAAGATGTCCAAGTCGCGCAGCGCCTGGTACTTCTCCAGGCGCTTGTTGACATCCTTGCGGTAGTCCAGTATCTTTTGTTCCTCGGAAGACATGTTTGCTCCCCAAAATCTGCAAATATAGACCAAAACCAGTACCGTTAGATGTAAAAGATTGCTGCAGAAAATGAACTATATTCATACCTGTATCAATCGCGCAGCCAGTACATTTTTTTGTTGGGGCTTAGAAATACATGTACATTTAGTTTCCGACTTTGAAATGTTCGAATAAACACTTGATACTATAATTCAAGTTGCAAGCAATACTACGGGCCACATCATTTCTGAATACATGGAGGGGTGCGACAGTTAAACCGGTTGAATCACTTGATTACTGTTGCTGTTGATTTACAACAAATGGGATGACTTGTACATTGTACATCTCATGCCAATTCAAAACTGCTACATTTTTAATAAACTGAAACAAAAATAAGCTGCCTAGAAAATCTTCCCGGCCGTGAGGCATAAAACACAAGGCCGAGAACGGCGAATAACTTACCGGTACGTACCGGGGTAAAGACTCGAGGGTAGTGACGGTAGCAGTTGTTGGCTGGACGCGGGATGGGTGCGGTCGCTTCAGACCACGCGTAAGACCAAGACACTGTTGGTGCTTTCGGTGGAAGTGCTATCATACCAGCTCGGGATTTTCTCTTATATACTGGGTATAAAGCTCAACACTCACGCATTTGTACAATAGGTGGCATGAATGGAATGGACAGGCAATATTAGACTACGTTCCATGATTTCGTTGTCTTACTCCGATTGTGTCATAGGTATGCTCATTCCTAATTCATATACCGTTGTTTTGATCTTTCTCTATACCCTCTTTGCCATTGTGCTGTGACATGCTCGACATAAGCATGTTAAGTATGCGGTGTATGGCCGATTATTTTGGACTAGCGTGGGGTTACATCATTTCAGTGCCGAGCCGAAAGTACGTAGTCACAACAATCTTTCACTTTCATCAAATCAATTATTGAAAAACGGCACTCTGTCTGGGCGTCGTGTGGTCCTCATTTTATTCTCCTACATAATGTTTTACATGTACACGCAGGGCGAAAGATATTGTGTAAAAACAACATAGAAGAGAGTGTTTTATTTAAAACTTTAACTTTATAAATAAGGAAACATCAATAATCTTTTTGAATCAGGAAAGACTCTTATTTGAATGGAAGGGGCGGATCTAGCTTTCAGGAAACACATGAGCCGGGGGATTTTCGAGTGAAGGGTGCCCCTGCTGTAGGGGGTCCGCGGCAGCCCCCTCCCCCATTCTAAGGTAATTTGAGAATAAATTTAGGAAATTTAGTTTGACTTGAGTCAAGGTTTATTATGTTTGCCCCCTTTAGTAGTTTATTTTGTTTTGGCGGCAGAACGGGGGGGGGGGGACTACTTGAGACAAAAGCTTGAAAACTGAATAAAAAGGTGCAAATATTAATTTAAAGGTAGAGAGATAACTTTAAAGTTGCCATTTAAGTCGTGGGGAAGCAGTCCATCATTAATTAACGCGTTAATGAGCAGAAAACAAAAAAAAATAAGAGCGCCGTTGGAACCCCGACCCCACCCACCCCTCGGTTTTGTTTCATGAGAATTCTGAAGAAGTAAAAAAGCCAGGTTGATTAATTCATTTTTCCTTTAATGTGGTCGGTCGTTAGTTTCTGAATTGGGTTGATTGTGTAAAACTAGGGTTCCGTCTGTTTTGTTTTTATTCGTCATGTGACACGCGCCGCACCGGTGTGACAGGTAATTCTGTCCCCCTGGAAAATGTGTCCCCCCGGACACATTTACCGGCTCGTGACCCGGTAAATGTGTCCGGGGGGACACTTTTACCTAGGTAGATTTGTCCCCATCCAGGTAAAAGTGTCCCCCTGCCCAACGGTGAAAGTGTCCCCCCGGTAAATGTGTCCCTATGCAGAATATACTGAGAGCAGCAGCGTGTCGCGCGCGCCAGTACATGCTGCAAGATATGTGGCAGTGATTATCACGTGTACAAATTATCAAGCTATTATGACCGTAACAATACAGGATTTTAATTGCAACAAATACAATCCTAATGGAAGTCAACATGGATTTTTGACGATTAAAACACTAGATTGCTACGATCATATTGTATTTATAGCTCCACGGTTTCTCACGCCATTCAAACTACTTATGCTACACATCGTGAAAACTAATTGCACGAAATTTCAATTTAATCCATTTTGTATTTCTTGAGTAGTTCATCGGAAACGAGGTTGTTCTTTTTCTTCACTTGTGCAGCATCCGTATTGATGCGTTGTTGAGACCACTATTTATGAGGCGCGCCCTCTATTATAGTGGTCTCGATCTCCACCACGTAACCCGATTTCGGGCCAACAACTCAAGAAATAGACGTTACATTAAAATGAATTTTCGTACACTCATTTGTCATGATGTTTGGCATCAAAAGATTTCATTTCATAAAAAAACGTCAATTAATCAAGCTATTATGACCGTAACAATACAGGATTATATTTGCAACAAATACAATCCTAATGGAAGTCAACATGGATTTTTAACGTTTAAAACACTAGATTGTTACGATCATATTATATTTATAGCTCCAAGGTTTCTCACGCCATTCAAACTACTCATGCTACACATCGTGAAAACAAATTGCACGAAATTTCAATTTAATCCATTTTGTATTTCTTGAGTAGTTCATCGGAAACGAGGTTGTTCTTTTTCTTCAATTGTGCAGCATCCGTGTTGATGCGTTGCCGAGACCACTATTTATGTGGCGCGCCCTCTATATTATAGTGGTCTCGATCTCCACCACCAAACCCGATTTCGGGCCAACAACTCAAGAAATAGACGTTACATTAAAATGAATTTTCGTACACTCATTTGTCATGATGTTTGGCATCAAAAGATTTCATTTCATAAAAAAAAAGTCCATTAATAAAGCTATTATGACCGTAACAATACAGGATTTTATTTGCATCAAATACAATCCTAAGGAAGTCAACATGGATTTTTAACGTTTAAAACACTAGATTGTTACGATCATATTGTATTTATAGCTGTACGGATTCTCACGCCATTCAAACTACTCATGCTACACATCGTGAAAACTAATTGCACGAAATTTCAATTTAATCCATTTTGTATTTCTTGAGTAGTTCATTGGAAACGAGGTTGTACTTTTTCTTCACTTGTGCAGCATCCGTGTTGATGGTTGTTAAGACCACTATTTATGTGGCGCGCCCTCTATATTATAGTGGTCTCGATCTCCACCACCAAACCCGATTTCGGGCCAACAACTCAAGAAATACACGTTACATTAAAATGAATTTTCGTACACTCATTCGTCATGATGTTTGGCATCAAAAGATTTCATTTCATAACAAAAACGTCAATTAATCAAGCTATTATGACCGTAACAATACAGGATTTTATTTGCATCAAATACAATCCTAATGGAAGTCAACATGGATTTTTAAGGTTTAAAACACTAGATTGTTACGATCATATTGTATTTATAACTGCACGGATTCTCACGCCATTCAAACTACTTATGCTACACATCGTGAAAACGAATTGCACGAAATTTCAATTTAATCCATTTTGTATTTCTTGAGTAGTTCATCGGAAACGAGGTTGTACTTTTTCTTCACTTGTGCAGCATCCGTGTTGATGCGTTGTTAAGACCACTATTTATGCGGCGCGCCCTCTATTATAGTGGTCTCGATCTCAACCACCAAACCCGGTTTCGGGCCAACAACTCAAGAAATACACGTTACATTGAAATGAATTTTCGTACACTCATTAATCATGATGTTTGGCATCAAAAGATTTCATTTCATAAAAAAACGTCAATTAATAAAGCTATTATGACCGTAACAATACAGGATTTTATTTGCAACAAATACAAACCTAATGGAAGCCAACATGGATTTTTAACGTTTAAAACACTAGATTGTTACGATCATATTGTATTTATAGCTCCACGGATTCTCACGCCATTCAAACTACTTATGCTACACATCGTGAAAACGAATTGCACGAAATTTCAATTTAATCCATTTTGTATTTCTTGAGTAGTTCATCGGAAACGAGGTTGTTCTTTTCTTCAATTGTGCAGCATCCGTATTGATGCGTTGTTGAGACCACTATTTATGTGGCGCGCCCTCTATATTATAGTGGTCTCGATCTCCACCACCAAACTCGATTTGGGGCCAACAACTCAAGAAATACACGCAGTGGCGTAGCCGTGGGGGCGTGGGGGTGATAGCCTAAGAAGGAGACCAAAAAGTTAATTTTTTTCATCTTCATGAAGGGCAGACTAAAGAGTAAAAAATGTATACAGTAGAGTGAATTCATGAAAACAATATAGAGAACTGGCCTTCTGCGTTGCAAAACTAGGGGGACAAAAAAACCTGGAGAAGACAGAATTACCTGAAGGGGGACAGAATTAACGGGCCGGGGAGGACACTTTTACCTAGGTAATTCTGTCCCCCCCCCCCCCGGACACTTTTAACGGGGGACAGAATTACCGTCCACACCGGCACCTGCACATTCAACTATGACGTCACAAGAGGGCGCGATTCAAGAATTGTGTGGTGGTGGCGCACTTGCAATGTTTTTGTAAACACAGTAGTGAAGCACGTGCTACGTAGGGCGAAGTACTTTGAATCGATTTGTTCCGTTGTATTTAGTTCATACATAAAGGTAAGGTTTATTTTGATACTCGATAGGTTTCAAAAGGAATTAAAATGACTAGCCTGCAGTTCTCTGTTTGTATGGTATGGTCAGAAACCGGGTATTTTAGGCCATTGGGGGATGGGGATTGTGTAGTTGACATCATGACAATTGACATGGACATCTGGACATGACATGATCGACATGATCGACATGGTCATGATGGTCATGATGGTTGACATGGTATATGAGATTGCGAACGAAAATTCCACTTCTAAACCTCTGGACTCACCTAAATAGATGACGATGACATTGACAACATGTTGAATATCTGCAGGATTAATTTTGTGGAAAGAACTTGAAGCAGGGTTTTGATTTTTGAGGGAATAGGGTAAAAACGAAATGAACATGGCGACATGAGTACGAGTGTCCAACTTCCAAGCTGGTTTGGTAGAATGTTGCTGATTGGTTGATGAACAGATCCATTTAGAAGTCAACTTTTGGACTCTTAGTCTTAAGTAGTCACCCCTAGAACTCTGGAGCTCCGCACATGTAAACAAGGCATGACACATTTTATGGAGCGACTTTCATAAGCTTTGTGCAAGAGGGTGAGATTTACATGCCATACGAAAAAAATACTCACTTCCAAAATGTCGATACAGGCAGCGCTAGAGAAGGTGGCGGAATAGGCTTGCTGCGGCTGAAAGCTTCTTAAGGAAATATTTAATAAATGCAGGATCACCCCTGATGTCTTTGCATTTGCACACCTTGTCGATGGAGTGTTGTGCTAACCAATCGAGGAGGTGTGCAATGACATCAGGGGCGATCCTGCATTCCTTCAGAAGCTTTCGGCTGCAGCACGCGCCTTCCGCCACCGTCTCCAGTGCTGTATCGACATTAGAGGACGCCACGTTGAAAGTGATTTATTGCATTGCAGGTTTTTGTAAGATACATTGTACCAACAGAACGATGGCGTTAATAGACGCAAAATTCCAGCCATGGGCAGCAGTCAAGGACCAACTTCAAACCATACTACAGACTGTGGACCCCCAGGACATGTGCGTGACCATTCCCTATGGACTTCAGGTATGTGTGCAGTGTACAGTGAATCTGAGGACATGTCCCGGACAACATGTGAGGAATATCCATTCACTGTGTGGACTTCCGAACAAAAGATGTCCACCAGGTTTCAGATACGTTGTGTGGACTTGCCCACGTCCACACAAGGTTTCCCCCTCTCTGGAAAAAAGCTGGCGGTCATCTCCTTCCTTTTTTTCAAAAAGGCAGGACACTAAACATGTTTTTTTTTTTACTTGGCCTAACAGGGCTGGATAGCTCAGTTGGTAGAGCACTGGTACGGAATTCAGTTGGAGCAGGTTCAAACCCTCTCCAGTCAACTCCTTTGTTCAACTTTTAAAGTTGTTTCTGGTTCAATGTTTGGGAAAATTTAATTCAGAATTTTGCATGTAAACATCACGCCCTTCATCATATTATTATAGCTGCTTCACGGTATGCATCATCCCCACGTGGTACGTTGCCTAGCCTTCTACCATTCCACAACCGGCGATATCTACGTCACTCACATAGACACTGGAGCATGCAATGAGATCTATGTATGGACCATCAGTAGTCTGGACGAACAGGTCGTCAAATGCACCAAGTGAGTTTGAGAATTTAGATTAAGTTGATGCGCTCATTATAACAATTATATTTCAATTCAGAACAGTTCCCCGATGGTTTGTTTATGCAAATACAGTGAAATCTTGATAAGTCAAACCTCAGAAGAATTGGTTTAAATTTTGAGTTAAAGGGAATATACAACATTTGCAAACATCGAAAAATAAAACTACCAAGTTTTTACAAAATACCTTAATGGGATGTTGGTAAATGACAGTCTAAAGCATCCTGTAAAATTATGGCACCTGGTGTGAAGTCATTTTCAAGAAAATTTTATTTTTGTAAAAATTTCCAGCGGTGGTCGGCCGACCACCGTTGGAAAAACCTAACTATTTTTCAACTTCTGCTCCAAATTTACCATTAATTCAGTCCAAATTTTGTTTGCTAGTGGTTACATGTTCATGAACGGGTGCAGGCCAACTAGATTGGTACCCTTACCTTACAATTTTCCGGCATCTGTAAATTGATCCATTTTATATTTAGTGGAGTCAGGGAACCAGACTACTTGAACAGTTTTGTTTTTCTTGGTTTTTCCAGCATTTTCGAACACAAAACTTCAAACGCTGTCAGTGTAACAATATTTGATTTATTATACTAACCCCTCAAATAGTTCATTTCTGAAAATGACAGCAAAAGCCAATGATGTACATTCCCTTTAAGCAGAGTTTTGAGTTATCCAATGGATTTTCTATTCAACAACAATTGACGGTAATAAAATTTTTACTTGGAGTTAAAAGGGTTTTTGAGTTAACAGGTTTTGACTTATTAAGATTTCACTGTACTCCTTATTTTAGGGGCATTATGCCAAATTGTACAAACGTTTACAGGTATTAAAATCTGAATCTTTCAATTTAAAAAAAAAATTATTTAGAGATTTTACAGATTGCAATAAGCAAAAATAATATTCAGCATGTTGGTTAAGAAAAAAAATGAGATGTTACAAATTTAGATTAAAAACACAACAGAAGAGTCCCTTTGCCTGATTTTCATTTTAAGACTCCTCTTTTTCACTGAAATTGTGAATTTTGAACTTGTGCATTACGCAGAGCTCTATAAAATTCATTTTTAATGCAGTCCTTTATTTCTTCTCTTGCATTCAGGTTTCCCATAAAAGCTGCCATCTCCAGACTGATTTTTATTCCGCATCACAGGGTATGATTGTTATAAATTTATATATTTTTTGGGGGGTGGGGTGGGTTAGTTGTCGCTTTTTTTCTCGGATAAAACCTGGCTTGAAAGATTCATGGCTGTATGTTGGGCAGGGTAGTAATTTTTCTCTACCAAAACTGCTTTCATTTAGTGCGCATTAATGGAAAGACTACCTGATCGGCCATTTCCAAATTTTGTGTAATTTTATTTGAAGTTCAGGTATAAAACCATTTCCTGGTGATCACTCAAAACTTCTCAAATGTTTTCTTATTCTGGTAATCTAAGGCTTTTGCTGTCATACACCTTTACCTATGCAAAGATGCATCAGGTTTAAGCATGTTCCGATGGAAATTAGTTGCGCCTACTCCACATTACGCATAATGCTCCAGTAGTGCCATCTGCTGACTTGGTAATCTAATGCTCATACAGCTGCTGTGACACTGAATGTATGCTGCAATGGTTTCGTTTCTACTTGTCTTTGTAGGTGTTTGTGGGATTCTGCAGTGACATGACACTGCGCACGTTCAGCGACTTGATCCATCATTGTGCTGAGCTGACCCAAGTCACATGTCTGTCCACAGTGCTCTGGTAAGTAACGTTTGAGTTCATCCCATCACGATCATCCTCAACATGATCCGAATTGGTCAAAAATAACCCAAGTGCTGTAGAACTCTTGATAAAACTTGATACAAGAGGCAGAGTCACAAGCTGGAAATCACCATACCAAGCCTTATTAGGCAAAAAAAAAAAATACGTCGGTCTCTGGTCAGTGCGCGCGTCGATTTTACCAAAGAGCACCAAGGAATGGGAAATTGCACCAAGGCAAATGATCGAAAGCACCAAGGCAAATTATGGAGGACACCAATGTACATGAGAACACCAAATAGCAAAATAGTACCCCACCTTGTCTGTACAATCCAAGCTTGAAGAAAAAGAAAAAAAGCCCCCCAAAAAAAAAAGCCGCGTCCCCGCGTCAATTCCGGAACTTTGGTCTGACCAGAGACCGAATATTTTTTTTTTGGCCTTACTCTACTCAAGGTCATTCAGTCCTTGGCTGTGACCTCCTCATCTATCAAATTAAAGTTCTTCAAAAATTCTGAGGGATTTTGGTGATTTTTTTGTAAGGGCTGAGCAATGTTTATATTTTGGTTTGCAGCATGGCGTACAATGAATGCAATGATGAACTGATAACTGGGGGCCACGGATGCCTACAGACTTGGAAAATGACTCACATTGAGGTAAGCGTGCACTTCTGATTTTTTTTCCAATTCCTGATGACCTCATTTCTTTTGAGTATATAGTGTGATATTCACCCATTTGATTGGCAATTACAAGTCAATCGCAAGTTAAATCATTATTAAGGGCCCACTTCACAAGGAATGAACACTACTGACTGGCAAGGAATGCCTTCAGCATAGTTCATTTTGAGACTGGATAATGCCCAGATAATGACGCGAAAATAAATCTGTGATAACTTGACTTTAGCGTTTTTTGTCCAATCAGCTCCGTGATCCTTTAACCCCGGGTCGACCCATCGAGTGTCAGATCACCTCTGAGGATTGGGTCAGGGACCTACAGATAGACAAGAAGCATCGTCAGTTGGTGGTGCTATGCGATGAGGGAGTGTGCATCATAGACTACCAGACCAACAAACAGATCTTCTTCATCCGTAATTGGCACGAGACAGCTCTGACAAGGTATAAGTCATATCATCATCTGAAAAAAGTTTCTGATTAATTTTGCTATGGACTCTGTGCATAGGTATCCTAGCTTTCAGCAGTTTCAACTAGAAATTTATGACCGATGTTTGAATCAGTGCTGCAGTCAAGTCCAACACAAGTCCAGTCTAAAGTAAATCACAAATCCTTTCACAAGTCCAGTCTTTGTCATGGATTTGTGATGGACTTGTGCAAGGGTGGATCCAGAACCGAATTTTTTTTTTGGGGGGGGGGGGGGGCAGCAATACGGCTTAAATATTTTTTTTTAAAAAGGGTTGGGGATTAAGTGTTAAGTATCGTGTGCCTTTTCCACGTTGTGATATTAAAACTTTACTTCCTGAGAATCTATTTTAAAAAAAAGAGAAAAAAGGAGGGTTTTTTTGGGGGGGGGGGGGGGCCATGGCCCCGGCTGGCCCCTCTTGAATCGCCACTTGGCTTGTGATGGATTTGTGATGGTCTTGTGATGGTCTTGTGATGGACTTGTGATGGACTTGTGATGGACTTGTGATGGACTTGTGATGGACTTGTGATGGTCTTGTGATGGACTTGTGATGGACTTGTGATGGACTTGTGATGGACTTGTGATGGTCTTGTGATGGACTTGTGATGGACTTGTGATGGTCTTGTGATGGACTTATGGTGGACTTGTGATGGACTTGTACTATGTGATGGACTTGTGATGGACTTGTGATTGACTTGCGATGGACTTGTGATGGACTTGCGATGGACTTGTGATGGACTTGTGATGGACTTGTGATGAACCTGTGATGGACTTGCGATGGACTTGTGATGGACTTGCGATGGACTTGTGATGGACTTGTGATGGACTTGCATTACATTGTTCAAAGTGGTCTTGTTTTATCTCTTTTCTTTAGTTGTGTCTTCTACCGGCGTCTTGAATACTTTGTCACAGCTGCTATGGACGGCTCCATCAAAGTCTGGAATGCCGTGGTGTACAGTCAGGTGCACGAATTCATTGGACACTACGATTGTGTCACAGGTGAGACAGGATACCAGATCATTGATTTGTTACTGTTATACCATGGTTTAAGAATGTCATTTTATTGGAGAACTGTTCACGTGACATAATTATTTCATGCGTTTGTGTATATATGGCCAAAAGGACGCCAACGAACGTCACCTCAGGACATTTTTCTGCAAGTGGCTTGTTAGGACAGAGGTAAACACAAGGATAATACTATTGAGTTTTCATTTTAGGTCTTGTAATGCATCCATCAGATCCTCTGCTCATATCCAGCTCCAAAGACGGCACGATACGGATGTGGAGACTGGACACATTTGAATTGGTAAGGAATAGTATTATTTCTTAGTGTTCCCCCTGTAAACTTTGCTTCATCCTTACTTGTTGTTCCTATTCAGATTTCAACATGACTTCAATTGTATTTTTGAAATGCAACCTTTTGAAGTCGTCTGTTCTAAATCGTCTCCGAATTTAAAGGCAGGGTAGATCATTTTGTTATTTGTGCACTTTTACGTTAGAAGCGACAAAAGTGCTCAAAATCTAAAGACGGTTACTTTAACAACTAACCTGATGAAGTTTTGTGAATGCTGTATATATTCCAAGAAAAACAATATATTCTAGGATCTCATTTTCAATTCAAAATTTGGTGAGTCACATTTTGAATTGTGCTAGAAATCGGCGTCCGAGACACATTCTCATCATTCAGCTGATAGCAGCTACGCAATGTCACGCGCTGAACTGACGAATGATAGCAACTGCGCGCACATGTGCGTCGTATCAACGCTCGTGCACACCCATTCACGGATGCGCCGAATCACAAACCAACTACTAATGGAAATTTCCAACGATGTGTCACTTGACGAATCGTTGGAAATTTCATTAGAAATGTCCTTCTGTCATTTGTTTTCTTCAAGTTGGCAGTATGCCGGAAAGAATAATTTCACAGGGAGTTTAGTGCCATTACTATCTTTAAACAAGTAAGCTTTTCATCAATAATTTCGTCAGTTAGTTTTTGGATAGCTGCAAATGATGGACTCTACCATTAAACAACGAAAGGCTGAGTTCAGAATCTATTTTATATTTCTGGCTGAGAGTCACCCGATCCTTTACCTATATAGCAGTGTCTTAGTGAAGTCCGTCAGAAGTCGATCACAAGTTCAGTCACTGGTGACAGCGAGTGAACAATAACGTAGGAATCCCTTTGTTACAATTCGTTTGAGTTTCTTATGACTTGACTAAATACTGATGATTGACTTGTGATTGACTTGTGATGGAATCGACTACAACACTGCCAAGTAGTTTATGCAGACGTCAAGAAAACAGTAAACACTCACGCAGAGTTCACAAGGATTAATTGTCTCACACAGACTCAGCGGCTGGACGTTGGTGAGAAGATTCTGGGAATGCGGCTGGCAAATCACAACCAGCTGTACTACTACACACTACATGACGTCAAGATCTACACTTTCAATCAGGTACAAATGAGACCATCAAATAAACCGCAAGGATCCAGAGAAGATTCACTGATTTGTTTCAAAAGGAAGGGTGACGAAGGGCAAATTTGAGCCTGTCACCTGGAAAATAATGATTTATCCAGCCCTAGCTGATTTATCCAGCTATATGTTGACAGTTCCCAAGTTACCTGAGGCACTAGTCAGAAGCAATAAAAAAAGTGTCACGGTAAATGCTGTATGCGGCTGAGTGCCAAGTGAGGTTGCAACAATGAGAAATATCATATGTGAAGTATGAATATTGTTCTGAATGTATCGAAATTTCCACAGTTTCCTAATAAAAAAAGATGATCATAACCATTTGTGACCTTTCAAATTTTGGTTGTCTTGTAGTTCCATCACATATTTACTCCGGTCCAGTCTTGCATCCACAAGCTTGCCCGGGTGAAGACTGCTTCCTGTCCCACGAGGATCCTCTGTGCAGCTGAGGTGAGTTTCTTTTGCTAAAATCATAGCAATTATTTCTAACCCCAAATATGGACAGTTTAGCTGTACAATGCTTTATTTTCGTTCCGACTTTGGAATGTGTTCATATCCAAGTATTGTTCAATTCATTGAGTGAAGAATCACATTTTAGTTTTTGGGTAATTGCAGCCTTTGTTTTTGTTGCTCTTGGTATTCAATTTTATCAACATGTTAAAGTGATTTCTACAAATTTATGATGATTTGTAGTATTCTTCCTCACATACCTATAGGATGGTGGTGTACGTTTGATATCTGCTGTATCCGGAACCATTCTGACCATCATCTACCCAATGGCCACTTATCAGGTGAGATTCCTGGTGTTTCGTCTCGTTTAACTTTTTATGATTTGTCTGAGAATTTGGATTTGAATATCAAATCTCTGATGGCAGAATTAGTTATCATAGTTGTATCAGCTCACCATTTTATAAGCAAATGTGAAGATGAACAGCTAGTTTTCACAAATTATCATGAAAATTCTCATGTTCATTTTGCCACCCAAAAAAAAGCCAATATTTTTTCCTTTTTCTCCAATTTTTCTCACCCTGGATCTAATGTTTGACTTTTGCATGTGTACTTTTTCTTCATTTTTTGCGCTGCTATCTTTGGCATTTTTATAATGTTTTGACAGATCTTGACGGACCTTGTCTACGATCCCACGCACAATATGATCTACACCGTCATGGCCACAGGCGATGTCTTAGTCTTCAACAGCGACACCAATCCCTGTACTGCAGACCAGCTGTGGGTGCCGGGACTGCCTGACGAATGCGTGCTGTGCCTGGCAATAATCAGGCTGGTAAGTCAGCGTATGGGAGTTGCCACTGTTCCTGTTGGGAGTTTCAGTACTTTGGGTTTTGGAATTTGGGTAAAGATCATCACAAATCAAATCACAAGCCAATCACAAGTTAATCACAAGCCAATCACAAGTCAGTCACAAATCAATCACAAGTCCAATCACAAGTCACTCACTAGTCCCATCACAAGCCAATCACAAGTCCAATCTCAAGCCAATCATAAGTCCAATCACAAGCCCATCACAAGTCAATCAAAAGTCCAATCACAAGTCAATCACAAGTCAATTCGCAAGTCAATCACAAGCCAATCACAGTCAATCAAAAGTCAAATCACATGTAAATCACATGTCAAATCACAAACCAATCATTAGTCGATCAAAAGCCGATCATAAGCAATCAAAAGCCAATTACAAGTCCAATCGCAAGCTAATCATAAGTCAATCACAAGTCAATCAAAAGCCAATCACAAGTCAATCACAAGTTAATAACAAGTCAATCACAAGTCAATCACAAGTCAATCAAAAGTCCAATCACAAGTCAATCACAAGTCAATTCGCAAGTCAATCACAAGCCAATCACAGTCAATCAAAAGTCAAATCACACGTCAAATCACAGGCAAGTGACAGGGGCTTACGATTGACATATTTTTATTGAAATATTGTCATATTATCACAAATACATCAAAAATGACAAAATAACTTGATGCATATTCTAATTTCCAAAGCTATATCTGTTTTCAGAAACCAGAAATAAAGTGGCATGACATCAGGGTTGGAGTCAAGTCAATCACAAGACAGGGGAATGCCCTACCATAATTCATTTATAAAATCTTGTCTTGACTTGAGCCTGGATGAGTTGTGATTAACTTGTGATTACTTTACTGCAACTCTGTGTGCCATAAATGCATTATCTTTTTCATCTTTTCTGTGTACTGTGTACAGGATTGTGCACTAGGCAAGCCAGAGTCCGCCCACTGCGAATCCCTGATCTTTGCCGGGCTGAACAGCGGTCAGATCGTACTGCTAGAAGCCCAGCACCACTACATGAAGATACCAGTCCAGGCCCACCTAGGGCAGGTCACGGCTCTGGAGTACTCCCACGGTCAATGTGATAGGAAGGGGGATGCCATCGGGGGTGCTGATAGGCTGATGTCTTGCGGATCAGATAAGGTTTGATCTTCAGTGATCAAGAAACTGTATAACTGTTTCAGAAACAAGTGTCTTACATCCAAACACCATAACATTAAAATCGAACAATGAATCAGATTTCAGGTGAAAATTTTGACCAAAATTGTATTTAACATAAAAAGATAAATTTTCACTTACTACATGTTTTTGTCTTTGACTTTTGACAGATTGTTCGTGTCTGGGCTATTGAGCTGATGGGTCCTAAGGATCTGCAAGTTAAACTGACTTGCAGAAAAATGGTGAGCGTATGATGAAAACTGTAGTGTTTTTCCCATGCGTAAGGGACTTCACGAGAGATTAACACATTCTGTGCTAAGCATTAATCCTGCTTCTTTTGCCATTGTTTGTAAAGTTGTCTAATCTGTCATTACTCACCATATCTGAAGTCTTTTCGTGTTGCTTTTCATATGGAACTTATGCAACATGCATCCATTCATTTTGGTTTCCCGAAATTAAATTGTTTACTGGAATATTATTTCTTACTTTCCATAATGTCTTTCTTCCTTGGGCCAACAAAAAATAATAGTTCTGCTTCTGGTTACCCTACCTACCCTATTTTTACGGCCTCTACCCTAATTTTTTTGGGGAAAAATGAGGGAAAAAACCTGAAAATCATCAATTACTACCTTTTACCCTTTACTACACGCAGACACCTCCATATGATTGTACACACACAAAAATGTCCCCCCCCCAAAAAAAAAAAAAAAATCCCTACCTACCTACCCCATTTTCAAATGCCATGTAATCGGAAGCAGAAACTTTTTTTTTTTTACCTTAGTACCATTTTATATTGTCATATTTCTTTTCCAATCGTACCATGAACTTCCTCTGTTTGGCTTCTCCATTTGCACTACTTTTCTCTGCTCATCTCGCCTTTTTTCGTTGGCAACCTATAAACAAAAAAATTGACTATTTCGGAGACTGCCAACTTTGGGCCGAACAGCTCAGTTGGTCGAGCACCTGTATGGTGTTCTGGATGTCACACGTTCAAATCCCGCTCCAGTCAATTTCTTTGTTCCACCTAATATTCATGTTTCTGTCTAATCACTCATCCATTTCTTCCATCGCACACGCATAGATCACTTGTTCCCTCTGCCCATCTCATATATCCATGCTGGGGCATTCACTCTGTATGGTCCTACCTAACAAGTGAGTAACGTTAAGAGTTGTAGACAAGTCATCAGAAGCCATCACAAGTCATCACAAATCATGACAAGTCAAATCACAAGTCAATCGTAATTCGGTCACAAGGCATTCACAAGTCGATCACAAATCACAAGTCATATCACAGCTCAGTTGCAAGGCAGTAACGTAAAGTCAATCACCAGTCAAATCACAATCGATTGCAAGCCAATCCTAAGTCAATCACAAGTTAATTTCAAGTGAGTCGCAAGTGAAATCACAAGATATGTCATTGTCACAGCTTCTTTGAATAGCTTGTTAATTGACTTGAGACTGAATGACCCATGATGATTGACTTGTGATAACTCACATAATGACTTGTGACATTTTGATTTCATCCTGCATCTTCAGCAGTAAATGTTCTCGGAATATAGGACCGAATATGACCAAGAACCATTTCTTAATTATTGGCTGATACCGGTTTCACCCCTTTTGTTAACAATACGAGTGAGAATTGTTGAACTGCTAGTCTATAACCGTATGGTCTAACATGACAAAACCACATAGTAGTCTCCCTATTCTACATTATGCAGTCGTCTGCTGTGGTTCATTGGATTGTGTACATTTTAGGTAGTCTATGGCATTTTTCAAACAGTAGTTAACATGCTATTACAACTACAACATCAGTAAGATTTGAGGCTTTGCATGGTGGCGATACTAATGAATGAAAGGTTTGCGGAAACACCATGTGCGAATAATTTCTCAACTAAGAGAATGGTTCTGAAAAGAACCAGAGGTATAAACTCGACGTTCCGAGCATGCTGACCGGAACGTCGAGTTTATACCTCTGGTTCTTTTCAGAACCATTCTCTTAGTTGAGAAATTATTCGCATATGGAGTTTTCGCAAACCTTTCATTCAACTACAATATCTGTTAAAAGAAATGGAGTACAGATTTCTTATTTTGTTTTCCTTGTTTTTGTTTTCTAGTGTGATTCATGTGTATGAGTTACTCGATGAACTGGATGCAACTCAAACTGCCGCTGAAGAGGAGAATTGCAGCAAGTCAAAGATGTTGGAAAAGGCCACACTGCACACTCACATCAAAGAGCATGACCACACCAAGATGGTACATTTTCCTTACTTTTTATGTGATTTTATTGCATGCCAAAAATGTTTGGAGCAAACAATGCAAAAAGGACAGGCACGCGCATGTGCATTGTAGGGCGATACATTGTCCAGTATGGGTGAATAGCACTGCATACCTTGTTTTCGTATGTACACAGGTACGTTATTTTTTGCAGTCGACTGAGCGACCATTGTAGGTGGTCGAACTTCAAACTTGGCACAAACTTTGACGTGAGTGTGCGTTCAACCTGTGAAAACAACACCATTGAATCGCGTGCGTTGTTTGCATGAGCAGTTCTCAAAAACTCTGCAAGTATGCAACCTATACCAGCGGCAAAGCAATTTGCATTTCCCGAACATGCACATTTTAGACGGGCACTGCACTAGTAATTTAAAATTTGCATCAGGGAGATGTAAAATCGATATTGGGTTTTGCCCTTCGCAGACATATTTTTATAACCACTGTATAATTGTCCAAGGGCTTGCGATAATTTGATTTCACGAGCTTACTCAGGTGGACTCGAACGTACAACCACTTGCTTACTAGTGCTGACGTCTTAACTCAACCCTGAAATTTTTCAGGGGTAAGGACTAATTTCTGTTTGTGGGTGTTTTTGTTCCCCGAATCCAGGTTACAGCCTTATGCAGCTGCCAATCCCTGGGCTTGTTTGCAACAACAAGCAATGATTGTTCGGTGAAGGTAAACACATTTTTCCCTCCAAATCCACGGGGTTGATTATATTGATTATTTGCTGAGCTCCCACATCATGGAAAGTCCTGGAATTTGAAGCTTTATTTACAGTCCATTTTTCTGTACTTCGTCTTTTATGCATATTTGTTTTTATATAACCGACATACAGATCCTTGACATTTGATTGGTGGAACTCACATCACGTGACATTCATTATTGCTCCCATTCACGCCGCGGCTCAAAAAGTACTATCCGCCCATGGGGAATGGGAAATACTATTGAACAATTAGGATCATGACGCGGTATTTGTGTGCAAATGCATGCTGGTGTGCGCATTCAGCATAGCGCATATTGTTCCAAAGAGCCAGCGCTACAGCGTTGGGTTCAAACATTTTCGTGAAAGGGCTGGTTTGGAGGAGAGAAATACATTTTCCTCCAGTTTCGTATTGAAATAAAAGTTCAAATATATCAAATGACAAGGATGTATACGTCAGGTATATAAAACAAATATTGAGTGGCTTTATATTGTGAAATGGGAGGAATATTATCGCTTGGTAAAATCTGGACTTTTCCAGTTCACTCGGCTTCGCCTCGTGAAATGGAAAAGTCCAGATTTTACCTTGCGATAATACTCCTCCTATTCCATGCTGAACCACTCAATATTTGTATACTATACTTGTTGCATGTTCAGTGCACCATTATTGTAATGCATTTTATGGTGGTTAGTGATCAGTGTTAAACTGGAAAGCTGAAAGGGAATGGTGCCCCTTTTAATGCCTCACAGTGTGATGACTGGCCATTGTGTTGTAAATAGGCCCCTTAGATGCCAAAACAGTGTAATAATTGGTCCTGGAAAAGTCATTTCACATCGTAAAATTTAATTTTAAGATTTGTCTGGGAAAATTGAGTGCTAAAGCAATGATTTTGTCGAAATTTATTTGTACAGCTTGCGACTTCACTTGAGATTGGATGACTAGCACAATTGGTTTGTGGTAACTGAATTAAACCCCTTCCTTTATTCTAGTCTATTGTAAACTGAGTCCGTAATGAACACTTCTCCTGCATGTTTTGCAGCTTTGGGATTTGGCCAACACGTTAGTCAGGGAGCTGTGTTTTGATGCATCATTACGCAGTGTCTGCTTTGCTAACGATCGAGGCGATCTCCTAGTTGGCTTCCAGAACCACGTCAGGTAAAATCAGCATTTTCGTCTTCGCGTCAGCATCAGGCACATTTTGGCAATGTGTTTGAATGGTACTTGTGCACGGAGACCATTTTGTCGTATTCATCGACGCTACGATTTTTGTCATTTATTTAGTTATGTCGCCATCAGTACCTACCTGCCTCTGTCCTACATGGAAAGACTGCTAGAAGGGATGGACTTCAAGGATGAGGAGATTGAAGAGCCAATCAGATTCAACCCTGACCTCCAACTCTGGTAACCAGACTTCTTTCATCTACTGAAACTCAGTAGCTGGCCTGTGATTGCAGTAACCAGATTTTTAACACAGTAGCATTACAGATCTTCTCCCATTGGCTGAAAGTTATTTGTTAATTTGCATAAGCCACACCCACCAATAGCTTTGGGTTAGTGTACGTCTTTTGCCTTCTACTTGGCATGCGGTAGTAAGGTGATCATAGAGTGTCAAAAATCACAAACTTGTAAATGTATAATTTATAAAAACAAACGACGTATTTCCATAAATTTGGTAACTTGATTCAGGTTTTCTGAAATCGATTTTTGAAACTTGTCATCACCAGGTTTAACGTGTCCAACCTGCCGACGTTCCCCACCGATGTGTTCCTCAGACGTCATATGCAACAGTCGGCAGACCACCTGCAGAAGCATCGGCTCAGTATAGCGCCCCCTAGAGACAGGGGAGACAGCGAGGCCATATTGTCGCCAATGGGTGCCAGCAGTCCGACCCTGGGTGAGATGCATACAAAATTATCATCTTTTTTAATTAAAAATCACAATTATATGTTTGCACTTATGAGTTTTACAAAGAAGCTCAAGATAATTGCATTTGTTCTCTACACTCACAGATGCCCATTTACGCCTGGATGGAGACAGGCAATTGTAGTAAAGTGTCTTGCCCAAGAACACAACGCACCACGAATTCAATAGCAATCAAGCCCTTGTTTCTGCCCCACCTATGTTGGACACCATTACCATAGGACAATGGATCATGGAAATTGAGCTCTTTAAAAACTAAAATGTTCAATCCTAATGTAATCATTCTTAAAAGCAAATGAGCAGGGATAAAAGAGCAAAGGAAGTGTTATGGATAAGGGTGAAGAGAGGGAACGATTGTATAGAATTTCCGGGGAAAAACGCAGAAATATGGGCCAGTACCATAGAGCTATATTAAATTACTAGAGCGCTTACTCATGTACAGTGATGCCTGCTGGGCGCATCCATATTTGTACACAAATCTATAGAGAACTAGAAATTCTGTACGTATTTTGTATGTCTATTTGCAAATCTGCGTTTGTATTCCATACCGGTGCTTCATCGAAGCCGATACGCCAAAAACCAAAACGCACGATCAGCAAATGAGCGTGTCATTTTGCAAACAGGGCAACGCATGTGCGTAATATGCGTAAGCAGTTTGCGTACATTTTACTTGCGCGTTGCATTTAAGATTACACTTTCAAAATTCAATCCATCTAATTTCATTATGTTCTACAAACATGCACATGAATTACAAACGTCTGCACCCAGGACGGCTTCAAAGCGTCTCCGTGCGCAAGAATGAAGACTTAGCGCTCTAGTAATTTAATATAGCTCTAGATCTGTGGCCAGTATGGTGATTTTCCCTGTTTCCTCATCTGTTCTATGACAGGCCACGAGGCATCCCCTACCGTTTCTCTTGATGTGGCCCAGAGACAAAGCCATGCCAAGGCTCGTGTCCGTTTCAGCAGCCTGAAGCCTCCACTGGATGAGACCGTCGCACAGAAACCACATGAAGTGTTCGAGGTGGACTCTAAAGAGGCTAAAAAGACTCAGATCATGGGTAAGATGTGTACATGTGTACTATTTGCTTAGGAAAAGGTTTATCAGCCAAAATGGACTTTTGACTGGATGGCAGCTGAATTTTGCTTTTTATATCACAATGGCTACAGGTGTGTACAGGGTACATGTAGTAGAGATGCTGCTTAATACCTTGCAATTAATAATCTGTAAAGACTTATATTGGAGTCATTACAAGTCAATCGCAAGTCAGAAATTGTGTGTCATAAAGTAAGAGGGGATGAACAATGACAAAGTTAGTTGACCAGCCTTTCAAATGAAACGTGGCAAAGTTATCCATTTGTCATGGTTCCTGTCCTTTTACTTGTGACGTCCTTGTTCAATAAATTGCAATGGACTTGTGATCGACTTGTGATGGAGTTTGATGGACTTGACTACACGTCTAATATTTTAACAAATAATTACAATATGAATCCATGCAGTCGAACGTCCATCATAAATTAATAGTATTTGCGGGAATCACAGCTTTATAAAGATTGCACTATGAGCAGGCAAGCTGGTTTCCTTTCTTTCCTTTGTAATATAATTTAATTTTACAACATTGTTTTGTGCAAATGTAATCTGGCTTAAGTCCCAGAACATTCATAAAACTTAATGAATTTATTAGATCAAAGCTTTTAGACAAAGATGCTTGTCTCAAACATCTGTTGTCATGGAAATAGATAAAATGGAGGCTGAGGACTCCACCCATGATGAGGAAGTAGCAGGAGATGAGGAGGATGCTGCTGTGACCAAAGAAGAGGAGGCGGAGCTTGGAGGGCAGTTTGAGGAGGAGGAGGAGGAGCTGGATTTCAACCCATGGCCTATTGCACCAGATGGTGAGAAAGCTTAAGTTTTCTTTTATCTAAAAGGCAATTTCCATTTTCCAAACTTTTAACTACAACGTACAAATCTGTCTTGTCTGATCCTTATCAGCCACATTGTGAACTGGTGGAATTAGAATAGCAGAGAAGAATGATTGTGATTGGCTGTGAGAGCTTGTGATTTTTACTCTGATTGGCCAGAAGTATATTGGCTCTTCAAGTTCCAGGGTGAAAGTTTAAATGTAACATGAAATGGATTCTTCTAAAATTTTTGGATGTAAAAGGAAAACAAATAATTATATCAACTGTTTCACTGTGGTATAAGTTTGCTAAAAAAATTGCTTGATTTTGGTCAGTCATTTCCAGAATATTGAAAATGTTGATGGATTCATTACACGTCGTTGTCACAATCATTTACTGCAGGATATATCCCAAACTCAGTCATCAGAGGCATTATGGGATACCATCACACACTGGAACCGATACCCGAATCGCCATGGAAACTCAAAGATGTAAGTTAAAAGTGGGAATTTCAAAACTTCAGAATGCTTTTCTTGATTTGACTTACAGGTTTTTCATTGACGATAATTATTTAGTAGAAATGTTTTTCATCAGATCAAATTGTTTTTGCGTGGCTTTGTTGACAGGTTCCATCAGGATTTCTAGCCGAGAAGACGCCGGTGGAATCAGATTCTTATGTGAGTATTGTTTGCCTTATGAAATTGATCTATAGTATTGTACTTCAGCAGTTTCATTCAATTTCGTGTTCAAGCTAATGTTAGAAAGGTTTTGAAAGCAAAAGAATACAGTAAGCACACTGGATAGATCAGTTTGTGTGGTCTTAATTGTGGCGTCATACGCAACTTGGAATCTGCAAAGCGTGTACGCGGCACGGATATAATTTATTGCAAACCATCCATCAGTGTAAATGCACAGTAAATTGTCAAATTACCCCCTCTGTGAAAATAAGATTTTTAATCATATAAGATATTTCACTGGAAGAAGATTAATTGCTGAACATATATATGTGCCATATTTGTCTGTGTTTAAAAGCAGGATTAGCCACAGATACAACGCTTTCATCTGAGACTGCTATTTTGGATTACTGCTTAGCCTACACGATGAAAAACAAAAGATTTGTCAATGAAGTTTACAGATAGCTACATGTTTGCATACACGTATCCATTTAGATATGAAACCCTTTATTGATTTATTTTTGGCAAAAGACTTATGAGGTGTGTCTTTACAAAGTTACAAAATCCTTCTCAAACCTCGTTCATGTTTTTATTTCATTAGGAGCGTCATGAGCCTTTCATCTGGGGTCCCTCCTCCTCAGAGGAGGAAGAAGAGTTTGACTTATTGTCCCTGGAGAACCTCCAGGACGAAGCCTCCAAGAACAAGATCTTCCAGGAGCTGGGCGTGGCCAACATGAGCGTCATGGAGAGGAGAAGGACTCTGGAGAAGCTGCAGCTGTCTGGGATGGGTGGGTGTGGCCATATGCATCATGGGTGTGGCATGTATATTTAATGTGTGGGAGTGGCTTAATTAGGTATGGGAAGATGTGGCTTCCAGGAGCTAGGCGTGGCCAACATGAGTGTCATGGAGAAGAGAAAGACTCTGGAGAAGCTGCAGCTGTCTGGGATGGGTGGGTGTGGCCATATGCATCATGGGTGTGGCATGTATATTTTAATGGTTGGGAGTGGGAGCGGCTTAGGTATGGGTGGGTGTGGCTTTTACATAGGTGGGTGCGGCCAACACTAGCATCAAACCTTCATGAACAAGATCTTCCAGGAACTGCATGGGCGTGGCCGATATGAGCATCATGTGGGTGTGGCCTATTCATGGGTGGTGTGGCTTATATATAGGTGGGTGTGGCCATATGTTTTGGTGGGTGTGGCTTATATTTGGGTTGGAGTAGTTAGTATTGGTTGTGTGTTATGTGTGGCTGGGTGTGGCATACATCATCCCCCTTTCTTTTCACAACTGAAAATTAAGAAACAATTTTCTTCTTAGTTTAAAGTTAATTTTTAGTCATTTTTGTCACGTTTTACAGCACTGCCAGGGAAAGTTTCAATTCCTCAGCTTGAGGCTCTGAAAACAAAGGTTGGTCAGAATTTGTGATGTTATATTCTGAGGATTTCATACCTTTAAGTTTATGTTAAAATATTTGCTTATGAAAAACGGTTTATCAGCCAAAATGGACTTTTGACTGGAATTGGCAGCTGAATTTTGCTTTTTATATCACAATGGCTACACTTCTAGCATTGTAGATGTCAAGGTCAATTTTCATTCTTGCAAAATAGGGAAAAGCTGCGAAACGAAGAAAATCAAGAGGAATCAACGCAGCAGAAACTGCACTAGTAAGACAGAAGGTGTGTTCATTCATATTTTTTTATGTAAGGTTCCATGTGAGATTTCATCAAATGTGAGGCGATCAAGCTAAATGAGTCATTTGTTTGTTGACCCTGGTCAATTTTTTCTTCACGGATTTGAAAAGAGACAATCTCAGCATTGCCACTGTGAAAACCGCATGCTGATACCAATTTTAGTTAAAAAAATATGGAATTCGGAACACCAAGAGATGTGATGAAGTGATGTAATGTGGCCCTATTTTGGCCTGAATCTCCAAATGAAAATTCCCAACAAACGACTCATTTAGCTTGATCACATTACACAAATGTACCTAACATATTTTTAAATGTAATTTTAAGTAATCTTCAGTTTTGATGGTTGAATGAATGTCATTTCTTTTACCAAAAATGTTCCTTTTGCAACAAAAGTTAGTGCCCTAGGCCTTGAGCGAATTTCCAACAATAGAGATTGTGTTTTACCGTTATTCTTGAATTTTCCATCTGTTTTTTTTGTATGGAAAGACCCAGGAGATTTTTTTTTTAATTAATGATCATTACCCTTGGGTTTTTTTTGCATCAGGCAAGAGTGCCCGGGATGACAATGGATCTTGAGGAATCAGAAGATGAAGAAGAAGAGATAATCACAGAAGACACCATCCCAGAGCTGCTTAAAACAATCGCTGCAAACAAATGGTTCCCAAAAGGAGTTACGCTGCAAGTGGAACCAGTGGTCAGGACACTGTGTAAGTAATTCATGGAAATTTCCGACCGTCGTTGGAAATTGATAAAAAAATTCCACTTTTCTTGAAAATGACAGCACACCAGGTGCCATGATTTCAAAGGATGCTTCAGACTATTATTCACTTACACTCAAGTAAGGTGTTTGATAATAATTTGGTAGTTTTGTTTTTGATTTTTTCAAATAATGTTTATTAGGCCCCCAAAAAGTCTTCGGTTTCTGGTATGGAGCTTGCCCCAAAAGTGGTGCGGCAACGTGGCTTTTTTTTTGTATTTACTTTTTTTTTCTTCAAATGTCGGCTGATGACTGCAAATGGTGCCTGACTAAATTTAGTGCAAAATGTATGGGAGCCGAGAGAGGCCACATAAAGCTTATACTCGATCGTAACCCCATCTAAAACACATTAAACTTGTGCAGCAGCGGGATTCCAGTCAAACCAGTGAGTTTGGCGGTTTTGAGACATCATCTTAGATTAAAACATTTTTAAAAAATTTTGCTGACGCGCATGGCTACGGCGACGCGCGCACAGACCAGAAACCGGAGCCTTTTTGGGGGGGCCTTACCTTTAATCAATTTTTATTTTAGATTTTTATCATGTCAACATTCCCCGTTTTTAAGAAATCCATCTAAATTCATCTTCTGTCTAATTTCAGTGAGTATCTTGGACGATGTTGCTGATCTGCAATACAGACCTGTATGCGAGGCCATGGTCCAAATATACAAGTTAGTCTCGCCGTCTCTTCATACTTTGCAAACTTGACCTTTTTGGATCCATGTTTCACCAGATGCTTTAGAACTTTTACTTTTTCACACTAGTGCATCCACATTTACTACAAGAATATTAATGAACATCAGTTGTCATTTTATATTGTGTATGAGTAAAGATGCCCATGCTTTGAACAGAGTTTAAGTTACATGGACAATGTTTTTTTGCAATTATCGTCATTTTTAATTCACAATTTTAGGCCCCAAAAAAAAGGTTCCAGTTTTTTGTATGCAAGCGTGTCGCTGTAGCCATGCGCGTTGGCAAAATTCAAATTTTTTTGTTTTTCAATGTAAGATGATGTCTCAAAACTGCCAAACTCACTGGTTTGACTGGAATCCTGCTGCTGCACAATTTTAACGTGTTTTTAGATGGGGTTAGGATCGAGTATAAGCTTTATGTGGCCCCTCTGGGCTCCCATACATTTTGCACTAAATTTAGTCGGGCACCATTTGCAGTCATCAAACGAAATTTGAAGAAGAAAAAAGTAAGGAAAACAAAAAAAGCCGCGTCGCCACACCACTTTTGTAGCAAGCTCCATACCAGAAACTGGCGACTTTTTTTGGGGGGGGCCTTATTGAGAACTTTCCCAGTACACAATCTGTAAACAAAGCAGCATTTCATTGGCTCCCTGCATTTGAAAACTTGTGTTTTGAAAACTCGATTTATAAAAAAAACAATGGTGTAAAAGCGTTTGTGAGACTTCAGCTGAACAAAATGTGCAAAAAAAGGGGAGGCAATTATAAAAAAAAAAAACCTGTTTTGGAAGAAATTTCAGAGATTCATATTTTTAGTCACCATTCGTTTGTTGGTCAGAAAGTACACAAACCATTATGCACATTTCAGACATTTATTTGTAAACACCGATTTCAGATTTGATTCAGCATTTAAATTTGACTTTTTCATTAAATTTTCAGAGAGTTGGGCATCAATGACCATCTGATGGAGGTTGTCATCCAGGTCTACCGCAACCAGCTCAAGAGCAGTCGAGCCATCGTCAGAGCCAACGCTGTGAAAACCCTGACAGCGTTTGGTCTGGATCGCAGGGACGTTATCTTGAGTCTGCTGCCAGCACTGACAGACGAAACAGTAAGTTTTGTCTTCTTCCTTTTTTAACACAATTTTCTAGCAAAGGGAACATTTTTTTATGAGCATTTGTTAGTCATACCATGTGAAGTACTGAGAACTGTTGAAAGATAGATAGTATTTGGTGACAGCCTTTTTCTGCCATGGCGCCAGGTTTATGCGATCGCTCTCAGGTAGTACGCACGTACTCCAGGCTCCTTCCACCAATAGGGTTTTACCAAGATGCGCGTCCGTCATGTCTTTAAGAAACCCTGGGTCATGCACGTGAGCATGGCACCACCGTTAAAATGGCTTCTAATTTTGTTCGGCGAATTCCAGTATAGGGATTAAAAGTCCTCCTGCGCAGTAACAGGAATTTTAAATTACAGATAACTGCTGACACAAACTTCTATTGTTTATCTCAAATCCCTGCAAAAATACAAGGTCCCACTAACATCTCTGAAAATCACATGCAGTTTTAAAACAATGCAGTTTTACACAAAGGGAGAAGCTGAGAGTGCTACACATCCTCAAGGGTGTAAAAACATAAGTCTCCATGGCAAAAGTCAATAATTGTTATGTTACAACATCATGGAAGTAAGTCAATAAAGTTTTTAAAAAATATTGTGTGCAAGAAATGAATTAAGGCGTCACGGTGTAACATTTTGAATATTGAGAGCTTTCCAGGGAAACGTAAATTGTTCTGTTGTGATCATGAGGCACATCTCACATCACTGAAGCAGCTAGTGTGTCTTTGTGAAGCAGATGATGTGTAAACTTGCCCATGATCACTCGAATTGACCAATGAAATTACAGTCATCCAAGACACGATTTTAGAAATATGTATATTGTACACCTACATTATTGTGTTGTTTTCTAAGGTCTGCTTTGGTGTCTTTTTATCAGGCTGATGTGAGAGATGAGACCATAAAAGCTGTGGAAGCCCTCGCTGGTATCCAAGACAGATCCAGCCTGATGGACTACCTGGAGAAGATTGGCTTCTTTAAACCATATCAGGGACAGGAGGTATGTCCTTGAGAGTAAGGATGATAAAGAAGTATGGCAAACTATAGCTGACTAAGAAGTATGGGTAACCATAGTCAATCATAAACTATAGTAAAGCATAGTTATTGGCTTACCTGCATAAGCCAGGGTTGATGCTTATACAGACTAGCCTTGTGGATTATTTGTACAAAAATTGGAGCAATCTGGCCACGTGACCAATTCGAGCGATTCACAATGCAGTGCGCCACCAAGAGTTTGCCATGGAGGGTCCATTTTTCAAGTTAACGGTCGACAAAACATGGCCCATTTGAATGAGTGTCAGTAGACAATTTGAGCTAATTTGTTATAGATTGGGGCATAGCGTTCTGCCGCCTTACAAAACACACCATATTGATAAAAAGAAACAAAAAGAGCAAACATATACTCGAATCATACGCTTACGAAACTACTGACTGGAAAAAAGGAACAAATTCAAATATCCCGCGGTGTGAATTTCTCGACCATAAGTGCCAATATTCATCCCAGTTATTGTTTTAAAGTGTTCAATCAAATGACTTTTCCTCATCAGGCGTGCCAAAGTATCATCAGATTTGAATGAGTTGTTCAGTTTCCAATTTATCGAGTGTCAAACGAATGCTGGATTTGATAAAAAGAAACAAAAAGAGCAAACATATACTCGAATCATACGCTTACGAAACTACTGACCGGAAAAAAAGGAACAGATTCAAATATCCCTCGGTGTGCTTCTCAACCATCTCCCACAATGCACTGGGAAAAATGAACTCTCCCTGTCAGATTCTTGGTGGCACACTGCATTGCCCACTAGGAGTGAGGACTTTCCTGGGAGTAATTGATCCCCCACTCCAGGCATATTTAGTGAGACAAAAGTTTTGTAGTGAGTTAAAAACTGGTGTTGTATTGAGGAGCAGAGTTGTACAGGGAACGATAAAACAAGCAGCAATATCTTGCCTTTTCGCTCATAAACAGGGAGCCAGTCAAGATGTGGGATTAATTGCAAATGGACATCCTTTTTTACCAACAGGAAGTGATCCAGGACCTCGCCCGTCGCTACACCCCGGACCCCTTCCACCGGCCCACCTTGCACCCCTCCCGCATCCAGCTATTAGCTCGTCGCTTACCAGGGACACTCCAGGAGGAGCGACCACCGTCCCCCCTGGAGGGTCTGCCCTGTGCGTCACCGGTCCTCAACGTCCACAACTGGCTGTCTGAGTACCAGATGGAGCTGGGCCAGTGTCCAAGCGAAGAAGAGGTCTTTCTTGGGGTACGTTCAGGATTTCAAATTGATGTAGTTTAAACTTTGGGAGGTTTTCCAACATTTGATTTGACTCTGGACTTGGCTTTCTAGTTGCAGAATCATTTTATAAAATTGTTTGTTTATGGTGTGCCAGTTTATCAGTTTGAAGTATTTTTATTCTCTCTAACACATTTGGCATCATGGTAGAGGAGTTGATGTCCTATAATAGCAAGGGGCTCAAAATCTTTTGAGGCTGAAGCAAGCGAGAAATCTGATATTTGGAAAACCCCAAATTGTGGAATAGGGATGCATTGAACCTATATTGCATTTCTCAGTGCACAAAACTATACTCAAAGACATATATTAGGATGAGAGTCTCTTTCATTTAAAAGTTGCTGGAACTCGTAGGAGTTCCAATTTCTCGGATTACATTAGGCCAAGCTGGAAATCTTGGAATTCAAAACGAACTATAGCTCAATTTACTCAAGAAAAATTGCTCCACGTATAATCTACCACTTGTAAATCGTGGAACAATGTTTTTTTTATCATTCTTTTTTCTTCTTTTAATTTAGGAGGGTATTGGCACAGACCCAACAGCTTACCAAGCACTTGAACCTTGGCGTGCCAAAATGTTGTCCCAGCAAACAACATACGCGCCATTCCCACGCCAGGGGCAAAGGACAGCCCCTCAACCCCCCACGGGAAGGAGAAGAGCATCTGTGAAATATCCTGAAGGTGGGAGACTCGCTCCACTCAAAACAGATCAGCAACCTTCACTGGGACCACCGATCGTTGATAGAGGGCGCTCTCAAGTGGGCATTGGGCAACAGGTCGCGGGTGCAACATTTGACCGCACGGTGGCATCCAGTGAGCCATTTAAGACGTTGCATGTGGAAATACTTCAAGCTCACGACGAGTCGTTGGGACGGGAGAAAGAAAAGATGGAAAACCACATGCATGTATGTATTGACCGCAAAATTATAAGACTAGTGTATTAACTTAGCAGGGAAACACTCAAGTTCAAAGAAGGATTAGTTTTCAGAATATATTCTGAGGAGTTTATATTTGGATGGGATCCACCATGGTCACATCGCAGGTTGAATGGAAATGCATTAAATAAACCATAAACTGACATAGTCAAACACAAGTCAGTCGTAAGTCAATTTTACGTCAATCCCAAGTTAAGCACAAGTTAAACCCAAGCCAATCACAAGCCAATCACAAGTCAATCGCAAGCCAATCATAAGCCAAGCACAAGTCAAGCACAAGCCAATCATCAGCCTATCCAAAGGTATAGGTTCAAAAAAAATATATTGTAACAGACTTGAAGACTCTTGATTGCAACTCTCTACATATTAACATTCATCTTGACTTTTTCTGTCAAAAATTATAAATGCTTTTGCTTGACTGTTTATAGCACTGATGTCAAGGTAGTGTTTCTTGGTATTTTTTTGGCAGCTGAGGCTCCAACATCATCGTGAACGCTACGAGCAGCTCAGGCAACGTCAGCAACTTGAACAAGCTAAAAAATCCAAGCTCACCCCAAACAAAGCCGAGTGTTACTCGTATTACGACAAACGGGCCCAGATCGAAGAGTCAACAGAAGAGTTTGAGTCGGTCATGTCGGAGTGGAGCGAGGCGGCCCTAATCCGTGCCAGAGCGGTCATAGCAGCGTTCGCAGACATGCCGTCCCAATTGCAGAAAAAGCCCGATTGGGAATTCCCCATCAGCGAGTCCGGCGTCGGAGGATCCAGTCTGTTCACCGGCAGCGTGCCCAGAGTTGGCCACGCCCCCAAGGAGAGGGAGGCGGAGGGCAGCAGCGGCTTCTTCACCGAGACTGACCTCTCGGGTCAGGGGTCGTTGCCGGGACGGCCGAGGTCAAAGCTGACTAAGGAGAATCTGCAGAGGCATGATACCATGAGCGGGAAAGCCAAGATGCAGATGGACGAGGTAGGCTTAAGGGAGTTTACGAAACCGTGGCTTGTCACCAGCTCTGGCTACATCTCTGATTTCAGAATTATTTAAAAGCAGTTAATGTCAAAACTCAATGGAAATACTCCAAATTGTGGCACCGTACTATTTATTTCGATGTTTCTGAAGCAGACTCATTTTGAGTGAGAGTCCCTCAAATCAGAGGCTGAAAAATCTGAAGCCAACACTGGAGATTAAGTCGCAGTTTCGGAAAAAACTCAAATTTCTTCTGATTATTTTCGCTTGGCTACATCTTTGCACACTTGTAAGCAGTGCTCATTATTAGCCTCCAACCAAATTTGTTGTTGTTTTCTTATACAGGGTACGCTTTCAACTAGAACAATTCTCAGCCACCAGATACAAAGTAAGTACCAATATTCATCCCAGTTATTGTTTTAAAGTGTTCAATCAAATGACTTTTCCTCATCAGGCGTGCCAAAGTATATCATCAGATTTGAATGAGTTGTTCAGTTTCCAATTTATCGAGTGTCAAACGAAGGCTGGATATGACAATTTGCCAGGGTCTTTGCCACGGTCTTTGTCAAGGCATTTACCACAAGATAGCTCAGAATAATCATATTTTTCATATGCCAGATGAAACGGTTCATCCATTTTTTTTAGAATCAAATTTTTTTTTACTGATATCTGCACTGTGATATTTATGAAAATATTGGCATACAGTAAAAACAATTTTAAAATCTAGGACAAAGGGATAAAAAACCAGATAATCATTTGAAAGTACAAAAAAATATTTATCGCTGAGTTCTGTGAACACCAGAAAACTGGAGGGAATTCTTCAGGCTGCCCTCCGTCCAACGCAGGAAAAAAGAAAATGCCGCCGCGCCAACCCACACTAGCAAGCCACCCGCCAGCCTTCGACCAATCAAATGCATCGGGTCAAAGGTCAAAGTTGACAGCTCCCAGGGGGAACGGGGTCAGAGGCTATTGGAAAAGGTGGAAATGGATGGGAGGCAGAGGGTCGATAGAGGCGGGGAGGGGGCGGGGGAGGTGTTTTGTACCCCAGTGCCGGAGAAGCTGACAATAAATACAAAGAACAGGTGAAGTGTAATTGTAGCAGAAATATTGCATGTGTTCGAATGTTTTTATTCCTGTCCTGTCATTAAGCCGGGAACAGATACATAAAAGGAAAAAAAAATGTCTTCAATAAAAAAAATGATCCCCTTTCTTGAACTTCCTCAGGTCGTCAGGCGTCAGCCATTACGGTAACCTGGACATGACCTGGACAACCGACGGTCCAATCACAGGCGAGGCTGGGGAAGGTCATCACAAGGTCATCTCCATGACGACGGTACATCGGCATCCCGGCCAAACCAAGGAGCGTCGCAAAGAGTGGCTGCGACAGCAGATGCTGTTCCCTTCTTTGTATAACATGAGGGTGTTGGATGAAAACCGGAGGAGGTAGGTAGAAAATATACGAACAGGGTTCTTGCTGAAATCTTGATTAAAATTCCCTGAGTTTTTCCAGATTTCCAGGACATAGTTGGGGCTTGCCATGACCAATTTCTACGCTCTTTGGGCATCTTAAGAGCTATTGCTCTGGAGGCAAGGGACACCACTCCCTTTCAGCCTGGAAAGTTTGGCGTACGACCACTGAGCACCACAAAGCATCACAATGTTGCATTGAACAAGCAGCATGTGCATAAAGAGGAAGCATAGTAAACTGGAAAGCAAACTGGAAGACTGCCATAGCTAAATATATGCATCCATACGTATGCTAGTTTGTGCACTTGTAAAATTACAAAATTCCATGCTTTTGCTGTAAGAATTTGACAATGGATACTTGATATTGCTTCAGTTGACCATTTTGTGATTTCATAGTAAAGTTTCTTTTTGTTATTTACTTCTTGAATGACCACACTTTGCTGTACGCACAATGCAGTTCTCTGAAACGACACATCTTTTGACATATTTGAATGGACAAGTCCTACATGTACTTGTACCTGTCAATCACAGAGTGTCCATTGGGCATTTAGATCACAACATTTAGTCACGTGACCACAACAGCTCAGTCAGATGCACCTTGAGAAAATACACAAACCAGGTGGCCATGAATTATGGCCAAATCTGAAATGGTCAAAACAAAGTGGGAATACCAATTAAAACAAGCTAGGCATTTAATAAACAGATAGTGTTTTGGTACTTGACATTTCTGATCCGATTAAAAAAATCGTCAATTTTTTACGGCAAAGGTAAAAACAATTTTTTAAAATGTTATTTGATGGCAATTATCGACTGCGGCCATTACAGATACTTGTACTTGAATTTTCCTTGCTTGCCACTATGATTGCCGAAAGGTTATCCTGGTTCAACTCATGATAGTGAAGGTTCGTTCCTTTAAACATTCAAAATTTTCCAAAAAACTGAATTTCAGACATGCAGCTGCGGCACAGGCCAAACAGACATCCACCCACTTCCCTTCACTGAGGCCCCTCCCACCCGCAACGAGGAATGTCTTGTTCAAATGGGACACTCCGGAGCCAGTAGTGTGTTCAAAGCAGCTGAAGAACAGGCCGTCCTTCGTCAAGATCTTGGATGGATCACGGGTGAATGAAGTCAGGAAAGTACGGTGCAGTCCCAAAGAGGTACATGTACGTAAAGGATTCTTTTTCAAATATGACTGAAATTTTGTTGCTGAATTTGAATGGTCCAACAAGATATCTTGTATGATTTAGGGTTGTGCTGATTATATACCAAATATTTGAATATTTGATCATGAATGAAATATCTGAATAGCCTTTTTTTTTTTCGATTCAAATTTCAAAATGTTCCATGCTGTTGTTTTAAGTTGATATCATTTTATATTGTTGTTACGTGATTATTGTTTGTCAAATAGCCCACTTGTGTAACTTTGCACATAATTTGAGAGCTTTGCATACCCATGTATGAGGAATATTAGCTGAAATTTCTTTTTTAAAACTGGTCAAATATCAGCCATTTCGATGATGCCGGCTATGGAAAACGTTGAAGTTTTGGGGCAAGTTTTCTTTTCTTCACTGGATACTGAATGTAATGAGTTGAACTCTTCAGGGAATTCAATTCTGGCCTCTAGGCACCTCGTGTGAACTTTTGAGTAATTTTGGTCAAGTTGGATTTTTGGGTGAAAAACTGACTTTTTCGATGATGCCGGCTATGGAAAACGTTGAAGTTTTGGGGCATTTTGTAAAAAATCTTTAAGTTTTCTTTTCTTCACTGGATACTAAATGTAATGAGTTGAACTCTTCAGGGAATTCAATTCTGGCCTCTAGGCACCTCGTGTGAACTTTTGAGCAATTTTGGTGAAGTTGGATTTTTGGGTGAAAAACTGTCTTTTCGATTATGCCTGCTATGGAAAACATTGAAATTTTGGGGGTATTTTGTAAAACAAAAAGTTTTCTTTTCTCTCTGGATACTGAATGTAATGAGTTGAACTCTTCAGGGAATTCAATTCTGGGCTCTTGGCGTTCAATTTAGGGTAGTTATTTTAAACTTGAATATCCAATCAAGCCAGTCCACATTACAATAATCGCATACTAAATTATTTTTATAATGCACAGTGCAATATACACACTTTAAATGCTCAATTGTGTCCGTCTTTGTTCTCTGAAAGGGAGTAATTATGCACTGTGGCCATCTGCTAAAACTATCAGCATGCACTTCCCATCTGCAATAATTGATTTGCTGCGCTGAAAGCAGACATTATGACACGTTGAGTGGTCACAGACTCTGCATTCATACTACATGTGTACAAACTTTGATCTGATAAACACATGAACACTCACAGGTGGACTCTATAGCACTTTCACGGTAATGTGCGCCATCTTGATTACGGGGCTGTGTACGCATCATCATTCGAAAAACTTTGGCGCTTCCAAGTCATCATGCGGCAGGGGCGGCATTTGCCCCCCCAGATTTTCCCAAGTGCCCCTTTTGCGGCTATAAATGTGCCCCCTCGCCTCGAGCATAAAAGTGCCCCTTCGAGATAAAAAAAATGCCCTTAAAGTATCCGTCTATTTCTTATAAGTAACCATTTCCCAATAATGGTATAGATAGTTTTGATATAAAGGAGGAATATGAAAACAAAGCCCCAAAAACCCATACAATACGCCCTGAAAAGGGGCACAGGGGCACATAATGCATAGTTAGCATATAATCATCAGTTTTGAAAAGCGCCCCCTATGTTGGAAGATGGTACCACCCCCCCCCCCCCCAACATTTTATTTGTTTCTTGTTCCCTGGAATCAAATGTTTGTAACATTTTCAATTTTTCAGTGAGCGATGTTGTTGGAAATGTTTTGAGGAAACACAATAATTTGTGTTGACTTTGTTCAGCAAAAAGTTAAAATTGCCTCGTGTAATGTTTTATGAGAATTTTAATTGAATAATGATTTTTTTTTAGTTGAGGAATTAAGACTTTAATTAAAATTGAGTTATTTTCCATTCTTCAAAGGAACCTGGCGTCAAGAAAGCCCACATCTACCTGCCCTACCTCCCGATGGACGGACCAGAGACTCCGGTGGTGCCCCAGAACTCCACCATCTCTCACCAGAGCTCAATTCGCTTACCCAGGATCCCAACCGCTGGAACAGTCGGCAACAGATGCATGGAAAACATACAAGAGAAACTAGAGGACAACACTAGGAGTGCTATAACTATCCCGCTACAGTGAGATCCACTTAGTAAGTTCAATCCAAAGCCTTTTCTCAATTAGAGGTTTCTAGATGCCTTCAAAATCCACCAGTTTGAAGGAACTCAGTTGCAAAGGGCATGGTTTCGATTTCCCAGAACATTCTGAATCCTTCAAAATCCATCAATGCTGCAGGAACTCGATGGTAATTTCAGTGTACTTGAAACTTTCAAGGGATAACAGCGCTCTTTCTGGGAGCATTCCTGAATCCTTCAAAATCTATCACTTTGTAGGCATTTAATGGCAAGTTATTTTTGCTTGAAATATGAGGTGTACATTACTAGTCCCATGGCCTTACCAAAATTCCTGCTCATCCTTTGTTGGTGATTTTTGGTGGATTTTGAAGGAATTAGGATTACTGGATATATATTCATGTCAAGGCCTTCTTCTTAATTTGATATTGACTATGATGCACATACATTAACATTTGCTAGTTAAGATCATATGTAGATTTTTTTCCCAAGACAAATCGATGAATAACTATTAAACACTGAAAGTGTTTTCAACACTTTGATATTTAGAATGCCAAAATAATAAGCTTTTATTAATTTCTTATTTTACAGTGAAGAGAATACCTCCCAAAAGTGTTACATTAGTTGTGCAGATTTTTTTCTTCAATATTTATATATATATATGCAATTTATATATGAGTGAATGCAATTATGTATTCAGCTTATTTAATAATCGCTTGACATGACATGATTTATTTGGTATGTGTAATGAACTGGAACAAAATTCAACCCGGGCTAGGCATGATTGTGAAAATTATAAAAATTTAATTTGTTATTGTATCATCGAAAACATCAGAAATCAAGTGCTCCATAAAAAAAGATTGAAATGGGATAAACTGTTGCAACCTGACGCCACTTTTTTCTTCATATATCACCACAATGAGGGTCATTTATTGCAAAAACAATGATAAGACATGAATCTGGGACTGAGCAATATTTCCAATTTTGAAGATGCCTAATGGACCCTAGAAGACATTCCAATTTGATTTGATGACAGACGTGCTTCTGAAAAGAAAATTTGAGCCTAAAAATTGGGGCAAATCGGTTGAAAAATGTGACTTTTTTCCTCAAAAATATCAATGAATTTTGTCTAAATCTACAAAATTTGGGGTGAATTTGATCAAAATGTTGATAAAAATGCAAGGCTAACCCCCTTGCAATTTTTAAAATTTTGGCCAAAAAATGAATTTCCGTAAAACTTGTAGGGAAGATGCCTAATGGACCCTAGAAGACATTCCAATGTTATTTGATGACAGACGTGCTTCTGAAGAGAAAATTTCGCCTAAAATTTGGGGCAAAACTGGTTGAAAATGTGACTTTTTTCCTCATAAATATCAATGAATTTTTTCTAAATCTTTGAAATTTGGGGTGTTTGAATAGTAATTGATGCTCCTCTTACCTCTGAAGGATTTTCTGAGTTGTTTGAAGAAAATCAATTTTTGGCCAAATTTTGATAAAAATGTAAGGCTAACCCCTTGCAATTTTTTCAATTTTGGCCGAAAAATGAATTTCCGTAAAACTTGTAGGGAAGATGCCTAATGAACCCTAGAAGACATTCCAATGCGATTTGATGACAGACATGCTTCTTAATAAAAAATTTGGCCTAAAATTTGGGGCAAAATCGGTTGAAAATGTGACTTTTACTCAAAAATATCAATGAGTTTTGTCTAAATCTTTGAAATTTGGGGTGTTTGAATATAAATTGATGCTCCTCTTGCCTCTTAAGGACTTTCTGCACTGTTTGGAGAAAAGTCAATTTTTGGCCAAATTTTGATAAAAATGTAAGGCTAACCCCTTGCAATTTTTGTCAATTTTGGCCGAAAAATAAATTTCTGTAAAACTTGTAGGGAAGATGCCTAATGGACCCTAGAAGACATTCCAATGCGATTTGATGACAGAAGTGCTTCTAAAAAGAAAATTTGGCCTAAAATTTAGGGCAAAATCGGTTGAAAATGTGACTTTTTTACTCAAAAATATCAATGAATTTTGTCCAAATCTTTGAAATTTGGGGTGTTTGAATAGTGATTGATGCTCCTCTTGCCTCTTAAGGACTTTCTGCACTGTTTGGAGAAAAGTCAATTTTTGGCCAAATTTTGATAAAAATGTAAGGCTAACCCCTTGCATTTTTTTCAATTTTGGCCCAAAAATGAATTTCTGTAAAACTTGTAGGGAAGATGCCAAACGGTCCCTAGAAGACATTCCAATGTTATTTGATGACAGACGTGCTTCTGAAGAGAAAATTTCGCCTAAAATTTGGGGCAAAACTGGTTGAAAATGTGACTTTTTTCCTCATAAATATCAATGAATTTTTTCTAAATCTTTGAAATTTGGGGTGTTTGAATAGTAATTGATGCTCCTCTTACCTCTGAAGGATTTTCTGAGTTGTTTGAAGAAAAGTCAATTTTTGGCCAAATTTTGATAAAAATGTAAGGCTAACCCCTTGCAATTTTTTCAATTTTGGCCGAAAAATAAATTTCCGTAAAACTTGTAGGGAAGATGCCTGATGGACCCTAGAAGACATTCCAATGCGATTTGATGACAGAAGTGCTTCTAAAAAGAAAATTTGGCCTAAAATTTAGGGCAAAATCGGTTGAAAATGTGACTTTTTTACTCAAAAATATCAATGAATTTTGTCCAAATCTTTGAAATTTGGGGTGTTTGAATAGTGCTTGATGCTCCTCTTGCCTCTTAAGGACTTTCTGCACTGTTTGGAGAAAAGTCAATTTTTGGCCAAATTTTGATAAAAATGTAAGGCTAACCCCTTGCAATTTTTGTCAATTTTGGCCGAAAAATGAATTTCCGTAAAACTTGTAGGGAAGATGCCAAACGGACCCTAGAAGACATTCCAATGCGATTTGATGACAGACATGCTTCTTAAAAGAAAATTTGGCCTAAAATTTAGGGCAAAATCGGTTGAAAATGTGACTTTTACTCAAAAATATCAATGAATTTTGTCTAAATCTTTGAAATTTGGGGTGTTTGAATAGTGATTGATGCTCCTTTTGCCTCTTAAGGACTTTCTGCACCGTTTGGAGAAAAGTCAATTTTTGGCCAAATTTTGATAAAAATGTAAGGCTAACCCCTTGCAATTTTTGTCAATTTTGGCCGAAAAATGAATTTCCGTAAAACTTGTAGGGAAGATGCCTAACGGACCTTAGAAGACATTCCAATGCGATATGATGACAGACGTGCTTCTAAAAAGAAAATTTGGCCTAAAATTTAGGGCAAAATCGGTTGAAAATGTGACCTTTTTACTCAAAAATATCAATGAATTTTGTCCAAATCTTTGAAATTTGGGGTGTTTGAATAGTGATTGATGCTCCTCGTGCCTCTTAAGGACTTTCTGCACTGTTTGGAGAAAAGTCAATTTTTGGCCAAATTTTGATAAAAATGTAAGGCTAACCCCTTGCAATTTTTGTCAATTTTGGCCGAAAAATGAATTACCGTAAAACTTGTAGGGAAGATGCCTAACGGACCTTAGAAGACATTCCAATGCGATATGATGACAGACGTGCTTCTAAAAAGAAAATTTGGCCTAAAATTTAGGGCAAAATCGGTTGAAAATGTGCCTTTTTTACTCAAAAATATCAATGAATTTTGTCCAAATCTTTGAAATTTGGGGTGTTTGAATAGTGATTGATGCTCCTCTTGCCTCTAAAGGACTTTCTGCACCGTTTGGAGAAAAGTCAATTTTTGGCCAAATTTTGATAAAAATGTAAGGCTAACCCCCTTGCAATTTTTTCAATTTTGGCCGAAAAATGAATTTCCGTAAAACTTGTAGGGAAGATGCCAAACGGACCTTAGAAGACATTCCAATACGATTTGATGACAGACGTGCTTCTGAAAAGAAAAATTCGACGGAAAATTGGGGCAAAATCGGTTGAAATTGTGACTTTTTTCCTCAAAAATATCAATGAATTTTGTCTAAATCTTTGAAATTTGGGGTATTTGAATAGTGATTGGTGATCCTCTTGCCTCTGAAGGACTTTCTGCATTGTTTGGAAAAAAGTCAATTTTTTGCCAAATTTTGATAAGATTGTAAGGCTACGAGTGTGAATGTCACTTGCCTAGCCTAGCCCTTTCAATTTTTTCAATCTAACGAAACCCTAGCTGATCAACCCTTTTGGGGATTTTTGGTAAATTCTGAAGGAATGACGGTTACTGGATATATTCATGTCAAGGCCTTCATCTTAATTTGACATTTGACTATGATGCACATAACACTTGTCAGTCAGAGCATTTGAAGATTTTTTCGCCAAGACAAATTGATGAATAATTATTAAACACTACAAGAAATTTCAACGTTTTGAGCTTTAGACATGTTAGAAAGCCAAAAAAATAGCTTTTATTAATTTCTTATTCAGAACTGTGTAGAGAAAACCTCTCAAAAGTTAAAATTAGTTTATATTATTTCTTTCCTGATTTGTAATATGCAATTTATATATGAATGAATGCAATTATGTATTCAGCTAATTTAATAATTGCTTGATATGACATGATTTATTTGATATGTGTAATGAACTGGAAAGCAATTCAACCCGGGCAAAGCATGATTGTTAAAATTATAATAATTTGATTTATTATTGTATCATCAAAAACAAGTTAAATCAGAGTGCATTATATTTCCACAAAGGTTTTTCTTGCGTAAAATTATCAGAAATCAAGTACTCCATAATAGAGTGAAGCGAAAAATGTATTTATCCATAATTACCTTAAATTACCATGCAGCAAATTTAAAAAAGTTAAGTAATTCTAATTTGTTTAACACAACATGATTTGAATTTTGAAAAAAAATAACAGATGACTTGGGTAAGATTGTGTATAAATTTTGAAAATAGAAATTTATAGAAATTGTTAATAAAATAGGAAATTACCCTTAAATTTACAAGTGCTCGCCCCAAATTCAAGGCAAATCTACATTTTGGCATATATTCTGAAAACTAAATTTAAGTAACGCATTTCACCTTACATTGGTTAAAACAAAAATACACGCAGATTTCAAAATAAGCTCCTGAAGAAGTGTTTACAAATTTTATTTATACTGATGTGAAAAAAATTAGTTCATTTACTGCAATAGGAGAGATTCACACGACAGTACACTGAAATGCTACTTTATCAACACATTATGCAAAAAAATTCAACTCAAAAACTTTGCAAGCAGAAAGTTCAATACATGCATATTCATATGTCAAAAAAGGGGGAAAAATTGCATTTTGGCCTGTAACCATGGTAACAAAAGCTTCTTTGGATATTTTTTGTGCATTATAAATTTTTGTGGCAAAGTTAAGCGTTGCCTGTAACCAACATGTTCTCAGGAAATGTTTTCTGTTGATTAAATTTGTGCCAATTTTAGTGCAAAATTTCGGGTCCAGAATTTGCATATTGGCAGGCAAAATCTCATTCAAACATATTTCTTGTGCTTGCTAAATTTTCATTAGCTGTTCTGGTGCCAAAAGTTTCGGGCCAAAATGTTGGTAACCAAAAAAATGTTGGGAAATATTTTCTGTACCGACGAAAATTTGGAGCCAATTGGAGTCCCCATTTTTTGCGTGCTAAATGTGCATGCTGACTCTAACCAAAATTAGGTCGGCAAAATATTCTATGGGGTAAATAAATTATGTGCACAGAAAGCTCCTTCAGATTGCCCCCTGACCTTGGAGATTCTGACCTTTGACCTACCTAACAACGATCAGTCCGAACTGTCGTAGTATCTTTTCGTCCGTGACCTCCTGTCTCTGATCTTCGTCAGCGTCTCGTAGGCGGCCTGGATCTGCATGAACTTCTCCGCGACCTCTTCTTGGTTCCCTTTGAGGTTCTTGTCCGGGTGGAACTGCTTGGCGAGCTGCCTGTAGCGCTTGGTGATTTCTTCTTTAGTGGCATTCTTGGAAAGTCCCAACACCTGTGGGTAGTCAAACGATAGAGAAATTGTACTAATTGTGAATGGATATGTTCAAATTAGGCACGTTTTCTTCCAAGTTATAAGTTATTCAACCCGACAGTATCTAGGGCCAATGTTTTTCCGTTTCAGAAAAGTGCAAATTCCGTTTTTCAAAAATCCTAAATTCTGTTTCAGGCTGAAAAATTCCATTTCACAGTTATTCAATACATGTACATAAAAAGGCATTTTAACATATACCATGTACACAGAAAATAATTCTAATGAGACGATAATGAAATAGCCATTTGGTTGGAACGTGAGAAAATTGCTCCCAAAAAGATTGCTATTTTATCAACGGCCGATCAATGTACAGACATAGTATTTAACTTCACCACAGTCAAGTCGTATACTGCACTGCCACTGCCACACACACAAGAAACATGCAATAGCCGTACAGGCCAATCCCGTGACGTTACACACATCAGCTGGCCGAAGCGAAATTCATGTCATATTCATTTTGTTTTCACGCTAAGATTAGCGACAAAATAGGATAGATTACTGTAGATTTTTTTTACCTAAGCACAACATGCATTCTGTTCAATCAATCATCAACAATTCGTTTTGGACTCAATAAATTTAACGAAATTATGGTTTTTTAGCAATAAATTGCAGAAGTTATTTTCTTCAGATTCAAATTCCATTTTCCGTTTCAAGGAAAATCATTGGCCCTAAGTATCATATGTTATCTACAAGTCTAGGATTCCCTAGACATTTTTGTAATCAATTACGGTCAAAATTCTCACTCGGGGATCCACTTCAGTTGACTTTTGATAATACAAATTGAGTTCCAACAAATTCTGGTTAATGTGAACAGATAATGTAAATACAAATGTACTAGGTCCAGACTGTGCATACATTTATTTGCACAATGAATAGGCCAGGTGTTCTGCTTAATATAGTTCTCGTGGCAACATAGACTGGTTCCTGCCCCTATTAGGATTGATTATGTAGGGAATGGGAACCAGTCTACTCCAGTGGGAACCAGTCTAATCTAATGGAAACCAGTCTAATCTAATTCCATCTAAATTTTTGCGTCGGAGTGATGTAAATCAATATTAGGTTTTGCCCTTCACCGATGTCTAAACACTGTATACTCAGTGTGTTACCTCCCGAGTGAAAGTTGGAAAATATCACTCGGGTGGGACTCGAACCCATGACCTCCTGCTTTCTAGTGCAGTTGTCTTACCACTCGACCACCGAGCTTACGGGATCGGTTGGCTGGTTCGAAACTGGTGTACATTGTTGCAGTGGGTTCCCCAACTGAACTATTCATAAGATGTAATTTTTGCGTCAGGGTGAAGTAAATCAATATTAGGTTTTGCCCTAAACCGAAGTATAGTCTACGCAAACAGTGGTTCTAGTTTGGCGTAAAAACAAACCAAAAGACAGACCTTTTTCAAGGCGGTTGCAGACATCCTAAACAGAAATGGGTCATTCCACCGGGTTGGGAAGAAGTGCATGTTACATCCATATATTTGGTTATATTATGAAAAGTATCAATGCATTCTAAACAATTGCTCAACATAATATTTGTCTTAGGGTGTTTAGATATTTGAGAAAGTTTGAAATCATTTGAAAGTACTTTGACAAAAATATGAGCAAAAATGTATTAATTCGGTCGTAACATTGACACCGTGTCAATTTTACATCAAAATATTATTTTTTTGCCAAATTTTACACGTATGTTAACTATTACCCATACTGACACTGCATATTTACAACTGGACACCTAAGCACCAAGAAAAGCTTTTGTTTTGGTATAGACAGCGCTCAAATATAGCAGAAACAATACCTCAAGTGTGGATGTAACGGTGTAAAAATCACCCAATGGAAGTGTGACATTTTACACCGTGTAAATGTTACATCCACACAATCAAGCTATCATTTCTGCTCCATTTGATACCTGACTACCATAACAAAAGCTTTTCTTATTGTGTTGCATGTATAATAAGAAGTACGCAAAGTAAATTTGGGTAAAGTTTCGCAGAAATTTTAAGAAAAGTTACAAATGTCATATTGAGACGTAACACTGACACGGTGTCAATGTTACATCCAAAATGACTTTTTTTGCTCATATTTTTGGCAAAACACATTGAAATGATGTCAAACTTTCTGCAGTAGTGAAACACCCAACAACAAACATTATGTAGAGCAACTGCTAGCAAAGCTTTCATGCTTTTCTTAATATGGTCATATGTCACACTTTGTTCCCCAACCCGGTGGAATGACCCAAATCCAATTTTTTTTTGTTCTTTAAAATAAAACAACAAAGTTGAAATTTGAAAAAGTTGAAATGAAAAAGAGCATGGACAGAACGAATTTTGCAAGGTTTCAAAGAAGTCCTCGATGCACTTGCCTCATAGGCATTCTGCTCTCCCTCCGGATCTAAGGCCGCTACGAACCGACTCCACATATTCTCCCAACCACTCTCCTGCCACTCATTAAACAGCTGCTGGACGGTCTCCTTGAACTGCTTCCAGAAGGGAGAATTGAAAAAGTGATCAACCGCATCTCGGAATTTGATGGTTTCGCCGTCGGAGGTCGTGACCGAGGCGTTGAAGTACAAGGCCGACCCCCACATGGAAATGACTAACGACCCTAAAAGGAAAAAAACACAAATCAAAAGGAAACACTGTTTTTTGAGAAAAAAAATTCACAAGCTTGCTTAAGCACTTCAAGGGGGGGGGGGGGGGGGTGGGCTTGGGGTGTTTTTACTTGACCTTAATGTGTCATCGGGTTACGCAGGGGATTATACAGTGTAAACGCCATATCACACATCACAGCAATCAACAGTTGTGAAATGTTTTCATTTCTCTAAATTGCGAGATCAGCTATGTGCAAAAGGGTGAGATTTAAACGCCATACGAAAAACAATACTCACTTTCAGAATTTTGATATAGCGTTGGAGATGGTAGGCACATGCTGCAGCCCAAAGCTTCTGAAGGAATGCAGGATCACCCCTGATGTCATTGCACACCTCCTCGATCGTGTGTTGCAGCAAATGATGGAGGTGTGCAATGACATCAGGGGTGATACGGCATTCCTTCAAAAGCTTTCAGCCACAGCACGCACGCCTTCTACCACCATCTCCAGCACTGTATCAACATTGCAGGACGCCAATTCGAAAGTGGCGGAATCTGAAAGTGAGTATTTTTGTTTGGTATGGGGTGTAAAACCTCACCCTCTTGCACAAAGCTGAAGAAACTTGCTCCATAAAATTGGTCATGCCTTGTTTACATGATCTCAAATTTTGGTTTAATTGCATTGGAAAACAACAGAGTTATTTAGGATCAAAAGTAGGACACAAAACTTTTGATGTACTTGTGATGGAGCACGACTACAACAATGTGATTTACACTCATACCTGCCAAGCAAAGCACGAAGACTCGCGTGCAGAATCCCCGCTGTCTTGAACTCGCCGCTGGAGGTGGTTCGACCGTTTTGAAGCCGCGATCCCACTGTGACAGAATAGAGCTCAACAAGGCCATGTAGACGATGATATGTGGGTTACCGGGGAACACGAGTGCCAGTATACATGGTCCAGCCAGGGCCCACTTAAAGGAGACCGTCTCCCAGCCGATGTTCCCAACAATGTGGACGGCCACTGCAACAGCAAATGGCACCAAACAGCTTCTAGGAATGGGATTTTCGACGTGATACTCCTCCGAAATCGTCAGCATGGAGAGGTATCCCATGAAGGTCCCGAAGCATGTTTGACCGATAAAGCGCACAGGGTCGAATGACGGATATTTACGCATAGCAATCTTTTCTTTCAGACGCGTCATGTAGTACGGTTCTCTGTTGGCGGCGTCCACATACGACGGTATGCGCCAGATGTCCCGGAACCAGCCTAACCCGAAAATGCCGCCGCACGTCGACCACCAGACGAACGCCTGTCTGTCGCGACCCAAGTAGAAATGATGCACGCCTAGCCATCCGAGGAACAACCACAGAACGTATGCCACAAAGAGATTGGCCATTGTTGGTGTTCTGACGCAGATTTTGAAAGCAAAGTTGAAAGTCTGGCTAAAAAAAGTTAAATGTAGATGTTTCACAGTCTGGATCACATCAACATATCCTCCAAATTTTCAAGTTGAATTAAAACTTGAGTTTTGCTTTCGTTGCACTTCTTCAATGACAATGCTTCCGAGACTCTAGATGGGACCTAACAAAAGTGAAAAGAATCAAATATTAACACATGTACGTTCCTAGCTCTACTGAGTGGAGCTTCGGAACTTCGGTAGGCCTACCCTCCGTACTAGCGCTTTACTGAATAGGCATACTTTGCAATTGGTAGACGATATGCATTTTGTGCGTACTCTTGCGAAGACAAAAGGCCCCCCCCCAAAAAAAAAAAAAAAAAAACTGGTAAAGAGAATACAAATGAGAAAGACAGAAACACTGAATAGATCCACGCATTCATAACATTCCGTAACACCCCTTAAATTGTTCCCAACAAACTGTAATTTAAAAAAAAAAGCAAAGCATTCTGATCAACTTACCGCTCAAAATTATTTGTCTGCCGAGTTGTGTAAATTTCATTGCTGATCGACTGAGCGTGCATCATTATCGAAGAAAGACAAGTCGCGCTGAGTCAACGACTGTTTCGTGTAGTGATATGTGCCCCGCGGGAAAAGCCCTTACTACCAGATGGCGCGGGGCACATATCATTACAGGAAACAGTAATTGATTAATCGCGACTTGTTTTCTCTTCGATAGTGACGTCAAACACGCCCTTTGACCATGATGACGGAAAAGCAATGAAATGGACTGCACAACTCGGCAGACACATTTAAGTGTGAGCGGTAAGTTAATCTTAATTTTTTTACTTTTCGAAATTACCGCTTGTTTTGAACAATTTAATGGGACTTATGAAATGTAATGAATGCGTGGATCTAATCAGGGTTACTGTCTTTCTCATTTGTATTCTCTTTACCATTTTTTTTGGGGGGGGGGGCCTTCTTGCGAGGGTTTGCACAAAATACATACTGTGCCGTGTACCAGTCGTCAATTTATAAAAAAGTATGGAAAGAATGTTGCAACCTGACACTGCTTTTTTCTTTACATATCATCTCGACGAAGATCAGTTATTGCAAAAATGATGATAAGACATGAATCTGGGACTGAGAAACATTTCCAATTTTTGTTAATAATAATAGGCCCTAAATACTTAAAACGACTCTTCATCCTGTTCATAGACTTTATACACAGCCGCTGAAGTAGTGTCAGGTTGCAACTTTCTTTCCAAAAGTATGCCTATTCGGTGGAGCGCTAGTACGGAGGGTATCGAAGGGAAAGATACTGGGCCACCACTCATAATGAGTCATATTCCTAATACATGTATGACCTGAAAAGTACCAAAAGTTGATGATTCTTCATGGCCCGTAGACTTAGTGCAGGAGATCTGAGTGGTGGCCCAGTATGGAACTCTTTCCAAAGTTCAAGTTGCAATCTTGTTCAAAATTACATCATCCTGATCATGATTCGTGTAGGGATTCCTTCCCCGCCGGCAGGCCGGCCGCCTTACCAATACACCAACGTTACATTACAGTTTTTTTGCAAACCATGCGCGCACCACATCACACTGCACAGCTTACAAAAACTAAAATGACAGCACAATTAACAGCCACAAAATTCCAATTTCACCTCAGTTATCAATGAAGTATTAGCTTAACACTTACCTGCACACTTACATGACTTAAGAAACATTTACGGAGCTCCGAAACAGAAACCCGACTTCTTCATAACATTTAACGAAATAATTTAATCGGATCGTCTGCTGGGATGGGAGGGCGACCTCTTTTGGTCAATGATCCAGATTCTTAAAAGTTATAGTGCGCCCTCTAGAATATCAAATTATGCGCGCGTCTTGATAAAACCAAAAGAGGTCGCCCTTCAAGCAGACCGTTCATCACAATTTTTTTTAAAAGTACATGTACCGGTATGATGGAAGGGCAACCCATTTTTTGTGTGTTAATTTAAACATAAATCAACAGAATTTTCCGCAGAATAACTTAATAACTAACTACGGTATTGAAGTCAAAATTATATGATTTTCGACTCAAATTTTTTTTTTTTTTTTTATAATTGTTTTTTTTAGATACGTCTGTATTATTAACAATGGCATTAATTTAGCAAAATTACATGGAATATATATGTGGAGGTAACGAATTATACATCGACCTGCGGCGTTTGAGATCATGACAAGGGGTGCAACCTCGTAAATAGGTCAACGTCCGCCGAGCTCATGAATAATTGTTATACACGTACAGTGAACTTATTCTATATTGGAGAGTTCTGAGAGGTGCAGTGCCATAAGTTGGAATTTCATCCAGTGATCGGTCTTGATGTGTAACATTAGGAGATTCAATTTCGTGAGAAATCCTTCAACATTGTCATTATACCGAATAAATGTTTTATGCGCGAAAAATATAATCCAAATAAAAATCAGTTTTCATGGAACAAAAGCAGCACATGCTACTTTCAAAGGAATAAATACCTGTTTTACTGATATGGAAAGGTTTTTTTTCTATTTTGTAAGGGCATTTTACACAATTAAAATTTTGTTACAATTAATAAATCCCCAATTGCAAGTTTCTACCATCAGGGGCGTCGATTGCCAGACCAATAAGAGAAAAGGAGAGGATGGGTATGCCGACAGGCCCTAGGCTAGGTGCATGGAAGATATGGATAATTTTTGTTCCGGTCACCCGGCCTCATCAGCAAAATCATTTGAGAGACACAATCTAACGAATCGGGGCGATGTTTAAAGCGAACGAGCTGGGGCATTATCGGACAATAAGTGGCGCTATTCGATCGTTGTGGCATAAATTTGCCAACACAATTTCAACGATTTTGCTAACAGAAACGGACGAGGATGATGACCTCCCCCCCCCCCCCCCCAACGGCGCCCGTGCGTCTGTAAATTTACTCAAGCATGAAGTACAACTTGCATACGGCTGGCAATTTTTGGATATCTCGGTTCAATTTCATACCATATGTCGCTCAAAGTCACACGCAAAGTGAAAATAGATAGGCAATTTCATACGGTAATTTGAATCAGAAAACGAAGAGTCAAATTAGGGCCTACAATGTCAAACCTGGACAATAGATTAAATTAAAGTGTCTATGCTCCCCTCAAAATTGAAAATACCAGCAATGCTGTTGAAACCCCTCAGCCGGAGTCAAGATCTAATGCGGAAACTTGCCTGTACCCAAGGGCAACCCCCTACCGAAGTTAGACACCAAAATCTCATTTCTAACTCAAGTTTACTGAGCTGCCCGGACGCTCGGACAACCGGACTTCCCTGCCAGACGGAATTGTGGGGTGATAGCATTGTGTTCCTTTTATCCCTTTTTCTAAAGATCCTCTTCTGGGGTGATGTTTTTCTATTATTAAAATAGTGGTGTGATGCGTTCTGAAAGGAACATCACCCCACAAGTAGGGTATGGTCAGAACGGACGACAATACCCCTCGAGCCTCACGGCTGAGGCATTCACATGTGTTTGCCAGCACATCCAAATTAGAAATTGCGTCATTCAATTAGCCAACACCAAATCGTCATTCAATTTGACACACCTTGATTCAATGAGGTTTCTGCCTTCGATTCTTACTTTCCTTTCGTTTATGTTCAATCAATTTTATTAGCTAATTATATGCACATTAAATTTACAGAAATAACGATGAAAACAAAAGGCTTTAATCATAGGACAGCTCATCACTTTCATCTTTATTTTTTTTTTTTTTTTTACATCTATTATTTAATCGTTGCTTAATTTTCATTCTGACCTACATCAACTTCTTTAAAATTAGTGCTTACAAATTATAAAAGAATTTCTTCATTCATATTTTACTTATGTACGTATCGTGATAGAATTATAGATCTTTTTCTTTCAATTGTTTGTGACTGTGCTCCAAAAATGGTGCATGTGGTTTATTTAAATTCCAGTACTAAAATGTCGATAATGTTTGCCTATCAATGATTTCAGTTGACCATATGTTCTTGGCCCATGGCTTGGGCGTATTTGAATGCTCTTCGCGGATGATTATAACTTGAATGCTCGTACTTATTTAATATTAATAATATTTAATTGCCGTATTTTCCCGATCGCGTGCTCCAAAAAACTATACTGGATCTTCTTTTTAGACGATGATCTTCAACTGCAATCAAATTCACGAGTTTTAATTTACATTAAACCAACAATAAACACTATTGTCATCTAGTCACACTGTGATGAGTACTGAATGCTTGTGTTGTACACAATTTACAACTTTCTCCGGTGATAGTCGAAACGATTAAAACAGTAATTTGCATGAATTGAATGTGCCCGACTTTGTTCGAGTCCCCCTGATGATTTTCACCACACAGATCTTAACATTTTGATCGGGTTTATTGTCACTGCAGGTTTATTTATTATTGTATTTATTATCCACATCCAACAGCAGAAAAAACCGCCAATTACAGGACTGGTTGTTTCATGTCCTCAGAGTAAAGGATTACAGATGCTCACGTACCTCCGCACACGGCTCTTTCGCAAAGAATAGAATTGACGATTAATACTAGGTCAATCAGAATTTTACTAAAAGCACAAGCAATACGGCAACGGATTTTCAGATTTGTACCATAGAAAGTTGACACTTTATCTACTTTAAAAGCAAAAATGATGACTAGTCTGAAGCAGAACAATACGCGACTTAGAAACTGCATGCGATATTTCAAGTCATTCAATCTAGAACTCACAATATCCGTCTTTATACACAAAGGATAACATTTGTTATTGCACGGATTGGTATAGAAACACCATCCCACTTAGAAGTAGTAATATTGACATGACTTGGCATCTTCAGTGTTCATTTCGGTAGCCAGCTGACATGACATGAGTGCTCCCCGGCTTGCCAGGCGCAGACTGAAGGAGCGGCATCGAGGCTCATCCCGGCACACCAAAGCCCAGGCCACGCTGCTGGTTGAGCTTTCCTTGAGGATGCGATCGGTCAGGCAGCGGGCCGTGAAGAAGCCACGGGCATCATACGTCAGCAGACAGGACATGGACGGGACAGCAGGGCTCTCGCACATCGCGTTATAGCTATACGTGCATGGCAAGTCATTCCAAAATCCACCGTGATTGCCGCCCCACATTCCTGCACAATCTTCCCGATCCTTGTAGGTGGGATGCGGCTCCCCCTCTGCCCAGTTGAAGTAGGTGCACTCGTGATCTCCTTCACCAGCCTGAACCCACCTGTCTTCCTCCTCGGCATCACTACAGCCGATCCAGAGATTCCCTGATTCAGTGACCTTCCTCGTGAACATCTCCCAGATGAACTGATGCTCTTGGAGGGAGTCAGGAATCACCAGGCCAGCACTCATATTGGCGCAGGCTTGGGATGCCTCTTCCCATGTAAACGTTTCAGTGAGCAGTTGGTAGCAAGAATTGCCAAATCTTTCTTGACCGGGCAGGCATGGTTCGGCCTGAACACACGCGAACATGATCACAATACTCAGCCCGACGAGCTCCATAGTGGCCTTATTTAGACTCTCAAACATGACGCCTTATGTAGAAAAACTAGTCTTGCGGCGTAAATATATATGAATCTCTCTTCACAGAATATCCCAGGTAATGCGAACCCTACCACGTAATTTTGTTCAAATGCCATTAGCTCATATTGAGGTTTATCGCGAGAGGTGTTAATTTGTAAGGTTGCCATGCCAATACCCGCGCCTCATTAAGTGCAATGTAGCTGTGGCCTGTTTAATTAAACGCACTATCAAACTGACAATGTAACTTATCGATTGGAACTAGACATCGGAAACTTGTGAGCCTTATTAAATTTTTAATATTGGATGATAGCGAGGTAGCGTGGGTGAGATTGACATTCGCAGTGTATTTTAGTTGACGTCTGAATTCGTAAATAACCGATTGGACCAATGGCCCGTGATCGTCCTGCGTAGTCCCCTTTTCTTGCAACGAACTTTTGGTCCCGCACTGGGAATTCGCGCTGAAGTCCCTGCCGGACTTCAAAGCTCTGGAATTTCGCCGTTCTTCGGATTCTGAACTGCAGTTTGCTGAGGAGTGGTCAAGGGACTCGCTCTCCGCCACAATTAATTGTGGGGTTCACTGCTCTAGGTCAAAGTCTAGTCACACAATCCACCCGTCAATCTACATAGGAAGGCGCCCTCTACTGGTCACTAATAATCTAATCAGCCTGAGGTTCATTTCTCGTGGCTCAGCTCACTGCGTTCTATCACATCCTAAATGTTACATTGTAGGACGCCCTCTATTAATTCCTGTGTCATTCCAAAAGAAGCTGGATTAGTGGGCAAATCGAGGGACAAGTCTGAATAAACCAGTTCGATTCCCGGTAGTGTCCCTAACCCGTTCATTAGTCATATAATAAGTCACGGGGCCAAATCAGATTAGCCCTTGCCCAGTTCGCATACACAACGCTTTCCGACCAGGACGGTCCATCCCAACAGACTCGTCTTTAGCCGCTCAGGGACTTTCCGGTCAGCGCCTCCCGAGTTACGCCCTGTGGGGAGGGCGCCCTCGTTCGAACCCTGCCCCCAATACAAGGACGAGAGTGCAGTTTGGTAGCGCACTGCTCCAACACATTGAGGTTGGTAGAAAGATAACGGACGTGTGTACGTAACATGATTATAGGCTCACCTTAGTAGACTATAGACAATGATATCCACATGCTTTTATCATAAAATAATTTTAAAAAGTTATGGATATGTCGAAATTATGAATTTGAATACTGTCAAATTAGCTGGTTTCCCAGCTTTATATCACTCTAAAAAAACACATTGGTTAACATAACAAATCATTGGTTGAAATAACCAACAATTGGTTAATATGACTGTCCAACCAACCGATTGGTTGGACACATATTAACCAATCGGTTGGTTGGACAGTCATATTAACCAATTGTTGGTTATTTCAACCAATGATTGTTTATACATTGAGACACTGCTTAATACTGATTTAACACATTTATCCATCATTTTCATGTTTTGGATACACCTTGTAGGCCTGTACGTCTTTTTTTTTTTAAGAGTACCGTATAACAACTGCACACAGAAAAATATCACAAATGGATAGTAACATCACATTGTGCACTCTACACTTCCAATCTGTTTCAATCAAACAGGATGCAATTGGGCACTGATGCCTTATTTGCCTGAAAATGTGATGTATTTTCAGAAAGGTATATACACATATATATTGTGCCAACAAGTTATATACAATTTGAAAACCAAAGTCTGAAATCAGATTATTGCAGAAGGACTTACGTCCCCGATCAAAGCTTGTCGATGTCTTTTAAGATTTGTTGCTGTGTCCGGAGGTCGCGACATTATGATCAAGCTCCTATTCTGAACAAAGCCGGGACAAAGAAGTTCAGGGACACAATTCTTTACACCGAACGGGTCAAGTGCATCCGGTGTTAGGCCAAAAAAAAAAAAAAGTCTCCGGTTTCTGGTATGCGCGCGTCGCCGTAGCCATGCGCGTCGGCAAAATGAAAAAGTTTTTTTTTCAATAAAAGATGATGTCTCAAAACCGCCAAACTCACTGGTTTGACTGGAATCCTGCTGCTGCACAATTTTAACGTGTTTTTAGATGGGGTTATGGTCGAGAATAAGCTTTATGTGGCCTCTCTGGACTCCCATATATATTTGCACTAAGTTTAGTCGGGCACCATTTGCAGTCATGAGCCGACATTTGAAGCAAAAAAAAACAGGTAAAAAAAAAAAAAGCCGCGTCGCCGCACCACTTTTTGGGCAAGCTCCATACCAGAAACCGGAGACTTTTTTTTTGGCCTGAGGTTCAAGTGTGCACAATAACTGCGTGGAGAACACCTCGATTGTAATCCTACCGTACGGTGATCAATTAAATAAACATTAGTGTACCTCAAGCTATTTAAAAAAAATATTAAGATAGGTATATTTTGGATTATTTGTTAACAAACAATCCAAAGCTAATGTCGTTATTTTCGGTCAATCTCTTAAACAAGGTATACAATTTAACTTCTCTTCGAAAAAAACCCTGTAAGAATTCTTCAACAAGGCCAACTGTAGGGACACTGTGGAACACTTTCACAAAGATTGCATTGGTTTACGTTGAATTAAAAAAAGGTAGTTAGGAACACAGAGCATCTTGTTTAAACTAATAACTTCCAAGCTTCCTGGACAGCGCCATTCACGGAATGTTTAGAATTTTGCTTTCCTGAAGAGCCAAATTCAATTACAAGCAGCTGTAGAACTTAACCGGTTGTTTCAGGCTTCGGTTTTAGTTCACGGATATCTGCATAATGAATCTGACTGAAAAATTACCTACAGGGTGTCCCCCCAAAAAAATGCTCCACTCTCTTTTTTTCCAAAATTCAAGAAAACCAGAATGCATAAATTTCTTATCATGCATGGTAAGAATGCTATGTGTCTTGGTTGTTATCTACCAAAAAATCAGATCATACTGTCAATCGACTGGGGACAGAAATGCTTAAATATGAACTCGCCTCCATTTGCCAACTGCGCTGGGGACTCAAATCACCACTTTTAAAATGTCGATTTTTGTCAAGTGTGCTTTTCAAAAATTCTACTTGGTATCTATTATGAAAGACCAGTCATCAGTTGTTGTCAAGCAAACAAGAGAAAACCAACCCAACCATGGCATTGTTCATTATTGGACTTTGACAAAAAATACCTATTTGTAAATCAACCACAGGTAATAATTGTTCACCTGTGGCTGGGTGCTACAATTCAGTGTGGGGTTCCCTCAAATCAGGTGACAAAAGGTGCTGGTCTGAAAAGAACCAGTCAAGCAGATCGGCACTGCCCACACATAGGTAAACAATTGTTACGTGTATTTGATTTACAAATAGGTATTTTTAGTCAAAGTCCAATAAATGGACAATGCCATGGTTGGTTGGTTTTCTCTTGTTCTATCACATCCTAAATATTACATTGTAGGACGCCCTCTATTAATTCCTGTGTCATTCCAAAAGAAGCTGGATTAGTGGGCAAATCGAGGCACAAGTCTGAATAAACCAGTTCGATTCCCGCAGATTCCCGGTAGTGTCCCTAGCCCGTTCATTAGTCAAATAATAAGTCACGGGGCCAAATCAGATTAGCCCTTGCCCAGTTCGCATACACAACGCTTTCCGACGAGGACGGTCCATCCCAACAGACTCGTCTTTAGCCGCTCAAGGACTTTCCGGTCAGCGCCTCCCGAGTTACGCCCTGTGGGGAGGGCGCCCTCGTTCGAACCCTGCCCCCAATACAAGGACGAGAGTGCAGTTTGGTAGCGCACTGCTCCAACACATTGAGGTTGGTAGAAAGATAACGGACGTGTGTACGTAACATGATTATAGGCTCACCTTAGTAGACTATAGACAATGATATCCACATGCGTTTATCATAAAATAATTAAAAAAAATTATGGAGATGTCGAAATTATGAATTTGAATACTGTCAAATAAGTTGGTTTCCCCGCTTTATATCACTCTAAAAAACATTGGTTAACATAACAAACCATTGGTTAAAATAACCAACAATTGGTTAATATGACTGTCCAACCAACCGATTGGTTGGACACATATTAACCAATCGGTTGGTTGGACAGTCATACTAACCAATTGTTGGTTATTTCAACCGATGATTGGCTACATATTGAGACACTGCTTGATACCTATTTAACACAATTATCCACCATTTTAATGTTTTGGATACACCTTGTAGGCCTATACGTCTTTAAAAAAAAAAAGAGTACCGTATAACAACTGCACACAGAAAAATATTACAAATGGATAGTAACATCACATTGTGCACTCTACACTTCCAATCTGTTTCAATCAAATAGGATGCAATTGGGCACTGATGCCTTATCTGCCTGAAAATGTGATGTATTTTCAGAAAGGTATATACACACATGTATGGTGCCAACAAATTATCTACAATTTGAAAACCAAAGTCTGAAATCAGGTTATTGCAGAAGGACTTACGTCCCCGATCAAAGCTTATCGATGTCTTTTAAGATTGTTTTGCTGTGTCCGGAGGTCGCGACATTATGATCAAGCTCCTATTCTGAACAAAGCCGGAAAAAAGAAGTTCAGGGACACAACTCTTTACACCGAACGGGTCAAGTGCACCCGGTGTTAGGTTCAAGTGTGCACAATAATTGCGTGGAGAACACCTCGATTGTAATCCTACAGTGATAAATTAAATAAGCATTAGTGTACCTCAAGCTAATTAAAAAATATTAAGATAGGTATATTTTGGATTATTTGTTAACAAACAATTAATCCAAAGCTAATGTCGTTATTTTCGGTCAATCTCTTAAACAAGGTATACAATTTAACTTCTCTTCGAAAAAAAACTGTAAGAATTCTTCAACAAGGCCAACTGTAGGGACACTGTGGAACACTTTCACAAAGATTGCATTGGTTTACGTTGAATTAAAAAAAGGTAGTTAGGAACACAGAGCATCTTGTTTAACTAATAACTTCCAAGCTTCCTGGACAGCGCCGTTCACGGAATGTTTAGAATTTTGTTTTCCTGAAGAGCTAATTTCTGTTACAAACAGCTGTAGAACTTAACCGGTTGTTTCAGGCTTCGGTTTTAGTTCACGGATATCTGCATAATGAATCTGACTGAAAAATTACCTATATGCTTTTAAACTTTGTAAACTATTGCAAATAAAAGCGTCTATAACATGTCCAACAGTTAAACATTAAGTTTCACTGTGTAAAGGCTTGCGCATAGGTCCTTGGGTTCATTGTAATCGCAGGTGCTTTATTGTTCCAAGTCCTCAGACGGACTATTACGGATACACACATACATTCACCCGCACGACGATCCTTCGCAAGGAGTATAAATGGTTATTAATAATAGGTGAATCAAAATTCATTAAAAGCACAAGCAATACGGCAACAGATTTTCAGAGAGTAACGATAGATGATCTACATTAAAAGCAAAAATGGAGATGTCGAACAATACGGAACGTAGAAACTCCGAAATTTCGTCGCAAATTAAGCCATTCAATATAAAACTCACGATATCCGTCTTAACACAAACGATAACAAACGTTACAATGTGCAGTTTAGTAGAAATAACATCCCTCAGAAGTAGTAGTACTGACATGACTTGGCATCTTCAGTGTTCATTTCGATAGCGGGGTCCAGCTGACATGACATGAGTGCTCCCCGGCTTGCCGGGCGCAGACTGAAGGAGCGGCATCGAGGCCCATCCCGGCACACCAAAGCCCAGGCCACGCTGCTGGTTGAGCTATCCTTGAGGATGCGATCGGTCAGGCAGTGGGCCGTGAAGAAGCCACGGGCATCATACGTCAGCCGACAGGACATGGACGGGACAGCAGGGCTCTCGCACATCGCGTTATAGCTATTCGTGCATGGCATGTCATTCCACAGTCCACCGTGACCAAAATAGCCCCACATTCCTGCACAATCTTCCCGATCCTTGTAGTCGGGATGCGGCTCCCCCTCTGCCCAGTTGAAGTAGGTGCACTCGTGATCTCCGTCACCAGCCTGAACCCACCTGCCCTCCTCCTTGACATCACTACAGCCGATCCAGAGATTCCCTGATTCAGTGACCTTCCTCGTGAACATCTCCCAGATGAACTGATGCTCTTGGAGGGAGTCAGGAATCACCAGACCAGCGTCAATATTGGCGCAGGCTTGGGATGCCTCTTCCCATGTAAATGTTTCAGTGAGCAGTTGGTAGCAGGAATTGCCAAATCTTTCTTGACCGGGCTGGCATGGTTCGGCCTGAACACACGCCAACATGATCACAATACTCAGCGCAGCGAGCTCCATACTGGCCTCAGTTCGAGGCTCCAACCCGATGTCTTATGCAGACAAACTGGTCTCGCAGCTTAACTATAATATGAACCTCTTTTCACAGAACATCCTCTCAAAGAGATATAGCAGACCCTGCTAATTACTATGTTCTCATTTCATTAACTTTGTCCCCATTAGGGATAATTGAAAGACGTACAAATTGGCTGCGACCGAATGGTTGCCATGCCAATATTTGCGCGTCATCAAGTGCTATTAAGCTGTATAGCATGGTTTACTGAAACGCCACTATTAAAAATGGAACACAATTATCGATTTGTAAGGAGACAATGTAGAATCTGCACCTAAAATGCGAAAGATTAATTTGATTGGTATCATACAGAGCGATAGAGTTGCTTGTGACAGCGGAGTATTGGAGACGAGATTGGCATTCGCAGTGCATTTTAGTTCACGTCTGTTTACACGCGCCTTTCAACACTCTATTGTTATCTTGTAAAGGAAGAGTTTAAATTTTAGTTGTTCACTGACCCTCGAAGCAAGGTATTTACCTTTCAAAAACAGAAAACGAGATTTACTAGACCTAAAAAGAAGCCCTTTCGTGTCACTGAATAACAAAGGTTAGAAAATTATATAAAAATAATATATCATTATTATACGGACGAGTACATGGTGATGTTATTTATTGCTTGTCTTGTCTCACACACGATTAAGCATCATTAGTTAGAGCTCGACCTTTTGAGGTTGAGGAGTCTTTCTTTCCTTTTTTTCTTTTTCTTACACAATAATCAATTCAATTAAATAGTACTTACTTAACGAGATAATTAAACAGAGTTCGTATCTACTAAGTTTACCATCTTCGTCATCTGATCTCTTTTATATTTGTTGTCTCTGAAAATATTCCCTTTTTCTTTAATCACTAATTTGTTGTTGCATTGTTACAACCTTTGGATACTAACACTTGTTTCTTTCAACTATAGTTCTGAACTTTGTTAACACTATGTTTTGGTCCATGTACTAAATAAGCTAATATAATTAGTAATTTTTTTACTGGTAATATTTCTTTATCTTTTGTCAACTATTCTCACATGATTTTACTTCTGTGTTGTAACCTACTCTCGCCACAAATCGCACTGCGCAATATTTTTGTTTTTGTTTTTGTTATTTTTTTTATTTATTTATTTATTTTGTTTGCGCGGGGCGGCTCCCGGGCCTCCAAACACTCTTGTCGCTGCTGCTCTTGGCACGCAGTACTGTAGATTACGCTTTCTCTATCCTATAACCTGATGTATCTTATGAATACATCCGAACGCCACTTTCCCATTTCCCTAATTTGTGCGTCTGAGAAGCCACGGGAAAGGGTATGGCAAGCGGCCCCTATTCTGAAACTGTGGCCCGTACATGCATGTGGGTCTAATCCTATAATTGTCACCGTCTTTTGTAATAAATACAGGCAAACTCAGCTTGTTTCACTGGTTGGCCGCTTGGCCAGCATTACAGAAACTTTGCATTAAATGACATACGCGTCGTTGGCTCATGTAATCTGACAATGCTCAGACTGGGCATATGCATATATGGTCTACTCACTTGAAATTTGATCTACAGAATGGGGGCGCCCAGGCTTTGTTGTTCAATAATACTGTGTTTAATGGTACTAAATGCAGTGTGACTGTTACTTCAGTGTTAGATATCATTTATGTCAGTAAACTGAATTAAGTGTCTGACTTTTGGGCTGTTTTTGACGGAAAACAGTCTTTACTGATTTGCGTTATACATGTATTATTAATCGATCATATTCATCGGGAGGTAGTATCGATTAAGTCAAGTCTCGTGACACCGGTATCGGCCAACGAGTACATTTTCATTTTCGTCTGCTCCTCAGCCAGCTCAACATTTCTGGACCAAACTCGGACAAGTTACTTTAAGTTTGGACCTGGTAAGTAGGCCTAAAATATTTAAATTTAACTTTTTTTGTGGAAATTTCTGTTAAATTCTCGTTAGAGCTGTCTGGAAGTGGCAAATTGTTCTGTATTTAGTTGAACGTTCGTATCTTTTTGCGTTGAAATAAGATGTTTTGCAAACGTGACCGCCTGACAGGCATTGCGATGCGGTGCAGTTACACGCAAGTTCGCAACAGTTTTGATTTTTAATGCGTTCGACAGGTGTCTTTTACCAGTGAATTGCGGCAGGTGTAACATTGCTAGTTCTGTTTCCAATCTACGAACCTTCACACTGTTTAAAACACCTTATTAAGTTAAGCTGCAATCCCATACTTACAATTTTGGAAGTGAGAAAGAAAAAGACTTGTCTTTTTGTCCAATGACAATGGTTTTGGAACTCTACTTTTGATAATAAACTTCAATATGTTACAAATGTAAGGTCGAGTAAAAAAATAAACAGTTTCTCGTCTGGGCTTTTTACCCCCCTGGCAAGTTTAAAGCCAGAAAGGGGGATTGGAAAAAATGTTGCAACCTGACACCACTTTGTTCTTCCTATATCATCTCAATGAAAGTCAGTCATTGCAAAAATGATGATAAGACAGGAATCTGGGACCAAGAAACATTTCAATTTTGTTAGGAAATAGGCCTACTTAAAAAAAAATGTCTTGACTCTTCATAGACTTTGTACACAATCGCGGAAGTGGCGTCAGGTTGCAACATTTTTTTTCCGGGGGATTTTGCGGTAGCGTATTCCGTCAGTGTGTATGTCTTTTTTTTAAATAAAATGAAAGAGGCGATCGTTTTTTTTTGTCTCCAACCCCACCCCCCCCAAAAAAAAAAGACGGCTGATTTTCCAAGATGGCACAGGGATTCTTCCATTTTCATGGCACTTTTGCTCACACAAATTGTGTCTAAAGGAGCCGTATTCCCCCTTTCTAAAAAGCTACAATTTTGTTAGGAGACAAAAAAAAGACAATATAATGACAATACGTGCGCTAAATATATTGCAAATGTAAGAATTAAATTTCAAAAATGGGTGGAAAAAATGGAAGCGGTGGGGATGGGCCTACCATATCGGGGAATGATTGATAGAGCCTATGAAGACCTAGCCAAATAAGTTATTTAATTGATATATTCCATTACTAATGGAATATGTCAGGCATAAAATGAAAATTCGGCCTTATTAATTTTAAAGCATTTATAATTAATAGTGAAGTACATAATAATCCTTGCTCTATGATAATATGTACATTTTACGAGAATAATTTGCAAAAGACCAGTGTTGTAGGAGAGAGGAGAGATGCATAAATGCTGACTTGCTGTAGGCTAGATTCCATTTCTGGTACAGTACTAGTTTCTACCAAAACTTTTACCTCATGTTAAATTACAATTAAATACATGTAATAGCGTTAGTTATGGCCGCCTTCTTTCCTTTTCAGCATCCCTCTTTTTGTGCCTCAGCCACCTGACACCCCCCCCCCTTTGGTGCACCACTGTCAGCAGTTAATGCTTAGCATAGCGTTTTAAGTGTAAAAAGACCTCCGAGCTGTTTGTGTTCCTTTACCTTTCTTGTCATTAACTCTTGCAAGTACATGTGTAGGTGACAATCTGTCTGTTTGGTTTGACCCTTATACAACTAGGAGCTTTAATATATGCCTATATTGTAGCACTGAAAATTTACTGACGTGGGCAAGTGTATTGCTGCAACGCAAACATAAATTATTTAGTCATATTATTGGTACTGCCAACTGCTTCAACATAATTAGGTAGGCCACAGAGGATATAGTGCAGAGTGTTTTTAAAAGTCTTTCAGCATAAATCAACCAATGCCAGCTCTGTACTTTTGCCCAGTATATTTTGTCACCAAGATTTGTATAGATTTATAAACTCTGCTGTGATTTGTGCAGCCTGATTTTCTTGGTTCTCTCCCAGATTTAAAGGTGAAGTAGATCATTTGCAGCTATCCAAAAAATAACTGACAAAATTACTTTGCAAAAGCTTACTTGGTTTAAAGGCAGTAATGGCAATAAACTCCCTGTGAAATTATTCTTTCTGGTATGCTGTCATTTTGAAGAAAACAAGAAAAGAAGGCCATTTCCAAAGATGCGTCAAGCGACGCATTTTTTGAAAATTCAGTTAGTAGTTGGTGCGTAATTTGTTGACTCTGTGAATGGGTGCGGGCAAGCATTGACACGACGCACACACGTGCGCAGATGCTATTATTCGTCAGTTCAGTGCATGACATCGCGTAGCTGCCATCAACTGAATGAGAATGTGTCCCCGATGCTGATTTTGGGTGCAATTCTAAACATGACTCTGCAACTTTTGAATTGAAATCGAGATCCTAACATTGTTTTCTTGGAATATACAGCATTAACCGAGTTAAACCTTCATCAGGTTAGTTGTTAAGCACCCCTCTTTAGATTTGAGCACTTTTGTTGCTTCAAAACAAAAAAAACTTAGTGCACAAATGACAAAATGGTCTGCTCTACCTTTAAAATATCTTTTGATGACTTTTAAGAAGGAGATTAAGGGCTTTACATTCCTTCAACCGGCTCTGTGGATTTTCTACTGTTTTCAACAGCTTTATGCTTCAACTTTTAAAACCGGATCTGGATTTGAGAGGGTGGAAACTTAAGATAAATGTAAAAGGAAAAGAACGATCAGACAATAAACATCCTGAAGCATTGTAGCTTGTGAAAGGAACCAACTTCTGCCTCACTTACTCCTTCCAGTTGATTTAACTCCATTGTCCTGTCTGGATCCTTTTGTTGGTGAAACTTTTTGTGAAACTGTTCAAACTCTTCAAGTCAGCGGTTGTGATGATGAACATGCCCTGTTTCTAAAATACTCCAGTTGTTCTCCAAATGAACTGTTAAAAATTATTAAATTGGAAAGTGGAAATTGCAATTTCATGTGATCCTGAACATTTACTCTATTATTGGATGGCAGATATATCAAGACAATGATTCAGAATTACAAATAATGGAAACTGCTTTTGACAGATATCTGAAATCAAGTTGATTGTTTAGATATTCATTTGTTATTATTATAATCAATTTGTTTTTAATATTGTGTATTCTGAAATAGTTTAACATAACAGTAGTGAATAGGCATTGACAGTGATGTGCATTTTGTATTATTGAATGCATGTTCATAACCTCCATAAACTGTATGTGTCTCTGAGGCATTTCAAGTCTGTCATTCCATATCGTCGTCATCTTTTTTTCCTTCTCTCCTGACGTATCTGTCTTGTGCTTGCTCAGTGCAGCGCAAGTAGAGAGCTAGCAGCATCCTTTCATAACTACAATAATAACACGGCAGTCCCTGGACCGAGACCCAGGCAGATACCGTGGCATTGTGGAGTGTGTCTGCTGTGTGTTGTGTGTGTGCCAACAGAGCATCACAAATTCTCTGTGGCTTGGCACTTGGCAGAGGTTCGGAGTGAAGTCACTTGCGCCTCTCACTGTAGTGAGGGGTTTCGTTGTGGGCTGTGTCTCTGTCCCTTGCACATCGGTCAAAAAGTGCCGGCCACAGCCTTCTCTGCTGGATTTCAATCGTTTCGGAGATCGGACAGTTTTGTGGTGACTTGAGACTTGAATACTTCAGGTGTATTTTCTTGGTAAGTATCTTTTAGTGAACCGATACACTCTTTAGCTAATTAATTGTGGTGTTCACTTCATTTCTTGAACAGTAAATGTATGACAGCAGTATGTACAATATTCTGATTCCAGTTTGATTGTAAAGAATAGTTTGGAGAAATCTGTGATTAATGACTGCTTTCCTCCATGCAACATGCTTCCATTCCAACCTTGCATCCCTATTTCAAATCTGTTGGAAATTCAGTGCCAGCTATTTGTTAGAGAAATCATTGAATTTAAGTTCAAATTTTTGGTTTATTTAATATTAATCACAATGAGCACTGAGCTGTTTCCTTTGAATTGGAGCAATTGCTTTCTTCTCAAAATAATAATGCAGAGATTTATTCAGTTGAATTTCAAGTTTCATTTTGAAGTTTATTCTCCTACCCATACCCTTCTGTATTTTGACTTCAAACTGGCATTGTTTATTGATGCAGTTGGGTGGTGGCCAATTTAACGAAACTGGTGCCTTGGGTGTCTTTCATCTCTCTCCTTCATCACTCCAAACCCCAGAAGAAAAAAAACCCTTGCCCTCTGGGTTTGCAACTTTGCGCTGCCTTTCCTCCACTTTTCTTGGCAACATTCCAGGGTGGTCCTTAGTAAACTTTGAGCTTTTCTCAAGAAAGGTGGTTTTGTGCTCAGAAAAGTGCTGAATAGCTTGACTTTTGAAGTGCCCTCTTGCAAGGAGAGACTTAATTTCTAAATTGCAGTTTCGTTGTGATCGTGAGGCTGAGAGTTGGGCTGTCAGTGAGCAGCACAGAGTTCATTGTTGGGGTCCCATTGTGGAGCTTTCTGGGAGATTTGGTCTCTTGCAAGCTCCTATTAGCTGGGACGCCTGAAACCCTTTTGAATGGTCATTCCTGAATCGCTCACAGTTTGTTGTGTAATTCCTCTGTGGCTCTTGAATACTTGGTAATAAGGAATCTTTAGTGTTGACAGAGTATACTCTTGCACTCATTGTGTGGGAATCACAGAACTTGCTGTCTTTTTTTCTGTTCTGGAGAGCGTGGTAAACATTGCTCATTTTTGCTGATTCCAAGATATTGTAGCATTAGATGTTGGAACAGAAAGGGCGTTATCAGGGATTCTCCAGTTATATTAAGTTCAAGTGATACATCGTTCCATAGCTTCTGTTTGTTTATTTATCTTTTTTTATGGCATGCGGCCCCTATTCTGAAACTGTGGCCCGTATATGCATGTGGGTCTAATCCTATAAATGTCACCGTCTTTTGTAATATATACAGAGACACTCAGTTCGTTTCACTGGTTGGTCGCTTGGCCAGCATTACAGAAACTTTGCATTAAATGACATACGCATCGTTGCGGGCTCCTGTAATCTGACAATGCTCAGACTGGGCATATGCATACAGCATATGCCTGACATTTCTATACTGGCCTGTTTTCCTTTGGAATGCTTGTAGTGTTGCAAAACTAATCGTACATCTTCGCCATCTTGTTTTTGTGTGTATGTTATTTATTCTTAAGACATTGGCTGTGTTTTGATTTGAAACGGTCATTTCCCCAATTCGTAAGAATGCTGCGAAAGCCAACAAAACATGCTGCGGTACATCAAGTTTTGATACCTTGATTTCGCACAGTGCTCTAGTGCTGCTGTAATTTTATGTAGCAGTTGTAATGTGATCGGCAGCCGTATCACATTACAACTCGATCACTGATTGGTTCCCTAGAAAAGTGATAATGCTTGATCAGGTACCGCACGTAGCGCGTACGTGTACAACCGTTGGGCGAGCCATTGAACCTTTTCTCGATCGCTGATTGGTTCCCTAGGAAAGCCTCAGGAGAAAATAAGGGAAAAGTTAAACCGCTGATACGAAATGGCCAAGATGTTAGTGCGAGTATGCCCGCTGGTCTAATTGTTGTGCCATTTGAGGGCGCACTATGCACCGTCCACTATCGATCACTAGCGTCTTTGGCCAAGACTATGTAAGGACTTGAGTACATGTCCTCGGGTTTATGTAATCACAGATCCATTGTTCTCAGACGTTTGACAGATACACACATACATTCACCCGCACGATGCTCCATATAGAACTACATGTAATAATATTCGTCATTATACACAAAGGATAACAAACATCAAGATGTACACATTAGTAGAACCAACATCGCACTCAGAAGTAGTAGTACTGACATGACTTGGCATATTCAGTGTTCATTTCGGTATCGGGATACAGCTGACATGACATGAGTGCTCCCCGGCTTGCCGGGCGCAGACTAAAGGAGCGGCATCGAGGCTCATCCCGGCACACCAAAGCCCAGGCCACGCTGCTGGTTGAGCTATCCTTGAGGATGCGATCGGTCAGGCAGTGGGCCGTGAAGAAGCCACGGGCATCATACGTCAGCCGACAGGACATAGATGGGACGGCAGGGCTCTCACACATCGCGTTATAGCTATACGTGCATGGAAAGTCATTCCAAAATCCACCACGATTGCCGCCCCACATTCCTGCACATTCTTCCCAATGCTTGTAGGTGGGATTTGGCTCCCCCTCTGCCCAGTTGAAGTAGGTGCACTCGTGATCTCCGTCACCAGCCTGAACCCACCTGCCCTCCTCCTTGACATCACTACAGCCGATCCAGAGATTCCCTGATTCAGTGACCTTCCTCGTGAACATCTCCCAGATGAACTGATGCTCTTGGAGGGAGTCAGGAATCACCAGGCCAGCGTCAATATTGGCGCAGGCTTGGGATGCCTCTTCCCATGTAAACGTTTCAGTGAGCAGTTGGTAGCAGGAATCGCCGAATCTTTCTTGACTGGTTTTTCCAGCGTCTACAAGCCCAAAACGTGAAACAAGTCAGTTTAACAATATTTTCTACAACATACTAATCCTCCAAATCCATTTCCTTCCTCTCCTTTTCTTTTTCAAATGAATTTTGCACAACTCTCCGATAAACTACTTGTGGTAGTAACGACAAATATACCAAAGTGTCCTTTTTTCCATGACAAGATCACAACAAAACGAAACAAAAGAAAACTGACTTGGTCATTTATTTTTCAATTGGCAGCTAACCCGTGAACATCGTTCGCACCGTTTGCAAACTAGGAGCAGATTAATCGTGGACAATCGTCATCTCCAATGGCCATGAAGATACTGATACTTCTCCTTGCAGCCACGGCTGCTGCAACGGAAGGTGAGATGATAAGCCAAGTTGCGTATTGAGAAATCCACCTGTAGATCGATGTTAATCACCGCGATCCCTCAGGCCGATATGTGGTTGTATTAAATGAAGATCCTACAGTGGCGTGGCGATTTCGTTTTGCATACAGGGTACGGAGCTTCTCCCCGGCCCCCTTTGTTTTATCCCCCCCCCCCCCAGCGAACAATTTTATATTTCCTGTAAACGTACTTTAGATTATAATTGTCAATAGAAAGTGTCGCTTGGTTTTCTTTGTTACACAGTATATGATGGATACGATCGTCGAAGCATCGTTCAAATGACTAGCATGGTTATGTGTATTGCAAACCTCAACACTTGGGAGGTCATGTCCTATACCAACTACGGGTGTTTCTGCGGCAAGGGAGGAATCGGCAACACCCCTGTGGATGAGACAGACAGGTCAGTACCCGTTCTTTACATTATTCGGCTACGGTACGTTTTTTTGCGGAGATTAAAGGGAATTATACAACATTTGCAAACATTGGAAAACAAAACTACCAAATTTTTACGAAATACCCTAATAGGATGTTGGTAAATGAAAGTCTAAAGCATCCTGTAAAATTATGGCACCTGGTGTGAAGTCGTTTTCAAGAAAAGTGGTATTTTGTATAAATTTTCTAAGGTGGTCGGCCGACCACCGTTGGAAAAACTATTTTTCAACTACTGCTCCAAATTTACCCCTTTTTCAGTCCAAATTTTGTTTGCTATTGGTTACATGTTCATTAACGGGTGCAGGCCAGCTAGACTGGTTTCCTTACCTTACAATTTTCGGGCATCAATAAATTGATTCATTTCATCTTTAGTGGAGTCAGGGAACCAGACTACTTGAACATATTTGTTTTTCTTGGTTTTTCCAGCATTTTCGAACACAAAACTTCAAACATGTCAGTGTAACAGTATTTGATCTGTTATACTAACCCCTCAAATAGTTCATTTCTGAAAATTACAGCAAAAGCCAATGATGTACATTCCCTTTAATGTTGATTTCAAAACGCTGGCATTTTTAGCCCATGGGCCAGACCAGATGTTGGTATACCACCCGAGGTGGCAAAACTTTAATAGTGTTAATTTCTTTGTTTCATTACTATCAGTGAAAAAAATATAGATGATAACCTGTTGTAATGAGTAGCTTAATATTTTGTTGATGCAGTAACTCCTTTTAACGTAAACCCTATGGGTATCAGGCGGTGGGGCCACAACCCACCCCCAAAAATGATACTTATTATAATAACTACTGAACGCTTCGGCTAATCGGCATGAAATTCGGTGATCTCTCCAAACTTCTACTACTGAGGGGCCAATATTGTACAAAACCAGTTATTAGACAACTCTGTCATTTGTGTGTGTGTGTTAAACCATGAATAGGCCTATCATTTTTGTGGGGATAGAACTCAATGTTTTCTTTGCCCAGGCCTATCATGTACTGAGTTTACTGGAGACTACAATTCATGACCACCCGATTAACTACAATGCATGTTGGGAATCCAATGTGGCCGACTGAGAGGAATGGTGGCTCTATCCCATCCAAAGGCACCTCTCTTTCATACTGACTTGAAAAAAAAAACCCATGTGGAATATCCTGTTCAAGCCATGGGTCACATACCATTATATTTCCAGTATTCGAGGCAGAATGGGTCTTGTATATATTAATGACGAAAATTGGGTCTGGTATCACTGCCAATATATCCAAGTTTGTAGTTTGGGCGGGGTTATACTTTAGAAAAAAAGCAGGAATTCATGTTCGTGTATAAATCAGCTGCTACATTGTACATGTTTGTATTTGGGTGTAAGTCAATTGGAACTCACCTAGGGAAAATAAAGCTTTTCTCTTTATCATCCTGATAAGATTTTGATATTACCTCAATCTTTTTTATAATAACAAACTTTGTTTTGTACCATATTGATCTCTGGTAGACGGTAAGAAAGATCACCGAATTTCATATATACCGACCAGCCAAAGCATACATGAGTAATTGCAATAAGTTTCATTTTGTGGGGGTTGTAGCCCCGCCCCCTGATACCCACAGGATTAAAACGTTAATAGGGGTCTGAACCTTCAAGCGGTTATAACGAATCATAAGGGACCACATTGAAAAGGCTATCACATCAAAATATATATATACTACAGATCTGTAGCAGTAACAAATGGCAATAGGTTTTGCCATCTCGGGTGGTACAAATTGGTGAATTTTGGGGTCCTGGCCCATAGACTATATAGTCCACAAGTGCTACTCCTTCTGGAACAGCAATTTTGACCGACATTCCTATCCAACCTGCGAACAACAATTTTGAAATGAAAGTTCGTGGGAAATCAAGTTCGGGAATTTATTTTACGGTGAGAAGTGCGGGCACTTTTGCAAAAAGACCAGTCATCAGTCGTTATCAAGCATACAAGAGAAAACCAACCAACCATGGCATTGTCCATTTATTGGACTTTGACTTAAAATACCTATTTGTAAATCAACCACAGGTAACAATTGTTCACCTATGGCTGATTGTTCACAATTGTTACGTGTGGTTGATTTACAAATAGGTATTTTTAGGTCTGTAAATAGGTCTGTAAATAGGTCTGTACCACCCACTCGCACAGACAAACTCTTGTCAAGACTTTTCTGTATTCATCAAAGTGAACAACTGTTATGTTGTTTCTGAAATAGCCAGCAACTGAACCGTAACCTTGTTCGAAACAGAAGGTTGATTGTAAACCATGGCCTTCAGAAATAATTGCTAATACTATAAATAAACTGTATACACAAAATTAGGCTGTATTAATATAGCAACTTAACGAACCTTTGATCGAAAGAGAAGGTTAATTGTAAACCATGGCCTTCAGAAAAAATTGCTAATACTAACTGTATACAACAAATTAGGCTGTATTAATATTGCTGTAAAATCAGAGGCGTAGCAATGTCATTTATTACGGGGAGGGGGGGGGGTTAAAAAGTTAAAGAAATTGGCATTCGATGACAGGTTATCGGCCCTATACTTCTAAGGGTTGAAAACAGTCCAAGTACTGTCTCGTGTAATTTAGATGGACAGTTGTGTACTTTTTTTTCAATCTCTGCTCGCTTCAGATGCTGTCAGGTTCACGATATTTGTTTCGATGACGCCATGCTACCCGATGTGGGATGCTCTGCGAACGACATCTACTGGGCTAACTATCTCTACGGAAAGCGCGACAATCCGGACGGGAAGTGCTCCGTCCAGTGCGGTGCGTATTTTTGTCTACCGGGGCCATTCCTGAAACCTTTGGCTCTGGTGGCAGTTGCGGCTTATGTTTGATCAAACAATTGTTTCTATCTCAAAGCCTTATCCAATTGCGATTTAGTGACGCTAATCCCTTTTGCTAAACTTGTGAGGGAAACTTTACAGTCTTCGCAAAGCACTGTTCATTCGTTGATCCCGTAAACAATAGGTTATACCAACGCCACAGGACAGGGCGTTTGGATGAACAAAACCCAATGTCATCCCGTCAAGCTTTAACCATTGAACTAATTCTTTTGAACCATATAGTAACAGAAAGCTTAACTGAGCAATCAAGTAAATAGTTACAATCCAATAAAGAAATGCAGGTCGATTTTTTTTTGAGAACTAGCGGCACCCGCTAGCTGGATTGAGTCAAATACGAGTATTTACCTTGACCTCAATTTGCATGTTGACCCAAAGTGGGCGTGGTAAACCTTGAAGCAATTTCGCCACTTTTTCATCATGAACGTTATATTTCACGTAATTTAGCGATACGTTTTGAAGTGACATGATTGCATACAGATTGTAATACTTAACTATTCAAAGTCTGAAAGAAACAAATTTTCCAAAAGAAAAGAGCTAGGTCTAAACAACACAAATCCATTTTGTTCACGTGCCAACCTTATCTTCAGAGGACAGTGAAGTTGGAGCATATACATATATATATACCATTTAAGGACCTACAACAACCACCACTGCATTTTGCGCTTGCGCACACTCTGTTTGCTTTTTACAAAAAGTCATGACACACAGACATAAGAGAGACAGCAGACAGACAGACAGCGTAGGATCTTTCAATATGTGATTTACCCCCTTTTTTTGTTTCCTACAGTGCCGGAGGCTGACTACCCTGCGTCCAACCAGAACGCCAAATGCAAAGCTTTCCTGTGCGAGTGCGACCGTGTGGTGGCGGAGTGCGTAGCTCGTCACCGTAGCTCTTTTAGTGCCGGTTACGTCTTCCACTCCTGGAAATGGGGCTCCTGCAGTAATTAAGGGCGTACCCATAACAAATACTGGCTACACGCGCAAAGGATTTTGGCCCCACGACACTGATCTTTATGATAACAAGTAAAACGTTTATTAGACCTATAGGTCCCTATAAGTAGTTTTTTCTTTACAGAGGTTGCATTCGGGGAAGAACATTCACTGCATTTGCAAATGTATAACGACTGATTAACAAAGTGTCATTCAAAAACTTGAGGCGTTTTTAAAGACTTTTTCTTTCATTTGTTTTTTACTTCCTAGTTTTTTGTTTAAGGGATAGCTGCGGGGTAGCGGGTATGGTTTTTTTTAGGTTAAAGTGATAATATTGGCTGGAATGTTTTATGATTTGTTTTTATTTGCCTGTGTTGTTCGTTGTTAAATGAAGTAGCTAGGTTTTTTACAACCCGAACTTTTGGGACTGCGCTCGGCATCCATCCCACCTCTGATCTCGGTGAAGCAGTAGACCTGACAACGTTTTACAGATTCTGAAAATTCCTTTTCCCCCAACATATCATAAGGGTTAAGTAATGTCGGAGGAGTTCCTGTTAATCATCGTCAGTAATAATTCACAACCGTATCTTTTAAACTTTTATGGAAATACCAATGTAACTAGTTTTTCCCTGCTTTTTTAATCACTGAAGAGTTCAGATCTTTTAAAATGACTCTATGAAAGAGGTTTTTTTTTCTGAAAGGGCAGCAGTGGTAGTTTGGTGGCGGTATTTTTTTATTTTTGTTTACACAATCGCATTATTATGGTGGTTTGAATGTATTTTCCTTAACTTTTGCTGTGTTAATGTCTAATTAAAGTTTAACCTGCAAGCAGACATATCCGCAATTGTGTGTAGCCATTCATCGAGGCAATCTGGCGCGGTAAATGAGGTTATTTCGTCATATACATTTTCTCGCCGGGGTAGACATAATAAGCCTGGCACGACAGCTTCTCTAAATAAATTATCCCTCCAAGTCGACTCAATGAGGACGAAATGGTGATTTTATGGCGAGTAAAGAGGTCACCCTATATCCACAATGTCGACATGAATCATATTTTTTCGGTTAATAAAATGAGCGGTGTGGCACGGATGGAGCATCGTAGCTGGCTCCAAACCTAAGCTAAAAATGTGATGCAGAGGGAAATAGAAATTGAAATACTTTATATCTCTAATTATTGGCACGCTACGCGTAGTAACTGTTAGGTGAAGCGCCGCCATGGCATATGTTAGGTGTTTGTCATACATGTTTGACATAAATTGCCCCCCCCCCCACTGTACATGACTTGCTTAGTGTGTGTTTGAATGGACCGTGGTTTAACGAAGCAAATACAGGGCGAGTCAAAAAAGCGGAACCCAAACCCCCAAAATTATATTTCATATTTAAAATAAATATGTGGCACCAAAATAATGACTGGAAAGCCAATTTCATAAGCTACTTTTAGATGACAAAATTACTAAAATTGCTCAATCCGTTGAAATATTATCATCATGAGAGCTGTTGCGAAAAAGTTAGAGTACAAACAAAGGAAGAGGGAAGAGGAGCATAAGAAAATCATCGATTTACACCATAAACAAACGTGCTTGTGCGTGCGTGTGGGTGTGGGTGGGTGTTTGTGTGTGTGGGTGAGCTTGTCTTACATACGCAGTGTGGACTTCCGAACAAAAGACGTCCACATAATGTAGGTAGCAGCGACGAAGTGTGGACTTGCCCACGTCCACACAGTGTTTCCCCATTTCTGGAAAACAGGTTTAGAGGCATTTTTGGGTTAGGTTTATCAGTAGCAGAATGAAGAGAAACACTAAAGGGAATCATTGAAAAAAAATTGGGTTGTAAGAGTTTTCACAGTTTGAGAAAAATGAGTTTTTCCACTGGTGTTCCTTAACTACACGAAAAGAAAGGAAAGTCCACACAAGGTATGTGAAACAAGTCTGGGGTGTGTGTGTGTGTGTGTGGGGGGGGGGGGGGGGGAGGGTTGGTCGTCGTACCCGTCAGCAAAACTGACTGGCGGGAAAAAACAATTATGAACTCCGCCCTCTAGTGTTAAATTGTATCGAGTCCCGTCCTGTCCCGTCCATTTTGAACAGCGCCCTCTTGTGTCAGATGATCACTCGCTTTTCGAATCCCGGAATTTTGTGTCTTAGATTATAAGATTTGTGTGTGTGTGTGTGTGTGGAACAAATCAGTTTGGAGACGCACCAGATTACATTATTGCACAGTATAGGAGTGCAGAGCAGTACAGAGATTCCCATCCGGTTCGCTAGTGTGACGTCACTTCAGTTTAAACCACGCCCACTGCACATTTAGAAGCGTTGCAACCATTGGAAGCGGAAATTAACGCAACTTGAGTGCTTAGCCAATGGACACTTGTAATCTGTGGTGCGTGCGCGTGTATGACGAAGTCACAAACGAACCAGATAGACACCTTTGATTAAAACCCCACTGCAAATATTCGGATAATACTCACAGATTCTCAAGAAATACATAACAATCAAGCTTGGATTTTGGGGATTTTTTTCCTTCCGAGATGATCACCCCCTAAAGTCCTGAAGCCCATCGCCTTCTTAAAAAGTGATCCCTCTACTCCATCGCAAAACACTTTCATGTCAAATGTCTCAGGAACACAAGTTCAAAGACTGAGACTCTTCATTACGAAAGTCTTAAGTTGGGCCACATGTCTTTCTTCTATTAAGAGAGAAATTGACAGTATAATTATTGTGATTTGGTCTAAGATTAATCTGAACACAACATCAAAACTATATGAATGGTGGGTTTTGAGCCAGGGACTGGGCAGTTTGTCGTTGGCCCAATGACTGCAGACAGCTTAACAACAGACGAAAACAGACATCAATAAAGTAGTAGCCATGTCATTTCCCCCTTCCGTTAACTTTATGCTCTTCACGTAATTAAACATCGTTAATAAATTGTTTATAGATTTATAGGTATATAACTATTCCAAATACAATAAAAGGAGTTGCTATTTTATTCCGTTTACATTTTTTTCTTCTACAATTTGATTAAAATATACAAGTAGAACCCGGGGGTGGTAAATCATTTTCGCTATCTGTGCTATTTTCGCAGGTGTAGTGCTCAACCGGTGGAGTTTGTCCTACGCATGCGCATATGGATCACGTTGGGGTAGCGGGGCTTTCCTCGCCTTCCACCGCTGTGACCCGGGCTCGAATCCCGCCTGGGCCAATTGGGTTTTTAGTCCCTGCCTGATTCCGTGGGTTTTCCCTAGAATGTCATTCTGGGCCTTTCCTCCCACCGCTAAAACTGTAATTTCCTTCCACATATTCTACCAAGAGACCCTACTGAAAATAAGTCAAAAGACTTCGAGTCGTGGGCTATCCTGGGCAATTTCCGAATAGTTAAAAACAAATGCTGTGTTAGTATCCCTATTAAGTAATTTTTTTTCACTACGCATGCGCACTCATCATCTCACCGATGTACGGCCTGAAAGAATACCGCGGACATTTGCACACACAAACAAGGGTCCCTTTGAATGAAAATGTTCCTAATTTTCCAGTAGAATTCAGCCCATAACTTCTAAAAGTATTGAGTTTGAAATTTGAACTATCTTACGAATTTAAGTAAAATGAAAATACTTTAAAAAAGGTAATGTTTTCGACATAATAATATAATTACCAAGCACAGAAGAATCTAACTGAAGTTATAACGGCACTTTCTTGTTTGTTTACAATTGGAGCAAGCGTGATGCGTTTTGGTTTACAAAGAGAAATAAAGAGGAGGAAACGCATATCGCGCGCCCAACCATCCTGAATGAACGTAATACACACACCCACAAGCATTTCAATTGATCGCACAGATGTCCATTGTTTCATGTGTGCTGGCAATTGGATTGCGTATTGCGTATGCAATGCAATGGCAACGATGAAAATTGCACTTGCTTTGTATTTTGCAATCACGCGATGAATGTACCTCCTTTGCACATCCCAATCTGCTACCACGAAATTATATACCTACTACCATAAAATGCAGCACAGAATTGTATACTTCATAAACAGATTGCAATTTGGGGAGAAAAAAAATCCAAAAATCCAAATCATTTTCATCAGAGATAGCAGGGTATTTTTTTTTCTGTATAATTTGCTTCTGAGAGATCTGAAATTAACGTTGAAGCTCAAATCTTTGACGAAAGGCTCGTTTAGCAATGACGAGAACCTGCCATAATTCAGGAAGACGAGAAAAACGGGTTACCACTAAAAAAAATTTGATGTATAGAATTATCTCTTTCAAATGTTTCCAAAATTTTACCATTATTTTTAATTTATGACTTATAAACAGGAAAACGTACTCGAAGATACAAGGAACTTTATGAAACCGCGCATGCGTGCAGCCTCATGCTGCCGTTGCATCGAGATATCTGACAAACTGGGTCAATATTGGTTCGCTCTCATTTCGGCCTCTTGAGGGGGCTCCTCTCCCATAGGCTAAATTTCATGGCAGCTACCTCTACGTCGGTCTTGGGTCCTAATCATGCATAAAAGGTTCATAGCTAAGATGTTGTTACAAACGCCTAACATCACGTATGTTACCGTTTGCATATAATTTTTTTTTTAACATGTTATAGTCCAGGAAGGATGTATCTTTACCTTAGTATTACCTTCAGTGAATACAATTAACTCTAACCGGGGAATACAAAACGTAATAGTTAAGTCAGCTCTCTTCTTAAAAACATGACCTGTACAAGTATCTTGGAGTTCATATAAATTGGTGCTTTCTAAATATTTACAGAAAGTAAAGTTACAAATAAAGAATGATAAAATAGCTTGAAACCTTTCGTAAAACCCCTTCATATATAACTTTAAAAATAAATGGTGTTTTGTACTGAGTATCTAATTGTTGCAACTATAGAAACAAGACGGACCTCCGAGCCGACCATTTGTGAGTGTTTTATCCTAACAGATGAGCAATGACATGAAAACGATCACATTATTTTATGGTGTGCATTGGATATGCCCTATATGTGAGCCCTTCATTTAAACATTCCTATTTTCTGAGGCACATAAACTGCAGTGAAATCCGCTGCCATCTCCAGCCTGCTTGTCATTCACGCGAGATTTCAATGGTTGACTTTTCTTTGCATATTACAACTTGCTCCTAATAATATTCCCTCTATCATTAAAACAAAAATATAGCTCGATCTCTAAACCATTCAAAACATTAGCTATATCTGACTTTTAAAATAAATTCATAAAATCGTCTTTGTGTTTGAAAACGTCTCAAACAAATCCGGGAAGTTGTATTTTAATTTATGCCTATGAAAAAAAGCCTAAACTAATTAGTTCAAAAAAATTCAGTGATTGAAATGGAAAGATACTTCTAACAAAGTCACGTTAGTGATTTATAGCATTTACTTTATAAGGTAGATCGTACACGTATGCTACGTCCCACGTCGCTGATTGGCCGGTTATGTAAGAAAGGTCCAATCGTCTAGCTCCTTGACGCCTGTATCACTTTCACAGGCTGGTCGACATGATCACCGATGACCGTCTGATGTGACACAAGCGATTCCTTATGTGCCACACGATAGATGCATCCTTCTGCGAAATCCTCAAATCTAGCACGCATTCGTGTAGCGTCCACAACCGCTTGGTAAAGATATTCATCATTATCAGATGTGGATAATTATCTGACGTCACACGACCACATATTTACAAGAGTTTTCGTGTTGTTTTTTTACAAGTCCATTCATAGGCGATTCCTGCTTCTAGCGTCATGCAGTAGGCTGCTTTGACGGTGAAGAGTCGCCCTGTCGCAGGCGGCGCACGCCCTCGTTGCTAGGCACCCTCCTTGGGATGCCCTTGGAAGTGCGCCCCCTCGCGCCGGAATTATTAGAGTCCGATCCGGCGCTGCCGCCACCAGGTGAGGACGCCCTCGCCGGGTCCTCCGGTGACTTTTGACCTTCTATTGACCTCTGACCCGAGTTGCGTCTCGGTGAGGAGGCCTCGCCAGAGTCTTTGGAAATGGCGTCCCTGTTTTCGTCATTTGGGAAGACATCATTAATACTTATGTCACTCGTGTGCTCCTCGGACATATTCGACAATCTGGATTGACCTTTGACCTCTGTAAAGAAGTTGAAAAATCGGTTGAGATGGTATACATGTATATGGGTTTGGTGATCAAAGGTGTCAAATAATGTACGTTTAACATACCAGACAGCACTTTGAAATGCAGTTAAGTAATCTCCCTTGATTGCGATGATCGAGCCACTGACAGCGTATAACATTGAGCAGACACAATACTCAGAGCCTGAGTACAATGTATAACACGCCAACTACACAGAGACATACATCTATCACTGCACAATTGCCACATTAGAAAAATAGGTAGCACATGTGACCCACACGTGACACACGGAACACATTGCTATTCAAATTGCACAGGTATCACACCGGGGGCACGTGGAACATGGGTGGCTCTATAGTGGCACACATGATGGCGGTACGATGACACATGGGTACCACAAAGAGATTTCACATTGGAAGCACTAAGTTATGACACATGAGTTGCACATCAGATGTCACATGCATGGGTGATACCCGGGCGCACACGGAGAGCAGTCACAAAAGATGGCACGCATGTGGTACACGGAGAGTAAATAATTAGTGACACACATGCGAATCAAGACACAACAGATGAAGAAACACGGATGCACTAACATGGCACATGGGTGGCATTCTAATTACACGAGTGACACTTTCAATGGCACACAAGTGACACAAAGGTAGTGCCAAATTGATGACGTATGAAACAAACAGAAATAACAAGGCAAAGTGTATAGAACCCATAAAGGCACACAGAGAAGAGGGCGCAAGGATGGGAAAATTAGCGGCACTCGGGAATCACAAGAAGGGTATAAAACGGCAAGGCCCCAGGCCCAAATATACCAAAAGTGAAACGAGAGAGCAACGCAAGGATTACATGCAGAAAGTTGAAGTGGTAATCAAGTCATCACCATCAATCACAGGCACAAGTCGTCTGATCAGTGGTCACAAGTCAAGTCACAAGCTTTTTGAATGAAGTGGTAAATTAAGGCATTCCCCTGATATTCGTCCCCTTCACTTGTGACTTGACACGACAGTCACCAGTCTTGTTTTGTCGGATAGTTCAATACAGGCACACAGAAATAAGAATATGATTGGCCAACACTTCAAGACAACACAAAAATCGAGCGAGAAACCAACAGACTAAAGACGTTCATAAATGAGCAGTGACTTGCAGATTGTACCACAGAAGATAACTACTTATAGGCTACGATAGGCTACGACAGATAGGCTACGCATCCATAAATTTTTTTGGGTTTTTAAATTGAAGATGCTCACTACCTGGATGAAAGCCACTCAAGGATATAGGGCTACAAAGTAAGGTGAAGAGAGACAAAACAACAAGAAGGAATTCACTGATCTGGGAGAACAGAGATCGTAAGATGAAGGAAAGCATGTGAAATGACAGGCACTATGCGCATGCTGTGACAAGGTTATTAGACCAGCAGAGATCGGGCATGCAAGGCATGTGTAGGACAGCCATCCACAACAAGATGAACACAAATTTAATTGAAATCGTTAATGACCTGTGGCCGCGTACTCCTTCCATCTGTTCTTATTATACTGCAGTGGCTCTAACCAGCTCCGTACGGCCTTCATGGGGATCGAGGGCTTCCTAGTCAAACTTATCCTGCCGGGGCTCGATGGCGGCCGGTTCGGTTGGCCCTGGAAAACGAAAAAGTATTTCGAAGATTGTCCCATGTACAATTTGTAGTTTGTTAGCAGAAGCGTTAGCACAATCCCGTGCAGAATTTATACTGTGTGCTTCACTGGGAGTAGCAGTACCGTCCATAAGCAGTTCTTTAAGTAGGGCCCAACATGCACGTATACGTTGTTTAAAACGGGGTTCTAATAACCAGGACAACACTTTTTAGCACACTGTTACATTAATTATAATATATAAAATTAACTTCGCTGGTCTCTTTAAAAAAAAGAGGGGAAAAGGGATCAAAAAGAGCTGTTGAAACACGTACACGCGACTGATGAAAAGGTGCTGACGTCATTATCATATGCAATGACTCCGATGACGTGTTGTGTGGGAGCCACTGCTAGATAGGCTGTTGTGTGTGTACGTGCGTATGGTGTACACTTGGCATGCATGGCCATGGTTTTCAACTATGGACATTTTCGCAATGGTTTCAACTGGCCAGCAAAACACTTCTTCTGAATAAGCTCCAAACACATACATAATAAAAGTGTCCGTCCTTTCAGAAAACAAATCACAAATATTACCCAGACGTATAGTGCATTTACAATAGAAGTAAATATCAACGAAATCAATTGCATGTATAAACATTTTGCAGAATTTAATTGCGCCCGCCATGACTCATATAAACATTCTGAACGGATTTGAAATAACAAAGATCGTATTATAAGTAAAACTCCTAGGACAGCCAGGGTTGGTGAGGCAGAAACGGGGAAGACGCTGTTGTGTTTCCATGTTTGGACACGGTGAGAACGCAGTAGTATGCACGCGTAGGGCACGAAATCTAGTACGGCAAGGGTATTTTATAGAACTGAATCTCAAAAACGCTACAAGCAACCAATACCAGCGGCCAAGCAATTTGCCCCTACCGAACTAGTGTGAAGTAAACCCATAGCCTCCACAACATTTTTTGAAGCGTGGACGCACAGCTGCAACGGCGGTTAAAAAATAATGTGGCGTGCATATATAGCAAATACAATTGTTATCCTTGTTTATCAGGATTGAGACAATTTTTCTAGAGCAGCTCAATATCAGCACATTGAGGTCTTTACCTTCATGGTACCAAGAGAGACATTGTATTTAAGTTTCTTGCCCAAAGACACAAGCCCCATGTTCCCCGTCAGGCTTCGAACCCACGTACCGCTGCACATGAGTCGAACACCGTACCCATTTGGACCACAGCGCGTCCCAATAACATTAAATAATCAATTAACATTTGTCACTTGAGGTGTAATTCTTTAATTGAAAAAAGAACATTTAAGGATGCATTCATCAAAACCAAGCAAACCAACAGATGGATTTGATAACTTTTAGAGCCGCTAGGAGGAAATGCAACAAACGAGAAAAAGGTCTAGTGCCCTTAATCTCTCTCTCATTCTTGTTTTCACCGAAGAGGACTTACTAGTGCAAGGTGACCCTACCTGATACGATGGCACGCTACTCGTCCTGGGCGTGCTGGTGGGACGCGCCAGCGGGATGGAGTTGCGCTTACTCTTCAGACTGCTCTCATCGGGTTCACTGGACGGCAGTTCTTGGAGTACCCTGTCTATCATATCGCAGCACACGATCATGCTAGGCTCCACGATGAAGTCTATGAAGCCTGAGGTACAAAGAATACTTCGGATCATGAGACTCGGCACTGTCAAAACATGCTTCCAGAGCGACATTGCATTCATAAGTGGTACGAGAACTAATTTGGCAAGTCAGAATTGGTACAGGCCACTCCCTACTTCCGGTAGTTTGTCCTCCATAAACAAGAGTAGGTTCATTATTGATTAATTATCTTAAATTTGAAAATCCAGGCATATATTCCTCAAGGAATGATTTCCTTACGATATTACACATGCTTCACCTGCTCTTAAGGGGAGTGTGGCCTGGTAGTTAGGGTTTGTGACTCATGATCAGAGAGTCAGGGGTTCGATACCAGCTGCTGGCCGCATGCTGTGTCCTTGGGCAAGCCACTTTATCCCTACTTGCCTCTCTCCACCCAGGAGTATAAATGGGTACCGGCATTAGCTGGGGAGTAACCTGCGATGGACTGGCATCCCATCCAGGGGGAATAGACATTCTCAGTCATTTCATGTCATGAAACTAGAGATAAACACCGGCCTGGTGGCCCCATTGGCTCGTGACTGACTTTACTCTAGTTTAACATTGAGAAGTGTACCTCTTATTTTTGCCTTAATTCTCGGTTTCCTTTTCAGTACATGATATATATCTTTTTGGATGATCAGAAATACAGACCTATTTGCGACTCGGCAATCATGGTGGACTTGCGATCACACAGCGGCGAAAATGCAACACCAAGCTCTTTCTCTCTGTCTCCCTAAAGCAAAACAAAACAAAACCAATGAACATGAAATGCAAAAGCGATTTTGGTTCTACCGTTTTGTGATGTGTTTATATTGTAATGATCATTAAATATGTTGAGGTTGGTCTATAATTGCCAGATGTGTTTTTTGACGTAGGGCTTACCTCAATGATTACTTGGTATCATACCAAAAGAATTACGTTTTAGTTAAATTTGATGTAAACACAGTTGAATAAATCAATTTTTGCTCACTTGCTGTAAAAGCTACATGTATATTTTCTGGTTGGGTTTGTGTCATAATATTTTAGTTCACCGGTGCAGTTTTTGTGTGGATTGTGAAGTTGTGGTGTGGGGTATTTGTATTTGAGGTTGGCGTCGGTAGTTGTAGTTAGGAAAGAGTTTGTAGGTTCATTGCTGCTGTTAAACCCAACAGTCTGTACGGAATCCATACTCATTTTGTGGCTGGATGTCGAATTCGAATTGGGATTCAGTTAAGTTGGGTTGCCCTTCTGTTTATTGACCCACTACTATCGACTTCAGAGTTAGGGTTTATCCTTATAGCAGGATCCAAGATATATCTCCAAGTGCCTCCACGTTAAGTTCACGAAACTCCATTTGAAGAGTCTAAAAGTTATGAGTCATTATGAGGAGAAGGCTCATTCTGGTTGTGTTATTTCAGACAAAGTTCACGGAGTTCGCCAGATAATTAGTAAGGCTTCACACGCCATGAATCTCATTTGTAGACCTGTTATCATTGTACCTGTCTGAAGAATTCGTGCATGAGCAGTGTTGTCCATTTATGGTGCAGACTCCACTCTTTGGCAGGGTGGCTGATATCTGCGCAGTGTAATGTCAGGGCCATGGCTTTAGGTTTGTCCAGTGCACTGCTGAGGAAAGGGGAAAAAAACACAGAGAAAGAAACATGAAAGACCCTCACAATCTTTCTGGCCTGCGATTTATTTTTGCACTGAGATAATGCGCAATAAGGGTCTCGGATTATATAAATCGAGCTCGTATTCACCTTGGTCAAACATACACACGAGCATAAGTCTCAAAAGTGGCACACATTAATTCTAGTCAATAGAGTGTTATGCTATAGTGGTCTTCAGCATAGGTTTCAGCGAGGAAAGACAGAACATGAAGACAAGGTTGCTAAGTGAAAACATTTCTGCTTAATACGGTGCAGGAGAAGTAATAAGTCTTGATTAGTCATCCCATCAAGTCACAAGCTATGGAAATGACCAGTGACGAGGGTATGCATTGCCGTTATACTAGGTACACTGATACTACTGATATTGGACTTGTGATTGACTTGATAACAGCTTTAAATCGTACTGACTCTAAGTAAAAACAGTTGTTCCAATTTGCCACATAAAATCCCGAGCAACATAATTGCCAAAGGAGAGGCTTTTACGATTGTTGGCGTCGATATTGGCCTCCCTGTAATGAATGAATTAAAAGCTAACCTGTCGGCCATGCCGATCATGGATTTGACTTGCTTGAGCTGCTGGAAATGGTACGACATGTCGGTGGCTAGGACCATGTCAATGATGAGATTCCGTAGCTCCCTGGTATAAAAACAAGGACGAGGAGGAAATTATGGAACATGTTCTCTTAAACATATTTCAGAATAATAAGGACTAATGCGCAGTTCATTTACAACGAAATTTACTGAGTTCTGGAGTGTCAGATTTCAATACCAGTAACTGCCTTAGAGGATAGGGTATTGACATTTATAATGGCAGCCATAACAATACTGAACAAAAGTCTTGTCAAATGAGTTGATACGATAATGAATGGTTACGGATAAATAATTGTCATATTCTTAAAAATTCTACACTACTTTTACTTTAAGTGGACTCGATTGGTTTTGTAGGCCCACTAGTATCACATGGAAAGCTATGACACAGACAGATTAACAGATCAATGTATTTCACAATTTATATGTGGTAAACAGACAAAATATACGATGTTTTTTAATACCAAAATAACTTAATCTAAACTCTAATTTGCAATACTTACGTGTAGTCGTCCTTATTGACATTAACGAGAATGTTTTTATCGTCTTCCTTCATTAATCTGAAGGAGCTACTGATGTGATGGTTCTCCAAGACAGCTCGGTCGTTGTACAACAATGCCATTTCAGACCTACACGGAGAACAAAAGATTACTTGTTGACAATCAACATTGCAGATTGTTTGGAGTTGTGTATTATTGTGTAAAATTCGAAAAAAAAACAGAGGGGTCATGTGACACTTGAGGGCGCTGTTCGTGATACAGGATCGTACGTTTTAGGTAGCACGTTTTTGGCTCCTCTCCGGCAGTGTCTACTCTTAACATTGCTGTAAATTTGCATACTCTTTGTGGACCTGTGAACAAAAGAGGTCCACAGTACAGGGTGCAGGAAGCGTGAACGCTTTGTGGACTTGCACACGTCCACACTATAAGCTAGGTCACCACTTGGGTTAGATTTATCTGTCGCACCATGAAGAGGAACACTAAATGAGATCACGATAACAAATTGGTTGAAAAGAGTTTTGTTCACAGTGCAAGTATAATTATGTTTTTTTTTCTCTGGTTTTCTTAACTAAACGAATACAAAGGAATGTCCACATTGGTATGGAAGGTAAGACTGGTTGTGTGTTTTAACAAGGATCAACATGGGTATGTCAGCTATATCAAAATTGGAGGATTCGGGACTGTTACGGGTACAGAGATGTCTTAAGGAACTTACGAAGTGTTGACGTGAAAAGCATTGGTAGTACCCGTGTGCTCAAAGTCATGAATGATCGCTGCTAAAAGGGCTGCAATTATCTCGATGTCGGTCAACCAGTGCTGAGGAAGGGAAAGAACAACACATTAACCCTCCTGCTATTTAAGCAGTCACAGACAGTCAAAATTCACTTCGACTTCCCCTGCTATACCTTTAACGAAGCTAGTTACCAGCACTGTGACTAGTCAAACTGGGTCAGCAGACAAAGCAGGCAAGTATGTAGTCACAGCTGTTTTATCACTCACCCAGAGTCAAAGCATAGCTGCATCAAGTTACTTAAACAGTCACAGCCAGTCAATCCTGCTTTATGTAGGCTGGGAATTCTTAACTGTCGAAAACAGTCGCTAGTTTGATTTTGACTGAAAGGACTACTTGGCACAGAATGTATGTTTGCATGTAGGAGGGTTAATATGAAAATCAGAGAATTAATCGATACAGACGAATAAAAAAAGCCTCATTTTTGACAAAATAATGTATCCACCTCTTATGCCAAAACAAAGACAAAATTCAAGGGACTATAATTATATCACCAATATGTAGTAATGAAGAGAGGAATAGCCATACAATCTTTGCTCTCAGATGACAAGAAGTTTACGAGTTTGGTATCAATTTTATTACTACCGTCGATTGTTACAAAACCGCTTTTATTAAGCTGTTGTTTTTGTTGAATTGACCTGAATGGTCTGTTGATTTGGCAAGGCCATTCTCGACAGCCATTAAGTTTTATGAATTGGCTTCCATGGGCTTTTACATGTCTTACGGGTTATTGGAATTTTGATATCACTAACCTTAAAGGTAGTATACAACATTTGCAAACATCAAAACACAAAACTACCAAATTATTTTGAAATATCTTGCTTGACTGTAAGTGAGTAATAGTCTCATACGCATCCTGTGAAATCTTGGCACCTGCTGTGCTGTTATTTTCAAAAAAAGAGGATTTTTCTGGTATCAATTTCCGGCCGACCATCGTTGGAAAAAACTGACTTTCCTCAAATGCTGCCCCCAATTTACCAAATCTTAGTTAGTCCACATTTTGTTTGCAATTGGTTGAGGGGTACTTATGTTTCTTGAATCACCAGCCCTTTTAAAAGATAAGTATGAGTGGTGAGGAATCTTTCACTGTACGGAAACTGCTGGTGGCTTACCATGAGTCCCATTTTGACCAGCATGTGATGCAGAGTTTGCGTGACGTCAGCGGCGTGTAGCAGGTTGTGGTAGGGGTTGCCATGCTTACTGTAGCCATTCTCCATCGCTTCCAGGAAGCAGTTGAGGTTCTGTACGGGAATCTAAACGAATGAGGAGAAAGGTGCGAATTAACACTAGGTGTAAAAGGAGGTAGTGTGGGGGACTGGCCTAGTGGTTAGGGTTTGAGACTAATAATCAGAAGGTCAGGGGTTCGAATGCAGATGCTGTGTCCTTTTGCAAGCCATGATCATCTCCACTTGCCTCTCTCCACCCAGAAGTAAAAATGGGTACCGGCATTAGCTAGGGGTAACCTGCGATGGACTAGCATCCCATCCAGGAGGAATAGAAATATTCCCAGTCGTGTCTTGGAAAGGAAACCTGAGATAAACGCCGGCCTGATGGACATCCTGGCCCGTGACAGACTTAACTCTGTTAATGGCGAGTGTGGCCAGTTGGTTAGTGTTTGTGACTCGTGAACAGAACGTTCGGGGATTCGTATCCTGCTGCGGCTGTTGTGTCCTTGGGCAACCTACTTCGCCCCATTTTGCCTCTTTCCATCCAGGAGTATAAATGGGTACCTGCATTTGGCTTGAGAAGTAACCTTGAAAGAATTTATACTGTACATCCCATCGGGGGGGGGGGGGGGACAGAAATGTATTCTCAGTCGTTTCATGCTACCGAGATCGGTGATAAACGTCGGCCCGACGAGCCATTTGGCTCGTCACAAATTTCCTTTTTTATATACGTTATGTGGCATGGCAAATCAAGTTTAAAATTAACCAAATTACATTCTAAAAACTATGCACAGCGCTTAGTAACAGATCGAAATCATAATTCGATCATTCAAAACATGGCATTCAGTGGTGTTACATACACACGGCACTTTAATTCAATTTTTTACATTTCGTTTTGGAGCTTCAGGGAAAAAAACCCGCAAAAACAAAGGGCGTCGATACTTTATCAATCAATGTAATGTAAATTGAAGGTTGGGTGGTCGCCTTCGTTGCGTAGTTTGAGAGTTTCCCGTTCGATAAAATATAAACAAATATACAGAATTTATTCAAAATTAAAAGCACTTCGAGAAAAGGTATAATTTGACCGTGCACTTAAAAGGCGTTTATTTTACAGTTTTGTGACCTCATAGAAATAAAAAATCGATTAAAGCAAAAAGGTCAGGAAAAAACGCGCACAGAGAGCGACCGCGTCAGTCGACAACATGTTTTATACCGTGTCTTGGATATTGTAAAATCAATGGCCCAGAAAGGTTGCCTGTCAAGTTTCAGTAAGCATATTTTACTGACAAGTTATGTGTTTTACCATGGATTATGTGTGGGGAAAGAGCATTACATCGGGAATTCATTGTTTGTTCATGGGTCCAAAAATGCCAGCATCTTTCAGCATCTGAAAATCCTTGGGACGTTTCTATTCATATGTGGAGTTTCGCAAACACTTGCTGTTCTTAAAGCTCTTCCGTTAAGGTTTTGAGAGTTTGGTGTTGTCTAAAGTGGACGCGTCTTCCTCAATGCACTCTGTCATCGGTCATTCGCGTCACGCAGGATGTAATTACGTCGCGGTGGTCACGATGACATTTGCGTCCGCGCCAGATCTTAACTCGAGCCCCGGCAAACATCGATCCGCGTACGTGCCTCGGCAAGGGTCGCGCTGTTTATGTCCTGGTAGGCCTATCCCTGTTGTACGCGGCGGTCAGAGATGAATTGCCACATGATCTCCCCGCCCCCGATGGACGTCAGAAGTCAAGCTTACTACTGTCATGTTAGAAGACAAGCTGGCCTCCATCAATACCCTATACTACACCCTGGTTAAGAGAAACATTTTAACAGTATTATACGACCAGCAGGATTTGACCAGCACAGACGTTACTGACGTAAAGACGATAATTTTGCTTGTCTTGGTGACAAAATTGCTTGGTTGTGGGCATTATCTTGCAGAAACAAGGAAACGCAAATTGTACACGGCGTATGACCACAACATAAAATTGCCCATAGACCAAGAACTGCGGGAAACCTAACCAAGCATTGTTTCTAAATTTACCGCCAAACTGAGATTCAAAATAAAAGAAAACGAAAACAGGTAGGGGCTGGATATCATCTGAGACAGGGGGCACTCAAACTGGGAGGGACTGTAAACTTTGTAACACTAGGTGGCGCCGTTTATTGTGCCCCTCCTTGCACGCCATTTATATTTTTCGACAAAGACGACGAAAGTGACGAATGGGGGCGTCACACCCCAAACAGTACCCCCTCTAGCGATGGTACTGGACAAGGTGCCCCATTTAAAAATGCAACCGGACTCAACAATTATTGATTTGGTGGATGAGCAGAGTGGCTGTAGAGGTTTACACCTTTTTATCAAAACGTCTTCATGTAAGGGAAAAGAAATGCCTTTTGACTTTTACTTTGGCTTCAAAAACAAGACCCCAAATCGTAGAGGCCTGAATGCATGGTTGCACTTGTCTTTGCCTTCTTTTTGGTTTAGGAAACACTAAATAAAAAGTGGCTAGGATTTTTTCCAGTTGTTGGCCTTTATTTTCTTAAGTTCGCCCGAATCAATTTTTGTTGTTGTACATAAACGTTGAAAAGTAATACAAAGCGTGCATTACACGAAATGAGAGTATTTCACAATAGCGTCTGGGGGTGCCAGACTAATTCGCCACAGACTGAAACAAACTGTTCAATGTGCGTACCGGCCCAGTCACAAAACAGCCGTCGGGAATGTGAAACCCCACAATCATAATTCAGCAAATGACAGCAATAAGACATATTGGATGCATTGCCTCCTAGAAAAAAAGACACGGAGAGCTACAGACAGCGCTAAATGGCTCAAGGAATATGGCTGCCTCGTTATGTGTCGAAGATTTGCTTTATGGCTTGGGCGTGTATGTTGGATCTAAAGTGAGTCTTGACTGCGCCGAGTCAAAATGACAGTGAAATGTTATGAGCTGTATCCCTGGGGCCGGGGCTGAGCCCCGTAGATCCAGGTTACTGAGTTCAACAGTTCAACTTTAGCCATTAAAGCTCCATGTCAATATGTATCTCACTGGAATTACGGGTGGGTTATGAAAACAAGCCATTAAAAACACACAGAGCTTCAGCACGTACATGCGTTTGTTTATGATGTAAATCGGGGATTTTCTATTGTTCCTCTTCCTTTTTCCTTTGTTTATACTCTAACTCTTTTGCAACAGCTCTCATTGGTTTTGTACACGTTTGCTAACCGAGGAGTTCTCGATTTGGTTCATGTCCCCTATTCACTGATGATGTTGCTCGTGTGTGTGTCCTTGATGTACACCACAAACAAACGCTAAAATACCCGTCGCGTATGTTCCGTTACTTGCAGGATTTAATGAAATACAAAAGGAAGACTTGTTTTGATCATGTGCTCTGGCAGGAATTTCTACATGTCACTTGGTCGGTCGATCGGTCGGTCGGTTCTCTGTCTGTCTGTCTATCCCTGAAATTTGACCAAAAACATTTGACCAACAATTAACCAACATGCCATCGTTGAAGTAAATGCACTCTTGACGAAAGTTACCGGAAAACGGGCTTTGTCTCGATCGATGCGCATGCGCGTCTTTTTTGCATAATCTGACACTGGAAAATTGACCTAAGTTTCCCATAAAATACAACTTCTACATTTTAAATCAAAGAAAAAATAAACAAAAAAAAATGAAATAGGACTGGTTCACAAAAATTGTTAGTAACAATTCGTAAAGTTGTTTGTGAGAATTGTGTGAATGGAGGCAAAATAATGTCGTCGGGTGCCCGGCAGAAGGGCATATGAGCGTCCTGACGCAAAAATCATTTTCAAGAAAATTGCATTGAAAAGTTCCATTGTTCCCCAGCGTGCATTATGTATCCAATGTAGTCCCACACGTAATAAAAATCATACAAATTTGAAATTTGTCACACGTATGAATCATAAGTTTTGGATCAACTTGTATTAATTTCTGACGAAAATGTTTAAATTTCATTAAAATGGAGGCAGTTTTTTGCATATGCCCTTCTGCTGGGAACATTTTGGTCATTACGCGCTATTGCATAAGGGCATATGCCCATGCCCTTCTGCCGGGCACACGAGGATGTGTAGTAATGTTATAGTCACCTGGTATAGCGCGCTATTTTTGTGGAAAACTTAAGGGGCTTATTTACGTCAATATTCAGCGCGTGATTTTTTGCCTGGGACGGCGGCCCGGGCTTGTACGCACAATCATTTCATGCAAGACTATAATGCAAGGGGGTCATAGCTTATTGTGCACTCGCACATGTTTCAATTAACGATACAAGGTTTCATGAAGACTAAAGCCAAGATCGTCCGCACGCAAAACAAGCTGGCCCGACCCATCAAGCCAGTTAGTCGCTGTAAAAGATTTAAGAATCTCATAAATCTTTATAGAAAAAATAATGTGATAAATGATTGCATTCAAAGCTATACAATATACCTCGTTGAAGAAAAATCAATGTATTCCACTGCAGAAACTGGCCATTCTATAATTATATCCCAGTCTTTGCAGGAATGTCTACAATTACATTTTGAGAGCAGAATAGTCCAGCCTTTACAACTCTTATATCGTATTTTCTTTTAATTTTCTGATAAAGCCTGCTGAAAATTAATTTGCAGCTAGTCAGGGAGCGAGCCAACGAGGCTGGAGTGCCTGGATTCGATTCGTCTATGGGAACAGCGGATATTAACGTCGTTGCACGATATCATCTTTCCACTTGGAACGACCATTTTTTTGAGGTCGTTGTTTAGGTTGGACCTAATAAACCCATGTTGTGTTGCTGCATCGCAGCTGTTGGAAGACATCATTACCTTTAAAATCGCCGCTATCGTTCATCTTCGTTTTCGTTTTGATAAAATACAAGGGCAGATCTAGCTTATAGTAAATCACATGGAGACTGGGGAGTTGATATTTGAGTGATGGGGTGCCCCTGCTATAAAGGGTCCGGGCACGCCCCCTCCCCCATTCTAAGGCATGCAATTTGCGAATAAATTTATAAATTTAGCTTTAGTATTTTTTACCAGTACCATTTAACATTTTGAGCGGCTGAATGGTCCCCCAGCTCCGCTAATGAAATATGCTTCCTTCCTTATCATCACCATACATGCATTACTGTTCCATTTTACAACATGCGAACAGATATGTCCAAGGCGTGTTCTCAAACGCAAAGTGACACATTATATCGCAGTAACGAGCAGCATTTTTTCCCCTCAAATATTCCAGGCATCTGATTAATCCCTTCATCCCTAGGGCTCTCAGCGGAGGTAATCAGGCTGATGTTTCTCATTAACTCGAATGGACGTGGCCATAACCACGGGCCAATGCCGCCCAAGCGACCCGCGCACTGCCGCCGCACCGTCGCTCGATCCGCGCTGGCGTTGACGGACTCGCGATCGCAGACTCGAGCAAACATTATTTTCCCCGCGATTTTGTTTTTAACCCTCTCCTTTCTATCCCCAGGGTAGATACTCCTTATCTGAAACAACCCCTGGGGAGAGCCCCAGGGTAGGGGAAAAGCGGTACTTGACATGTGCTAAGCAGCTTATCGGAAATTTCTAATTTGTAAAATTGAAAGACCGAAGCATGAGGTAACGAACGAGGCTCGCTCGCAACTCCGCGAGTCATGTCCCAGGAACCTCGTCCACGCAAACACTCGTAGTAGAACGTCGATCAGGGTATAATCGCGTCGTAAATCACGTGAGGGTCCGTTTGGTGCGAACATTTTAAAACTCTGTCTGTGCGGTAAACCGGTGAGATCAACTTTACTCGTATTGTTTTTTGTATCTACCAAACCAGCTCCATGACTAAACGAAGCCTTCAATTAGAAAACTCGGCAAGTATCATAACTTTGAATGTGTATGTATTGAAAATGATTTTTGGGGGTTAGTAGTGGATTATCAAGCAGATTAGTATTTTTCAAAATAAGATCGCATGATTAATAACTCAGATGCAGGGAATTACACTGCACGACTCACTGAACTCGAGGTAAGCCATGGAAGCTTCAAGAGATATGTGATTGTGACCTACTGAGGCAAAATGAGGAATGTCCCCCAAAACCTTGTTTTGAGAAATCGACCCCTGAAGTCGAATACACTAGAAAAATCATGTGGAAATAGTTTTTTGATAGTTCTGTATTTTTGAGTAGCCAAGGTATCCAAGATTCACAATATGCGTTTTTGTTGGGAAAAAAATACCCACAAGTGTGGAAAAAATGAAGAACGGTTTTCACTGCCGTTGGCGGCGCAATGCGTGCTTTTTTTCAAAGCCGTTTGTCTCGAAATGAGGTTAGAGAAACTTGGCAGGACACTGTTGAATCTCCTGCGTCATATCTTTGGAATGAATTAAGCTACAGCAATAAATTTGGTATCATTGGAAAGCCAATGATTTGCGCTTTAACATGATGTACATAACTTGAAAAGTCAAAGGTGGGGGTTATTCCTCATTATGCTATGGCAGGTCACATATAGACTCATCTGGCACGTGAAAACAGTACACCCACGCGGCCCCCTTCAATGGAGACATCATTGTGCACGCTACTGTGCAAAGCAACTGCCCCGTAACAGATTATCTAAACAATAGCTAGCACAATGCTTTCGCCATTAAAGAGGGCCTGCATGATAGAACTGATAGCGTGCCCGGATTGGTTTGTACACACTGAAACTTTTGAAATTTAACACGAGCTGGTATTTCGACTCATGAATAATTCATGACATTGCGTTTTAGCGCAAGCCATCTTGTCTCTCAATTCGAGGTGGTTTTGTTGTTTACTTTCTTAAGCCGTAGAAACAGTAGGAGTCATACATACTTAATACATTTCAAATTATTGTGTCGTGAATAATTCATAAGAATTTTAGCGCACACCAATAAGTCTCTCCATTAAAGATGAATTTGTTTGGTATTTTTAAGCCTTGGTCAGATTTTACTTCGATACTCACTTTGAACTTTGCAATGAGGTCGTATCTCGTGAATAATTCATAAGCAGTGCATTTCAGCGCATGCCCATCGCTGTCCTCGTTCAAGGCGAAGATGTCAAACGACCACTCATCCAGGTTCTGAAAGAAAAAAAAGTGAAAATCTTTCCGCTTTAGCTGCACGTTTCAATTTTTTTTCATGCACAGACACATCACAGGTTGTATTAAGATTTTCTGACTTATAAAAGTCGGCAAAAAATGTAGAGTGTCGTTACTTAAAGTAGATGCGAACTTGGGCGGCATGTTTTCAAATTCAGGCGAATCAATTCAAATTACAAGTTCACATATTCAATCAACAGCGCTTTGGTAATGCTTGAACATTGGTCGCTTGGGCATTTCGGATTTAGCATTACAACAAACTCCCTTGTGAGATGTATTAAACTAACTTTTTAAGTACACGAAGCCTCTGTCAGACAGTAGCTCAGCTGTTTACATATAAATAGACGATAATTGACATGGACATTCCTTTTTTTTGAGATGTAAGAAACTAACTATATGCATCACAAAATGAGTTTTACAATCCTCTCATTAGCAACGTTGCAGAAGGGAAAAAGCAAGTCATTTTCTATCGACATATTTGGGAGGATTGCATGTTTATCCGGCATAAATTGCAGGGCATGAGGGACGGCACTCCTATATAATGGTACTCTTGTGAGATGCGGTACTGGGAAATTGACGTCAATGGCTTGAATGTATCCATGGCAACGACGTGATGGTGAATGGGGTGAAGAACTCCGCTTCCCGCGTAAACGGTTTAATTTTGTGACAGAATGCCACGGTAATGACATATATATCCATCGCTGGTGGGGTTTTGGTTTGAACGACCAGGAATCTATGCGGTATGAAAATATCTGGTTTTCCATAATGTGATCCTCAAGCACGAGACCATGCAGTCGGAAGTCGGCGGGCCATATTTTGAGATACAGTCTCGAATATAATTATTGTACAGAGAAAAATTATCGAAAAACAGATTGAGGCGTTACAAGCGAGAATAATGAATACATTTTACTTTCAATGAAGCTCATTTGTAGCTCCTCAGGGGTACATTTTGGAAAAGTTTAACGACAAATGTCTCGATTTTTAAACAAGCTCCATCGGAAATATTATCTCGGAAGCCGAGGGCCAACGAATTCGTGTTCATGCATGAGTCACGTGATTGTGCCATGCACTTTCTGGACGTAGTGTTTTGAGTATAAAAAGTCAGCTTCTCGACCCCAGTGACCCCATGATGACCTTTGACCCCAGTTTGGTCATGTGACATGTTGGGGCTGGGCTACTAATACATTTGGCAGAGTTTAGTTGAAATCGGTCAAAATATGTAGGAGTATAGACAATGCCAATGTTTGTTACTAACTAACTAACGGACTACTGGAAAGACATGATGATTTGCTGAGCTACTATCCCGCAGCTAAAAACTTTCGGAGGCCCGAAAAGTGGGAACTGAAAATACTTATCAACCCCTCAGAATATTTTGTCAGATTCCCATGTAAAAGCTGATTCAATGTCCTTGCCAATGAGACCAAAATCCAAGTTTTCAAAAATTGGTCCAAGTGACTGGTTTTGGGCTGGAGGGTCACCAGTGTTGTAGTACTCGTACTCGGTACTCGTACTCGAGTGCTACTCGAGTACTTCTTTTGGAGCACTTGTACTTGTACTCGATATGTCGGTACTCGTTAGTACAGTCAACTACAACATATCAAATCGATCACAGCTAAGGTTTGTTCCGTATAATCGAGGGGAATTATGGTGTAATCGATTTCACCGTGGTAAAGTTAGACAGTGGGTATTCAGACAATATCGAGATCTACATTTCCATGGACATTACTTGATATAATTAAATGAACGACAGTCCAATTGAATTGATGTCCTTGCCTAATATATTGCTGTTCCTGCAGCTGGCTGAAGCAGCTGATGACAGTTTTTATCCACAATTTAAACTGTACCTATTTGAAATTTGCAACAAATCCAACTGCAACTTTCATCCCATGTAATCCATTGCAAATGGCCCGCGTCATCATGGGGAAATGGGCAAAACTTGAGCCGTCATTTGATTTGCAATGAATCATTCTTTAGAGGAATAATTAAAGGGTCCATGAGGCGAATTTTTCTTAGGAACATATTTTGTGCAAGCTTCTACTTCTCTTAAATGTATAAAGAGTATTCGACATCCCTTTCTGGGTTTAATTTTATTAAAAAGTGCACTTCTTTAAACATTTAAAATTGTCCATGCTTTTCGGGACAACTGTGGGCGGAGTTGGTGTGAGGTCATTTCAGGAAGACACTGTTCAGTTAAGGGGCTTTCTGTTCAAATTGTGATCTCAAAGATTTGCTTTTTGAAAAGTGTTTGTGAGAAAAGTTTTGGTCATTGGCTTACTGTCATGTACTGACGTAACAACGAATCCCAAAGAAAAGAAATTTTATAAAAGCGAAATAACCAAAATTCTGGCAACTTTTGGTGCTGAAATAGCCGTTACATTCAGGTTTCTGCCTGAAATGACATTAAACCTTTGCTCATTAATATGGTAATTTGCATTAGCATAAATACTAAAAAGGCACCAAAATACCCTTGAAAATGGCAAAACAAAACATAAAAATATGGTTAAATGGGACACAAAGATGCATTTCCAAAGACTGTATTTAATAAAAATTACATTGCACGGACCCTTAAAATCGGTTTTATACCTGTACCTATTTTTTTCACATTAATAAGCACCCATGGGAGGTAGAATTGGTGTTACAACTGCTTGAAGCTCCTAACGTTTATGTTTTAGGTGTGGACACTTCTGTCTGACGTTTCTATGTTCATTTTAGCGACAGCCATATCAATAAGTGAATTTAAATATAAAGAGCACATTTGAAAAAAAAACCCTGCATTTTGCTGTCGTAATTTGTCTGAAAATTTCATTAACTGTACACTGAGGATTGACATAACAGCATCATCCACTGGTGCGTAAAGCAGCATGGACATTATAAAATGCTGAAGTACCCTTTAAAAAATGAAACCGAAAAAGATATTCCCATAGTTTTCAACCAGTCAAGAGTTACATGCATCTGCATAAAAAACTTTGTTTAGCGATGCACTCACTGCGGGTCACTTTAAGGTTAACCAGTCACATCTATCTGCGCAAACTAAGGAAAGCTTTTTAATTGGCTGAGATGCTTAAAGTCAGGTAGGCCTAACATAGACAAGGGATCAAGTTTTTCCCCGTACTCGGCTGGACGATTACCGGTAGAGACTGCGTCATTACAGACACGGTGTAAGACGTTTTATATATTGCCCGCACTGGCGCCAAGTAAAGGGCTTCGCCGATCACTCACCGTCCGTGATTGATGAAGGAAAGATTTGGTCGAGATGCAGATACGTCATTATAAGTTTGCTCATGTGATATCTCGGTTAATGTAACGTTCGTCATTCACTGGTTTTGATCTTGGTGTCTCTTTGAATAACTGTTCCGGGATTCAATGGTTAGTATTTCAGTGTGCGATTATTTTATTTTCTACAACCATATTCAGTCAATTACCATAACGCGCATACGTTACGAACGAACACAATCAAAGGGAAATAGACATTTCACACTTCGGGAAGCGGAAAAAAACACGAGAAATCACACAGCATCGTCTGAAACCAAACACTCGCCTAGTAATTTATCACGCTTGCGCGATCCTTCGACTCTACCTCGAAATCTAAATCTGGTAAACTGACCCAAGTAACGAGATTATTGCCTCAGTCACGTGATACAATTGACTCATGCGCACCATTAACTACGTTGGCTGTATAAAAAAGGGAAAAAAAAAAAAGAAGCTTCATGTATCATCACTCGCTCTGACCCAAGAGTGCGAAAGACTGGGGCTTTCCATTCAAAAACCCACTTTCGAGAGTTACCGAAGCCTGTATAGCCCACTAGCGTAAAACAATCGATTCTGATTTGGACTGATTGGAATCGTAACGGGACTCGACTTGATGCTGACTGTCATGTCCTCAATAAGGTTGTGGGGGGAAAAAAGAAGCAAAGGCTAAAGTCTCTAACTGCGAACCCAGGCAGGAAGGTAAACGGGCCCAGGCCTGATGGCCGATTATTCTCCTCAGGTGAAAACTCTACTTGAAACTAGTTCAACTGGAAATTGGTGACTGGTTTTGAACCTGTTAAACTGGTTCAAAACCAGTAAAATACCAGTTCGTACCAGTTCAAAAACCAGTTCATACCAGTTAAACCAGCTTAAAACTAGTCACCAATTCCCACTTTAGCTGGTGCCAGTAGAAACCAGCTGAAACCAGTTGAAACCAGTTGAACTAGTTTCAACTGGAATATTTTTACGAGGGTTATGCCTGGTTAGTCCCCTTAATTGTATCGAAAATGTGATTTTGCTATCATTGTATAATGGAATCCATGTATGCATGACACAGAAGAGATTGTTCGAAATTACTGGCAAGAAAGAAATCTCTAGTTCCCGGAGAGTCCTCAAATGACAAAAAAAAACTCAGAACCAAACTTGGCTACAGTTGTCGTAACCTACACCTTTCTATCCATAGAGTATACTTTAGGTGATAATATTTCTCACCAAATGTGGTTCTTAGCGTTCGTAAATCACCATTGCAAATTGTAGCTAACTCAAACATCATGTAAATGTCTCATTTCTAAGCCAACAGAATCCCAGTGTATTAGCAAGCCCCCTTAACACGGTCATTACACGGTCAAATAACTTTCAGGGCCTCGGAATTTAATTAGTGCATCTGGATGCAGCATCTGTAACATCAGCTTTGGTAAAGTCATTACCTTGAACAGTTCCATAACCTTTGGCGGGAAGGCAGTGGCTAGTAAGCCCGACGTCCTTCGGAACATTCTGCACGGGAGAGAAAAAAAGATCAAGGATAATTTGAACCGAATTATGTACAGCGATGTGCGCTTAAGGTCTCCAATGGCAATCGTCAATAGCGAAATAGTGTAATTAAAATGCATTTGTTTTGGTTTTGTTTTTCATACATTTGTCAATGGTTCATTTAATAAGAGAGTACAGGACTACATTTTTTGTTGTAGACATTTCGGTTACGGAGACAATTGGTGAAGATATAAATGTGGGGTATTCTATAAATGTGGGGTCCATTATATTTCATGTCCATGTTACATCCGGCATCTATGATTCATAATTCTGATGAACTCCTTAATGCAGTCGTCCTGCAAGAGTGATTGTTAATAGCAAATCAACAATCATTTGAAGCCATTCTTTATATTTGAATGGAAAATTACAAAATAACAAGGTAAACAGGGACAGAAAAAAATGTCACACTTTGAACCCTAAATTTATAGAATGACCAACTTTGAAATAACTGCTTCATTCGTGAATGACATAATACACTGAATTAGAAACTGAATTTGCTCATGCACAAAGTAAAGTTTTCCCAATCTTACATTTCCTTCTATACCTGTGTGAATGGAGTTCAAACCTAACCCAGGCCTCACGTGGATTGGAAGGAAGGTCCCACATAATTCCGTTGGTTTCTTTCAAGATAATTTGTCTACCATTCTCAAAAACTGTAGGTTTCATCGCCTTCTATCCATAAGTGTATGTTCAAGTGTGTCAGTTAGAGTTTACTGGGCACCTTTGAGAGAACCTTGGTTTCGCTACTAGGAATTTAAGATGAGATGACCATACCTGTCTATGAAGAGACCCGTCCGTAACGCCTGGACAATGCTCCTGAACTTCGGCTTCTCTTCGCCCAGGCGTGACCTCGTCGATTGCCGGCTAAAGGTCGACGTCAGCCAATGCCGTACCTGTTCGGGGACGTCCTCGGTCGCGACCTCTGAGAGGTCATCCTCGTCCCCTTGATAGTTAAACCTGCAAAAAATGACGGGTTTTGTATTTGAGACTTTCAAAGCCTTTAATGGCTCACTGGCAGCGAAATGGACCCGATAATTCAATTTTACTGGAGTAAATGAGACACAATCTCACGTCAACTTGATGTGTGCCCAAATGTACCCACTGCAAAAGGCGCTGTACGGTGTCCGCCATATCTCCATAAGGCTACAGGTAACATTCTAAATATGTTCTCCTTGGGTATTATGTTTTACTTAGGTATTTTTTACTTGGAAGTGCTTCTGATTTGACTTGAGACATCAAAACTTGTGATTGACTTGTGATGACTGGTGAGTAGTTGAGCCGCCATTTATTGGGCACAGAGCAAAAAAACCCCAAGTTTTTCCTATTTGAAATTAATCTTTTTCGACGAAGCGTGTTCAATATTACTTTAAAAAACATTTTGTGTTACCGAAGTTGTGTTACCGAAGGTTAAAAACCAATACTGACCACAAAACCGCGCTTACCTTTAAGTCATCAGCATCACAAAATGATAAAGAGTCCAATAAAGTTTGAGTAAAAATGACCTCACCAACCCCCCCCCAAAAAAAACACCCAACAATACTCAGTCAACCAAGAAATCAGAAAATCACTCAATCTAATAAAGAATATATCCAAACAACCAAGTTAAACAAATTAAAAAAAAACGAAAGGTGTATAAAAAAAACACAAGATCAACCCGCCAACGAACAAATACCCAGACCGAAAAAAAAAAAAAACCCAAAAACAAACAAACAAAAACAATGTAAAACCAAAAAATACAAAGCCAACCATAGAAAAGTCCCATTAGTACGGAACAGATGGCAAGTTGTGTTTTTGTGTGTGCAGGAAACACGTGTTAAGCACGCCAACCACGTATGAATCTCGGCAGAATACAAAATTACCATATGACTCGATGTCCCTATAAGCATATAAGCATTATAAAACCACGGGTCAGGATAGGAAGCATTCTAAATGGGTTAGCAACACACGCATAGGGGGAGGTCTATTTGCACACACTTGCAACTCATTAACGACAATTAAATACTGGACAACTTTCAACTCGGGGGAGAGGAGGGGCGGGGTTACTTAACACGCATGATGGATACATTTTGTATTGGAGTCACGGAAAGAGGTGAAACATTAATTCTGGGCTGGCGCAGTTTACTGTCTTTGCACGGTACATTCAACACCACCAAACACACTAACATACGTGGCCTGAATCACAATTTCATTAGATCAATGTGCACCATAAAAGCATGTTTGACTAACCTGAAGCCCCTGTGCTGGAAAGTGACATTGTGAATTGTGTTTTTATTTTGCCCATTCAAAGATCCCTTGTGATTTGTGTAAGGATTGAATGGCAGAACTATTGTGATTCTGATATAGCGCAAAGGGTTGCAGTGTGGAGATAGATAATAACTGACAGACACTTGTGTACCAGGGTGTTCGGTTGGGTACGAGGGAAATATACATTGGCCATTTGGCTTGCGAGGACTTAGCAAAGCTAGGCAGGTGAAAAATAAAGTGGGGAAGCCAGGGGTATCATAAAACAATTACTGGAAACAATGTTTGACGCGGAGTACATATGATTTCAAAAGTCTTCACAAATATCTTGGATAAGTACAGGAGTTTTACTGCGAAATATCCATTCACAACGCTTAATATATACAACACGTCCATGGCCTAATTCCTGTTATAATTTTTGTATGAAAACTTCCAACTCACATGCGTAAACTAGTTTTGATACCGAAAGACTCGGCCGTAGAATGTACTTCAGAAATACGCTGAATTACAAACTAATTACAAAGTGTTTGAAATGTTGTTCTAATTGTGTTCTAATAACTTTGTTGGTCTTAAAAGAAAATAATACTAGGCCAGATAAAATCGGTGAGGACTAGAATGTTAATATACAGGGTGAGTCAACAAAAGCGAAACCCAAATGTCGGGACTATTGTTTTAGTGAAATTCTGCATGTAGCATTTTCAAAATCTAGGATATAAAAGTCCAATTCATAAGCTTTTTTTAGTACACGAATCATTCAAATCACTTATGTACTTTTCAAGTAACGGAGTTTTAAACACAACCACCATTTTAAAGTTCTGTCCACGGATTACAAAAAAAAGGTGTGCGTTCTTTCAGCAAAACGAAACAATTCACACACGAAACAATTCACACACATCCCTATGTGAACACTTACCTTCTTGTGATCCGTAGACAGAACTTTAAAACGGTGGTCCTGTTTAAAATTCCGTAACTTGAAAGTACGTGAGTGATTTGAATGATTCTTGTACTAAAAGGAAGCTTATGAGTTGGGCTTTCGTATCCTAGATTTTGAAAGTGCTACATGGTTTTTTTTTATTCACCAGTGTTTTATATCTATATGAATGTTAAAGAGGATGAGTGTATATAACTAAGATGATTACTACAAGATGCCATACAATCTGGCTAAATAATGTGATTAGTCCTATAGTTGGGTTTAAATGGGTTAGTTATGCAATGTCAAGCTGTTGAAATGAAAATGTCACGAGGGAAACGACTGGGGGAATATCCAATTGAAATCACACGTTTGGAAGTGGGCATTCGTGAGGTCCACCTTTTGGGCGGGTTGCCTGCTCTCGATAACTGTGATTTTTGTTAGAAGAGATCTGATGAAGTACATTTCCGTTTCTTTCTTTGCACGCAAAAAATGTGTAACTTCTTGTATGATTCGAGATCAACTTTTTGTGCACATCATTTTGGAAGAGCAGTTATTTTGCTGCTGAAATCACTTGGCTATCTACAACACTCAGAAAAGCTCTGAAAATGACAATCAAAATTCCCCAAAACAGCCGTTAAGGTCAAATTTCAAATCACATTTTGCGTCACATTAAAAATATAATTTTTCGAGTCCGACCTCAACTGGCTTTTTTCCCTCCAAATATTCCAATCATCAATTCCACTTTCAGCAAAATCCACAGTTATCGTCAGCTTCGCGATGAATGGTTAACTCATAACAAAGCTGGGATTCAGTGGGCGGGGCTTAAAAAGGGGAGGGGCCGGGTGTACCACAACCTATGGGAGGGGCCAATGATGAAAGGCTGTATAGGGAGAAACCATGAAAGAAGGCGGGCGATGATGAAGAATGCGATGAATCTGAGCGACACACACAACTCCGGTGGGCACGGCGCATGCGCCGTGACCGACCAATGGCTGCTCACCTATATACATATGCCGAAGTGGTCTTCCTGGGCTGAGGAGATTGGTTAGCCTTATGGCTACGCTGTCTTGATAGGGAGAGAAAATTACTGCAGCTGATCAAATGGCTGTTGCACGACACTGTCACGCAATGGCTTATACACGAGATCACGGCGTCAAATCGGTTATCGTCTTATGGTTTGTGTCATTTTCGGTTTTATGAAATCCAATACCCTAAATTGGGCTTAAACAGTGTAGAGTTCTGAGTGCATCACACCTTTTCAAAAAATTACACAAAAATATCTGACATCATAGTATATAGTCATACACCATGTCGCAGCTTGCTATTTTTTTTTTTAGAGTAATACAAAACGTGTTTGCATAACTTTCACCAAAATAGTGTTTCATTCTTTCGACGTAAAATCATCTCCACAGATTAAAAACAATGACCTTATGCAATAAACGCGCAAAGGCCTTCTTTTCATTGATTTTGAGATACATATTGTAAATCTGAGTGGGAAATATGACACTTGCAATATTCGTTACCTGTTCTGGTCGACTTTCAAAACCTCCAGTACATTGACCGCATACTGGAGGTTATTCCTCAGATCGTCCTTAGAAATTTCCTCTTTTTCTAGTCTTAGGACGAGGCTGCGCAGGCGCAGCATGGCCTCAGCAACGGCCTCGGCCGAGGTGGGTACCGGGAGTTCCTCCATCTTGGCCAGGTCGAGACTGGTCAGAGATTCCTCGTCGAACTCCTTCGAGTCCTGTCGCTTGAGTTTTCTCTTCCCCTCAGCCCGCTTGTAGATTTTGTAATCTTGCCCTTAACAAAAAAAAAAAAACACCGTAAATATTTATTGCATGGTTAAGGCCGGGGCTGCGAGTGAGATTATTAACATTTTGCTATGAGATCGAAGGCATAAGCCGAGAATGCCCTCGTGTGTTTGACATAAAAAAGGTTTACAGTACCATCTATTTTTAAAAGTTAATATATTCGACATATAATCTGGATGATGTACTGAAGGCGCTGAGCAATTTGAATATGACTCCGTTACATCTAATAAACTGGAATATTTGCACAGTGAATAGAACAGTATCTTATAAGAATTTTAAATGAGCTTATTTCAAACAAAGGAAGGAAAACATGGGGAGAAACATTATCAATACAATAAGTGTGAGAAAAACAACGGGCCAATAATTGTTATAACATTTGGTCAACGTAGAGCAAACGTGAAGTACCACTGAAGCTATCTTTTTCTCTCGAAATTTATGTTTCTTTCAATAATAGAATATAAAGTAAATCATCAAACTGGGAGCAAAGCCAGAAATGCTTAGACGATGATTGGACTCCATTTCAATGGGCTTCACATTTTTAATAAATAGTGTTGTACTTGAGGCACTTTTGATACACCACAAGTTAATCACAAGTAAATCACAAATCCGATCACAAGTTCATCACAAGTAAATCACAAGTCCGATCACAAGTTAATCACAAGTCCGATCGCAAGTTAATCACAAGTCCAATCGCAAGTAAATCACAAGCCCGATCACAAGTAAATCACAAGTCCGATCACAGGTAAATCACAAGTCCGATCACATGTAAATGACAAGCCCGATCAGAAGTAAATCACAAGTCGAGTCACAAGTAAATCACAAGTCTGATCACAAGTAAATCACAAGTCCGATCACAAGTCCGATCACAAGTTAATCACAAGTCCGATCACAAGTAATTCACAAGTCGAGTCGCAAGTAATTCACAAGTTCGATCAGGAACTAGAAGAAGGGGATTTTCAACGACAAAGGATGCCTTTGTCGCAGTTCACTTGAGCACACTGTGAGTTGACTTGGGATCGATCAACGACTTGTGATCGACATGTGATGTATTTGTGATGACTTGTTGATTCATCGCAAGTATCTCCACTACCGCACTGCTGCGAAAATAGCACGGACGTTACGGGGCCTTTGCACTGTTGAGCGGCTTCTCCGACAAACGCCAATCATTCACGAAATAGCTATAAGGGACATTCATATAGTAACGATGCGAAACTGTCTTGTAGTTCGTACATAATATAGCTCAGTCCCTAATTTGCTCCAATTACCTCGCAAAGATTCTAAAGACCATGTTATATACCTCCGACGTCATACTATTTTGCCCACAGTAAACAATTTATGTCACCCCTTTTACACCAGTAACATTTCAAGAGATATACATGCAGTGCATAAGTGAACAGTTTGCTGAAAGCTGGCATCATGTGACCCCAACATCCAACTTGTTATATAACATTGCATTCATCCCAAATTTCAGTTATGCATCACGTCACTCGTCAGTGCGATAACTTAAAAATGTATCGCAATACACCCTCCTGTTCAGTCAACTACAAAAATTTAATACCAAACTCCTACCGCGACAATTAAGGATAATAACCAATCCGGCTTGCTCTACTGGACAGAAGACCTAATGGTGTTTACCAGGCCATTAATATTATTCGGAGAAGATCATAATGCGCCCTCAGCCACTACTTATGTAAATTTCAATCTTCTTAGCTGCGTTAAAGGGACCATAGAGGCTGATGTGAAATGGTGTGTAAACGAAGTGAATAGCCAACTCTGCCCTACGGGCTTGCTTTGTTTAATGGCTGGCAATTTCGCACTTCTACCCAAGAAAGGTCAAATTCGTCTCGATTCAGTCAGGACTGTTTCAGCCGAGAAAAAAAAATCGCAAGGCCTGAACCCTTGGGCTATAATAATAATATCATGTAAATACCTCCTTACTCCTCTGAATTCACAGTTCACTTTATACGAGTCCCAGATGTATTAATATTTAAACTAACGGATTACTGTCGTGTGAAAGATAACTCAAGTGGATTGATCTTTCCGGGGTGAACACGACAACAAAGACAACTGAGAGGAAGATAGAAGCTCTAAGCCCCTTAGGAAAGTGGAGAAACTTGGTCTATTTTCAGCCAGAACTGCCCTGGCTTCTTGTGGCTGTTTGACCCAACTCGCCCACCCTCCAGATCAGCCCGCCAAACCAACTATTGGAAATGTTCACTATAAAAGGTCAGCCACAAACATTTTATTCTATCTGTGGACCACAATGGTGAATTTAAACTATGCTTTGTTTACCATGGAAATTAATCTTCATATCTAAATAGCAACCTTAACCTTTTACAAATAAATCCACTGGAAGTATCATCCGGAAACTTATTCTATTCCCGCCATTTACAGATTATGACCTTTGACCCCCAGCCAATAACTTCTTTCCTTTGCCTCATTAATAAAAACTCCACAAGCATACGTTTGTTATATAACTTCCAGTACAGTCTTTGAATTTTTTTTTTTAATTTCTTTCTGGTAATGAAACCAAGGATTCCTCAAAAGTGCCCTAGGCACTGGAGCTCGCAAGCCTAAAGAAACTTGTGGAGAGAAGACAATGAGAAGAAATTACGGTTTTTAGAGGTGGGAGGAAACGCCCAGAAGAATGTTCTGGGGAAAACCCACGGAATCAGGTAGGGACTGAAAACCCAATCCACATATTGCCCCACGTGGGATTCGAACCAGGGTCACAGCAGTGGGAGGCGGGGAAAGTCCCGCTACGCCAACCTGACTTCCCGGAACTTTTGGCTCTCCAAATACATCAAGTCTTTGCAACAATGTCGAGCCTGGAATGAACTGCTTGGAGAGGGAACTGGACTAGTCCATGCATCAACAAACACCTTGGGCACGTGAACTAATTCCTTCTTGCAGACAATATTTGATAGAAACGTGTCATGCTATTTGAAAAGACATTTTGACATTCGATAGAAGGCATACTCCACCATCCCCGGACCAGTGCCAGATTCACTCCGGTACGACGTTAGTAATTGACATGTGCGAACGACATGCTGCGCTGACGCACCTTTCAATCCGATTTAAGAAATCTTTATATTTAACCATTAAGCAAACCTTCAAAAAGTAATCAGAATGACAAAAGAAATTACAGTAAAGAAACAGATGTGTTTTAACATTCACCAGAAAATAAACTCAACAATGCAGAACGTAAACCCTCAACAACAACAAAATAGTTCCAAATATCAGTTTGTACTTTGTTTGTAGTTGACAAGTAGCAACAATTCCATATCGGTATTACATTACTAAAGTAAAGAGTATATCATTTTTCATCTGTGCAAATCTTTTTTTTCGTTTGAAGCAACAAAAGTGCTCAAAATCTAAAGAAGGGTGCACAACAACTAACCTGATGAAGTTTTAGCTCAGTGAATGCTGTATGTTCCGAGAAAATAATATTCTAGGATCTCGATTTCAATTCAAAAGTTGCCGAGTCTGTTTTGAATTGCGCCCGAAATCAGCGTCCGGGACACGTTCTCATCAAGCCGATTGCAGCTACGCGATGCCACGCACTGAATCGACGAATTATAGCAACCGCACGCGCGTGTGCGTCGTGCCAACGCTTGCGCGCACCCATTCATAGCTTCGCTGAATTAAAAACAACTAACTACTAACGGAAATTTAAAAAAATGCGACTTTAGACGCATCTTTGGAAATGACTTTCTTTTACTGTTTTCTTCAAAATGACAGCATGCCAGAAGGAATAATTTAACAGGGAGTTTAGTGCCATTACTATCTTTCAACCAAGTATGCTTTTCAACAATAATTTCGTCAGTTACTTTTTGGATAGCTGCAAATGATATATACTCTACCTTTAATACGCTACATGACGACATCACAGAGCGCCACTTGAAACGTTGGAATTAGGCAGCGGCGTGTGCTTTCCAATTTCGTGTAATGACCCAATGACCAGTCCCACAGCTCATTCGTGTTGGGCGCCGCTATGCTACCTTACAGACATCGATCACTACGTATGATTATATGATGCTAACTGTTTCGAGCCTAGATCAGGTTCTGTGCGTAATGATGGCAGGACCTATTAAAACCTTTATTTCAGGCAAGGTTTTATGGGCCTGTTTACGTTTGCAACTATGAATGGTTTACCACCACTAAAGTAATGAAACTTCTTACTATATAAAGGTCAATTTATTTCAGGCAATAAAAATATAATGCAAAACCAAATATTGAATAAAAAAATGTCGGTTTAGTCTGCGTAATAGGTTTACACGTGAAAAGGCATTGCATTGTATGAGTTCTACCAATTGTATGTGGATGTTATATGTTAAAATATGAATTAAAATAATGAGCAATATAGCACCGAAAACATAGCACTGAACACCACAAGCTGACGAGATGACATGCAGGATGTTTGATATGATAGGATTTAACCCGTCGTGGTAACAATGTAGTTTGAGAGACTGACTATATAGCCGGTAAATCTTGTTGAGATTAGAGACCATCTTGTCAGGATGACGACTTCAATCCTTCATCTGAGAAACTCACTAAATGTTGTCGCAACGAGAACTTTGGGTTTTGTATTAGAGAATTGTATCGGCTATAGTTACACCACAAAGAAAGAGACAAAAAAGTCAATACTTATGACAAGGTCCAGGACATTGCTCGTCGAAAACCGATTTACGTGAAAACAACAGAACATTTTGTCAGGAGGAATAGATGTAAATGAAACGGCGTCCACCACCACCCCTCCGACCGTCTTTAACAATTTATCAAGCTGCCCCCCCCCCCGTCTTAAAAAAATCTTGATGATAAGCCGCTGCTCCTTGCATTCATCACGGAGAGCAATACAGCGAATCGGGTCTATACAGCACATTAAAATGAAGTATAGCCGTTTCTTCGGCTGTCAAATAGTTCATTTGAAGATTATCTTAAGTTTAAGATTTGCTTAACTTATCTCCTATCTTGGGATTCGAGGGTATG